AAACATTGTAGAGGAGTGTCAAAGTGAACCTTCCCTCCAAAATCCAAAACCCACTATCTGTGGTGAAATCACCAACTTCTTCAAGGGCATTTTTTGCAACCACTACTCCCCTGGTGTACTGGTGTCACAGAACCTACTCTACGTGAAAATTTCTCACTATAGAGGCCATCCTACCCAGCATGGTTCAGAAACAACAAGGCAAGGTGTACGAGGCTCCCACAGCCAACACCATCAATATTGAGGGATCCGTGATTTTGTCTATTCTTAGGCACACTTCCGAGAACTTCCCCTCTCTTTTCTCCGGTTCCCTCATGGGATTTGAGGACGACGAGGGTACCATCGATATCACCCACGCTTACCCATTCCCATACCCAGATCAATACGAGGGTGGATCCTTCCGCTCCAAGAGTGGATCCAAGTACCAGCAAGAGATCTTGGAGTCGTTGAAGTCCTTGGATGAAGGCGTCGAATTCCAGGGTTGGTTCCAGTCCACCGTGTCTGGTAACTTTATCACCTCCTCCTTGGTTGATGCTGTCGCTCAGCAGCAGCTTAACAACAAAAACTCTTTCCTTTTGGTGCACAACATGGTGTCAGTCGGAAAGGGCGTCGACTTGAAGGCTTTGAGATTGTCTGAAAACTTCCTCACCACATACTTAGACGGTAAATGGAAGACGAAAGACTTGGAGAGTCACAAATTGTCTTACCTCAATATCTTTGATGAGACTCCAATCAACATCCACAACCAGCACTTGGTGAACTTGTTCTTGGCTTCCAGCGAGGACACTACTTTGTCCAATGAATTCGACACCTTGAACTTCTCGTCCAACTCGAACATCACCACACAATTGTTGGAGAACTTGTACAGCCAAATTGACTCGTTCAACTTCGACCAGACTAACTTCAACTACTACCAAAGACTCTTGCAAAAGGAGCACACCAAGATTCTCCAGTGGAAGCAGAACAGAAAGAACGAGAACACCGAAAGAGCCAAGATCGGCGAGTCCGAGTTGAACCCGGACGAGTGGCAGTCCATCTTCAAGTTGCCAACTGGCCCCTCCAGATTCAACAACACCTTGTATTCTAGAGCCATCGACGAGTTGGCAGACGACATTTTGAAGAAGTGCGACCAAGAGTTGATCAAGAGTTTTGCTATTGAGAGAAAGTTGACTTCTAACTAATTGCATGGGATGAATGCTGCATAGGTAGCAGTGTAGATTTAAAGGTTTGCCCTAGGGCAAATACAGGTCATAGTTAATGCTATATACTACGATACTTCTGTAGACTGAAACCCGCAGCGAAGGACAATAGGCACAACACGCCGGAGTCAGATTTTCCGCTCCAACATGGGCCCACTTTTGAGTCTGGCCACCGTTATCGCTTTTATTAATTGATTTAATGGATTTAAGTTTAGAGGTCTTAGATTGCGCTTTCTTCGATCCAAATTCTGAGTAGCGAATTACGTAGAAGATGTTCGGGATGACGGATCTTGACTGCATCTGCAGGTTCCAAGCCCGAGTTGTTTAATAACTTACTTTGCTAATAACTACACCCCAACTCTCCTCAGAAACATAGTATGGGGAAACCAAAAGTATGTTAATGCACAGCTGCTTCATATGATGTTTTATGACGCGTATACTAACAGTCAGTATATTCTTCTAGTCAGACATGGTGAATCTGAAGGTAACTGCGATAAGTCAGTCAATAGACATACACCAAACCACAAGATATGCCTAACGGCACAAGGGCACGAGCAGGCGAAGAAAGCAGGCTCTGTGTTAAGAGAGTTTCTAGAACAGTTTGAAGAACATGACTCAAGAAGCGTGCTTTTCTACACTTCCCCATATCTTAGAGCTCGTCAGACCTGTAAAGACATCATCGACGGAATCCAGGATTTGGAAGGTGTTCGTTATAACGTCAAAGAAGAGGCCAGAATGAGAGAGCAAGATTTTGGTAATTTTCAAAGCACCCCAGAGGAGATGGAGCAGATCTGGGCTCAGAGGGCACACTATGGCCACTTCTTCTTCAGAATACCTCATGGCGAAAGTGCTGCCGATGTCTACGATCGTATTGCCAGCTTTAATGAAACGCTTTTCAGGCAATTCCATCAAGAGAAGTTCCCCAATGTGCTTGTGCTAGTCACGCACGGAATTTGGGCCAGAGTGTTCTTGATGAAATGGTTCCGCTGGAGCTACGAAGACTTCGAATCTTTAAGAAATATTCCTCACTGCCACTTCCTCATTATGAAGCAACAAGAGTCTGGTCGCTACTCTTTGAAGACGCCTCTTCACACCTGGGATGACTTGCGAGATCTGGATGTTGAGGAAGAGATCAGCAAGGAATTCACCCAGGAGGTGAGTTTCAATTCCATGAACAAGCTTGACAATCCAGATGACATGGATATTCACAGCATTATTAAAGCTCAGGTTGAAGCTATAGAAGAGAATCGCCTGAAGGATAAAAAAATTCACGAGAGTTATAAAAGTACCTTGGCTATAAAGCTTTCGCAAGATCACCAGAGCATACAGAACAGTAAGGAAGACATTCTGTCCTTGTGAAATGCAACCACGGTCCAGGCGCATAATCACAATACTTAGTGTGCATTCAACTTATTCATTGGCAGCTCATACGTTGCTAGTCGCAACGCCATCAAACACCATGACATCAGTTCCGGTATAAGATGGCGTCAAAAAGCATTTTTCTACATGGTGCCAGGTATGTGCCTCCATAGTTGGAGCTAGATCGCACCTAACCGCATTCACAGGCTCGGGCCAACGCTTCTCACACCCGCTTATGGTGGGTACAGGATCAGGTGTACCCGGGGGTCCTCGGAGGGTACTGGCCCATGAAGAGAGCGTCTGGTGAGGACTCCTCTGCATATATAACTAGCAAAGTCCACCCTATTTCTGACAACCCCATATTCCGTGAGAACTCAATTACTCTTTACACACAATGTCTCGTCAATTCTTCGTCGGTGGAAACTTCAAAATGAACGGTACCAAGGAGTCCGTTAAGAAAATCGTGGACGGCTTGAACGCTGCCGACTTGCCTAGCAACGTCCAGGTTGTCATTGCCCCACCTGCTACTTACATCGCTGTTGCCGTTGCTGAGAACAAGCAGAAGACTGTCGCCGTCTCCGGCCAGAACGTCTTCAACAAGTCTTCTGGTGCTTACACCGGTGAGATCTCCCCAGATCAGTTGAAGGACTTGGGTGCCACCTGGACTTTGACCGGTCACTCTGAGAGAAGAACCATCATCAAGGAGAGCGATGAATTCATCGCCGAGAAGACCAAGTTTGCCTTGGAGCAGGGTCTCTCTGTTATCTTGTGCATTGGTGAGACTTTGGAGGAGAGAAAGGCTGGTGTCACCTTGGATGTCTGTGCCAGACAATTGGACGCTGTCTCCAAGATTGTGTCTGACTGGTCTAACATTGTCGTGGCCTACGAGCCTGTCTGGGCCATTGGTACCGGTTTGGCTGCCACCCCAGACGATGCTCAGCAGACCCACAAGGACATCAGAGCTCACTTGGCCAAGACCATTGGTGAGGATGCCGCTAAGAAGATCAGAATCTTGTACGGTGGTTCAGTCAACGGTAAGAACGCCCCAGAGTTCAGAGACAAGGCCGATGTTGACGGTTTCTTGGTTGGCGGTGCCTCCTTGAAGCCTGAGTTCGTTGACATCATCAAGTCCAGAATGTAAGGACTTCTAGGTACATAAAATACTATACACTGTAAATTTCTATGCTATTGTTGTAAAGGAGACTACCTGCCTCTTCTGGATTCCAATCCTTGTGGTCGCACACTGCTGCAGTGATACCCTCAGCGTGCTCAGAGTACTCCTGGTTCTTGTCCAGCAAGAAGAAGCGGTCGAGTGGCATGTCAGTTTCAAGAAGAATTTGCAGGCTATCGAGAATGTCAAGAACATCATGGAGCGTGGGGATCTTTTGTTCCGTGGCATTGATGTAATTGGAGAATGAGAATAGTAGCTTCGTGGGTTTCTTGCGATACTCCTTAACCCATGATCGGGCCTGCTCAATTGAGCCCGTATATGAATGAAGGATGATAGCAGGGATGTCATTGTAGTCTGGAGATTTTGCTAGAGAATCAAAAAAGGCTCCATGTGCCTTGACACAATGCAAGGATACTGGCACATGTAGTTCGTTGGCAAGCCTAAGTTGTTCCGTGTACACATGCAATTGATGGTCCATAGTCACTTTGCAGTTGGTCAACCTCACATTCTCCTTGATGGCTGGGTTGCCGTAAAATCCATTCGTTGGCACTCGGAACAACTTATCGAGCCCCAATTCACCAATGCCAAACATCCTTTTTCTTTCCTTGCAGACACCAGCATACTCTCTTATTTTACCCAAGTACTCGGAAAAATCAATGGGCTCCGGAAGTATTTCCAAAAGCTCCAGAGGTGGTGGCGGTTGCAATACCTTATTGTAATGTTCTTCCTTCGACTCCGTACCTACACGGTACAAGTGACTGTACCAAGGATGGACGCCATAGTAGGGAACCACTTTATCGCTTTTGAGCATAAGCTCATGCACTGTATCTAGATCGAAGAAGCTTGTGGACATGAGGCAGTATAACCCCGGCATTAGCCTGTCAGCCAACTGCTCGGCCAGTCTAGAATGTTCCATCAGAAGATGGCAGTGATTATCCACGAACATGGCGGAATTTGGAAAATCCGAAAATAACGCTAACTGCTACAGTTGCGAAAGTGTTGTCAGCCTTGGTAAGGTCAGGCGGCTAGAAAATATTACGTTTCGTAGTTTTCGGAAAGAATAAGGATTACCGATCAGCAGAAATCATTCTACTGCCAGTATGGAAACCCGGGGGCACGCATGCAGGTCCGTAGTATGATTCTAAGCCCGTATATTCATTGCTCGATATTGATGCTGCAATATATAACCTTGCCCAATTGACTGCACCTCAAAAGTACTTTCCAATCCACTCAATTGACCAAAAAGACAACAATTTTCACAACCAACATTTGCTATGCCTATCATTATCGGTTCACTGTACGTATTATCCTATTCTTTACTGTGACATCACAGATCATCAGCCAGTACTAACCACCAGTTTCTTGCCTCACACGGTCAAATTTGAAGTTACAGGCCAGAGTCCGAGCAACAATGAGCCGCAAAAGCCAAAAGCTCTAGAGGCAGCCCCTCAACACACTATCGCAAACTCCATCCTTCCATCCTTGAGCCAGCCTGCTTTGACCCAGAGTCCAGCCAACACGCCACCTCCATTTCTCAAGAATGGGAAACTGAGTGCTGCTGTGCAGCAATTCTTCCAAAAACGGGATTCGGAAAACCTGGATCGAAAACCCGATAGACCAGCGGCTCAGTTGATTCAACCTAAGTCACGGTATGATTCAAAAATGATCCCGAGCCTGGTCGTTGAAGCAAAGAAGAAGGCAGACGACGTAGGGCTTTCAGGTCTCAAGTACAATTCATCGGGTTCTAGCTTACCCAGGTCCTCTTCTATTCTTCCGACAGCGAGATCCAATTCCTCTCCGCAACCTGATTTTGCACCCGCTGGTCTACCAAGAGCCAGGAGCTCATTTGGCAAGTTTGGTGGCTACTCAATAAACCAATCTTCGACTAGCTCTTTGGCTGTTACTGAAGAGGAGGATAACGCTCCATCTGTGTTCACCCCAGCGTTCAGGGAGCCTGTCATTGATGATGAGGAAGACGATGACGAGTATGGTGATAAACACCTAGCACCATACGGTGGATTCTCCAGGCCCGACTTGGAAGAAAATTTCTTAGCACAGCAAAATGTTTTTGAAAATGCTCCTTGGCAGATTGTCCCTACCGAAGGTGGCAATGGCTCATTATACAAGGCAGTTGAAACAGCCCAAAAGAAGGGGGTGATTCAGCCATGCAAATGGGTTGGTACATTGTCGTCGCCCTCGGATGCCATCCCTCAACACACCTACCGTGACATATGTTCAAAGTTGAAGGATGAGTTTGATTGCGAAACCGTTCATGTGAACGATATTGTCTTTCAAGGACACTACAAATCATTTTGTAAGCAGATCTTATGGCCTACCCTACACTACCAAATTCCAGACGATCCGAAATCTAAGGTGTTTGAGGAACACTCCTTCAAGCATTACAAGCGATTGAATCAGCTTTTCGCTGACAAGATCGTAGAGACATACAAGTCACTCAACCTGGGCCTCGACCCTGCGGATCCAGAAAATATGATCTGGGTTCATGACTATCATTTGCTCTTAGTTCCGGCCATGATTAGAGAGCAGCTTCCAGATGCAAAGATAGGCTTCTTTCTCCATGTTTCCTTTCCTTCATCAGAGGTTTTCAGATGCTTGGCCCAACGAGAGTCTTTATTGAAGGGTGTCTTGGGGGCCGATTGCGTTACCTTCCAAACTGACGAATACGTTAGACACTTTTTGCAAACAAGTAACAGGCTTTTATTAGCTGACACAAATGAATATGGTATTATCCATAACGGCGTTTTCACGCGTGTGAACACTCTTCCAGTTGGAATTGATGCACCAGCATTACAGGAGGAGCTCAAGACTCCGGCAGTGATTAAGTGGGAGAAGCTCATTAGGGAGCGTTGGAAAGATCAATTGCTTATCGTGTCGAGAGACAAACTTGACAAGTTGAGAGGCATTAAGCAAAAACTCTTAGCTTATGAGGAGTTTCTCAAAAGTAATCCTCAATTCATTGAAAAAACAGTTCTTGTTGAAATTTTCATGGGTTCTTCCTCGAATAGTGATTACAAAGCAGAGGTAATGCAAATTGTATCGAGGATTAACGCATTGGCCGACAACATCTCCATTGCTCAACCTGTTGTCATTTTGGAGCAAGATATTGATTTCGAGCAATATTTGGCTTTGCAGCATGAAGCTGCAACATTTATTGTAGCCAGCTTCAGAGAAGGACTCAACTTAACATGCCATGAGTTTGTGGAGGCAAGTTCCGAAAAGAAGTCACCACTCATCTTATCAGAGTTCACGGGCTCTTCACACCTTATGGACTGCAAAGGTCAGGGTGCATTGCTCATCAACCCATGGGACATAAGAAACTTCAGCAAAGCAATCCACCACGCATTGACAATGGCGCAAGAAGAGAAGGAAAAGAGATGGGAGAATTGCCATCACATTGTGTTGCAACATAAGCCAATTGAATGGATCAAAGAGTGTGTTAAAAGCATCGAAGAGGCGTGGAAAACGGATCATCTCAAAACTCAGACCAATAAGAAGCCGTTCAATCAGGAAATTTTTGACAAGTTTTACGAATCTTCGAATGGCCACCGACTTTTCGTCATCAATATTGATACCTCATATTCTCAAGACGAGGTCGGACCCAAATCAACGAAGGGTTTTGCAACTCTCGGAAGAATTGCTAACTTGCTAACAGGCTTAACAAGTGACCCCAATAATTATGTCTTTATCATAAGTATTTTGAAGACGGAAGATCTCGAGTCGATCTTCAAGAATGTCCCAAATTTGGGGTTGGTTGCAGAAAGTGGCGGTTTCATCAGATTGGTGGGACAATCTAAGTGGATCTCTATCATCGACAAAAAGGAGGTGGGTAACTGGATTCCCCAAGTCACTCTGTTGGTCAAGTCTAAAGCAGAGCGCCTTCCCATGTCTACAGCCATCGTTGAAGAATGTACAGTCAGGTGGTTGGCTGATCTGGCGGTTAAAGAGGATCCCAAGAGAAGTATGGATGCAATGGGTGATTGCATTCAACATATTAATGAAGTTTACGAGAAGAGTGATGGCATTCATGCAACCCTCGTTGATAACTCAGTTGTTGTTCAGCAAAAGGACATTTCAATGAGAGCAATGAATTTCATCGTGGCTTGTTATACCACCACAATTCCAGCTTCCCAGTTGGCTGAGCGCTATCAAGTGCGCAGGGTTGCGTCCTTCCATGAAAACTACAACACGATTGTCAGATCACCTCTCGCTGAGAGATTCGATTGGATCGAAAACGATTCTGAAAGACCAAACAGAGCACAGGCTTTGTTCTATTCCGGTGGGTTGACCTCAATTGACGAGGCGATTTACGAGTACACCAATGGCCTCGAGAAGGACGATATTTTGCATTCTTCCATCTCAGTTGCAATCACTGGAGGGCAAGCCAACGCTCGTTCTTCAGCGCTTTACAGTGTTTTGGGCAGAAACGAGTTGTTGAGTATCATTACATCTAAATAGCTTTGAGTATTAATGTTGCTCTCAAATTACCTTTAAAACTGTTTGTCTTTGTAGCTCGCAGCAGCCAAAGTATTGAGCTCGTCGAACGCAGTAAAGAATTCCTGATTCTGTTTGTCCGATATTTTTTCAACACGATTCCAATAGTAGTTGGCAAACTCATCCTCGGTGACGGCGTTTGTTCCACTAGGCCTGTTAACAACCCAGAGGGTCTCCTTCAGTTTCTTGTGCGTTTCTCTATCGTCTTCCATACGTGCCAAAATTTGTTTTTTGGTAAGCATAAACTCGTTTCCTTTCTTGCTCAGGTCGCCTTTAGAAGGCCGTATGGCAAACATTTCGTCTTCGGTTACCGGCTCTTCATGAACGGGGCCATGTTTAAGCAAACGAAGTCTTTCGTACTGACTTTGTTTCCTTTTTCGAAGCAATATTTCCCACGCTTTGATTGCAGGGTCTTTGTCTTCCGCATCCACGTCGTCAAGTTTCACTTCTGGGTAGGGAATGTTTTGATCAACATTTTCTTGTTCTTCGGGAGGAAGAAGCAGTCCAACTGAACGATACTGCTCTTTGTATTCGGTATAATTGATATTAAGTGACTCCGAAATATTTATCATGTTATTGTAAATGTTGTAAAGGTTGGCATTGTTTGTTGACGGGAGAACCTTGAGTATGATCTTTGGCAATGCGGTTTTGAGATTATGAACGTATGGGAAATTATAATGGGAATTGGCCTGGTTTGATATAAAGAATGACTCATGGATAAGGGCATCAATGAACTGAAATATGGTGGATTTTGTATTAAGGTCAACTTTGGGGTCATCTAAGACATCCATTATAGCGTAGAAGAGGTAGTCTTCGCTTTCGGAATTCTTCAACGCAAAGTGTGCAGCACGGAGAAGTGACTGCATGTTTGGTGCAAGATTTCTTAGAATCTGAACAAACTGTGAGCTTGTCTCGAACGAGTCCATGATGTGCTTTTGATGCTGAATTGGTTTGGTGCTAAATGGAGCCTCGAAAGACATCTACACAAGTGCATATACACCTGTACACCACATACACTAAATCGACGTAAATATTATACGGATATATAAGTACGATTCAAGCAAAGTTCTGACCAGTTAATTAAAGACAATTGCTTTAATTAACATCGAAATTTCAGTCTTGGACGAAGGTGCTCTGAGCATAGGAAGGAGGCATGAGAGAACTTTAGGAGCATTGGAAATGGGTTCCTTTAACACAAGCTCGAATGCTATTGTTTGATTCAAAGATAGCTCAAGCCCGTAATGATACAGAATTAAATGAACTATATCAAAATATGAACCAAACTAGTTGGCGTTGTGTAGATAGTTATTGGTACATCCATACACCATAGTTCTTCATACAAAAATTTTTTTTCCCTCGCAACTTCCTAGAGCCTGTAACTCTTTCTGCTTATTCACAATGGGTAAATCGTCCAAAGGAAAGGGAGGTAAAAACAGAAGAAAGGGAAAGAACGATAATGGTGGTCAAAAGAGAGAATTGATCCACAAGGATGAGGGTCAAGAATATGCTCAGATTACCAAGATGTTGGGTAATGGTAGAATCGAAGTCAGCTGTTTCGATGGCGAGAAGAGAATGGGACACATCAGAGGTAAGTTGAGAAAGAAGGTCTGGATGGGCCAAGGTGATATTATCTTGGTGTCTTTGAGAGACTTCCAAGGTGACCAGTGTGATGTCATCCACAAATACAACTCTGATGAGGCTAGAACGTTGAAGAACATCGGTGAATTGCCAGAGACCGCCAAGATTAATGAGACTGATACCTTCGGTGCCGACGATGACGAAGAAGTGAACTTCGAGTTCGGTGATAACGATAATGAGTCTGAGGACGACGGTGAGTTGGATATCGATGATATTTAAACAGAATCCATTGCATTCGATTGTACCATAATAAACATAAAGAAAGAACAAAGCCGTAGTCTACTACAACTTGTAACATAAATTCATTCATTACTACTGCACAAGTGCTTAATTAAATATATTAACGATAGCAAAAATTAGTTGACCAAAGCAGAAGCGGTGGCAGACTCGTACTTCCAGTTAGGAGGCAAGACGGCAACGGTTCTGTAGTATCTGGCCAATCTGTGGATTCTAGATTCGATCAAAATCAATCTGAACTTAGAGTCCTTGTCCTTTCTGTTTCTCTCCAAGTGCTTTCTGACAGAGACAGCCTTCTTAATCAAGAAGTACAAGTCCTCTGGGATCTCAGGAGCCAAACCGTTAGACTTGAGGATTCTCAAGATCTTGTTACCGGTGACAACCTTAGCCTGAGAAACACCATGAGCATCTCTCAAGATAACACCAATCTGAGAAGGAGTCAAACCCTTTCTGGCGTACTTGATGATCTGCTCAACAACCTCGTCAGAGGAGAGCTTGAACCAAGCTGGAGCGTTTCTAGAGTATGGAATGGCAGAAGAGCTAATACCCTTACCCTGTTCATGTTAGTAAATAGTCTCGAAGCAGCACCCAGGTGGGGCCGTAAAGATCACAACTGGCAACACTCAGGCGAGGTTTGCTGATAGTTCGTACCAGAAAATCACTTCTTGGGTACAACAGCAAGACCTTCGAGCCCAAAATGCTCCTTGGTCTACAAATAGTGGAATCGATCAGCACATCGTACAAGTTCCATAATGACAGTGGTATCATGTAGCAAAAGCGGAACTCTCCTCGAAGGAAAGGACTTTTGACTAAGACCCAAATACTGTCGAAACCGTACACCGAATCAACCCAAAATCACTATTCAACCAAACCATGTTGTTCACTTGGAACACTTATTTGTCACATACAGAAGAATGCATACGACCCATGGCTGATAATTCTTTTTGTTAAAAGTTGAGGTGGATGAAGAAAATTCAGGATGGTGCGCACCTTATAAATCTGAAAAATTTTCTCTAGGAGTGTATGGGGAGAGACACATTTTTTTAATGGTACCGCAGAGCACCGTTCATGCTATGATATACGCAGGTGGAGTAGATAGGGTACTGGTAAATTTAGTTTCAATGTAACCAATGTCTATTTTTCCCTTCAATCATAAAGAATCATTTTGAAATTACTAATAGAGGGCAGATATCTTGAAGGTAGATAATCAGGAAAACTGGGTCAGGTTTGAGTGTGTTCTGACGAATGGTAGTCTCGCAGCCAATAAGCCTTCTTTGTAGCTACAAGCCTACTTTAGACACCGACATTGTGGTACTTTGGACGTTCTCGTCAAGTGAATCTTCTACCTTGCTTTTCGGTAATTATGTTTGTTCGATTTCTATTGAGGCCATCATTCTCAAGCAATTGTCTTATGAGCATACGTGTGAGTAGTCTATCATGGCTTGAACCTACCAAGTTCACATCTAATTCAACTTTTTCTCAATATCCTCAAAGTCTTCTTCCTCCTCTATTTCAATAAGTCTGTTGTTAGTAATGCATTTCTTCAACGGCTTGATGATACATACTTAGCCACACCGGCTTTCTCTCTGAAAAGCTCTACCGCGCCAGCGTAAAGCATTTTGTTCTCCTGTCCAGTCGTTGGTGGCCTCCAGTAAAGCAAAACAAATGGGCTCTTCACTCTGCCATCCGAAAGCTTGATAGGATATGATAGGAGGACATAGCGAGGGCTGTTATCTGGAAGTTCCTCAATGAGCTCCTCAATATTGTCAATTGGCTCAGTGCTCTCCTTTCTCACATCATTAGATCCTTTATCAATGGAGTCTGTAATTAGTATAAAAACCGTTAACGTTGCTCATGGTACATACAAATGACAGCTTGCATGTTGTCCGCCCTTGCACTGGCAAAGCGGAACTTGCGAAGATCTGAAAGCGTTTCAGAGCTAAAGTTATATAAAGAGGCCTGGAGTTAGCATCGTTGGATTTATTCTCTCAATCTTTTGAGTTTGTGGGCAAACGTACCATCGCTGGTGTAAGGCTGATAACAGTTGTAGTACGACCAATTTGGCGCGCAGAATGTAGGTGCTAATAAGTACACCAAAAGCGGTTGAAATGTAAACACAACTTTCGAGCAGTGGCTCGAAAAGGCTTCTTTTGCATTGTTTTGCGTACTTTGTTTTCTCCATTAACTGACTCCAAGCAAGTGAATCACATTTCTTCTGGCACTCAGCACTGTTCTTCAACCGTCCACTATGCCAAAAGCTAGACTGCCTATCCCGCTCATTGAGTTCTTGAGAAGTATGTATTGAACTGATTCATGACCGTTGTCGGACTTTACTAACTCTAAGATCGGATCTACTTGGGCTCTTACGACTATGCTCCAACTGACACGGTAGACTTGGTTTACTTCACCGTGGAAGATGCTTTACCCTACAATGCTTTCCACTTGGACTTTGGTCCTCTTAATATCGGAAGTTTGTATAGGTTTGCTGTCAGCCTACATAACATTTTGAATGAGGAGGCCAATCAGGGCAAAGGTGTTGTCTTTTATAGTTCTACTTCGCCAAAAGAGAGAGCTAATGCAGCCTGTTTGTTGTGTTGTTACATGGTGTTAGTGCAACTGTGGGCTCCCCATCAGGTTCTCCAACCAATCTGCCAAGTTGAATTCCCCTTCCTGCCTTTCCGAGATGCCGGCTACTCCAGCGCTGATTTCGAAATCACCATTCAGGATGTGGTCTACGCCATGTGGAGAGCCAAAGAGCGTGGCATGATAGACTTGACAACTTTCAACTTGGAGGAGTACGAGCAATATGAGAGAGTAGACCAGGGTGACTTCAATGTTATCTCGAAGGACTTTATCGCGTTCGCCTCTCCACAGCAGAAGAAGCCCGGCGTGTTGAACGAACCGTTCAAGAAAGTGCTCAACTTTTTTATCAACAACGATGTTCAATTGGCTGTCAGGCTCAATTCTCACTTGTATGACGCCAACGAATTTGAAAAGCGCAATATTCAACATATCGATATGATCTTTGAAGATGGCACATGCCCCACTTTGGAGTATGTTCAAAAATTCATTGGTGCTGCGGAGTGCGTTATCAACAACGGTGGAAAGATTGCCGTTCACTGCAAAGCCGGCTTGGGAAGAACGGGTTGTCTTATTGGTGCTCATTTGATTTATACCCACGGCTTCACTGCTAATGAGTGCATCGCCTATATGAGGATGATCCGCCCCGGAATGGTTGTGGGTCCTCAACAGCATTGGCTCTACTTGCACCAGCAGGATTTCCGTGATTGGAGACACACTATGTGTCTTGACAACAGGCCTGACGCATTCATTGGCGGTCTTTTCCCCTTGGTATCGTACAGCGAGTTCAAGGCCAGAATCAAAGAAGAGGCCAAGCAAAAGAGATTACAGCAACAGCAGCAGCAACTCAACTCATCCTATATGAGCCACTTCGACTCCTCATTCACGCATACACCTGTTAGAAGAAGAAAGATAAGTGAGCATTTGGCAAGCAAAATCCAGGGCGCCGTACCAATGGAATCGCCTGGACAACCTAGAAAATATGAAGAGGCAAACAACTCTTCTGTTCTCGATGTCATCAACAATTCAGATGAAGATAATCAAGCAGTTTCCATGCAAGATGCCGATAGTGGAGTTGAGCAGGAAATTAATAATGCTGACGGTGAGATCGTTCACAGCTCCCCTAAAAGGGATGCCAGTGACCATAGAATTTTGCGCTCAATCACCAACAGCAGTCAACTGCCCATGCTGATGACCAAAACCACAACCACTACGACGACTCGAACCATCAGTACCACCCTAACCTCAAACCCTTCGTCACCAAACGGATCCAAGATGCTCAAGTCTCGTTCAAGCACGAAGGTACACGCCGGTCTACTTCCAGGTAAGAATGTCGGTACCAGAGTTTACTCTGGCGGTGTCAGAAAGGTAAGTGGCAAAAAGTACTAAGCGTACGCTGTGGGCCTCCTCTGACCGTAATTCTAGCATGACTTCTCTTCATCTTTTGTATTATTTTATTACATAATCTTATTCCTGTTGATCGCCAAATTCTGATTCCTCGATGTGAAAGCCCAGATCGTCCGCAAATTTAAATGCAATATAGTCGTAGTCATTGAAGACGAGGTCCTCCAATTGCTTATCATCTTCCACTGGGAACCAATTGTTTTCATGTGGAGCGTTTCTATCCTTTGGCAAAGCGAGCAGAATGTCTTCAGCAGAGACCTCTACGCCTTCTTCTTCAGGAGGTGGAATCCCCTCTTCCTCGGGATCAAGGTTATCAACTATGCGTAGACCACCAGTAGAGTTGATTGCATTGGTCAAAGCGGTGATAAATGTCTCCTGATTGAGCGACTTCTTGTCGAGTATCAATGGAATGGAGTATGTTGAGCGAGATCTCTTAAATTTGAGTATAGTCACTGGAGTACGAGCTTTGGGAGGCTGAAGTTAGTGTATTGCGGCAGCAGTTATATAGAGCACGTACCATTATGTTCGATTGCTAGGAAGTAGTATTCAATGAGACTAGATGCCAAAGCTGTGAATCCACAATATGTTTAAAAGTAAACCTAAGTTTGGAAGTGGTGGGTTTTTTTTTTAGGTGTAGCTTAGTCAGTTTCTCACCACTATTGATTTAGCAGACATCGCGATACGACTGCGAAAAGCATATATACTACTAGTGCATGGCTTCACTCATATATACTCACAGCCACAGTGGGCTGATGAGATCTCTTTATCGAAATCTACTAAGAGGGTTGCTGAAGACAGAGACGTTACCCATAAAGCTTCGTCCTGATATCGAGGAAGACTTATACATCAAATCTGAACTAGAGAAAGCAGCTCTAGATCCTACCTATTACCGAGGCCTTCTCGTGTCAGAGCTACGATACCATATAAAAGAGAGAGCTAGAGTCAAAATCAGATCTTCCGTGGGGTTATACGTTTCTTTAAACAGAGCTGAATGTCTAATTGAGAGCTTAAGCGATCTCCAGAGGGACCCTTTGCAGCCGCTGCTGTGGCATCAGGTAATCAAGTTTTTGATTCAATTAAGAGACGATCAGTTCAAGCAACAGAAATGGAAAGATTTCTATCTCCGAAATCAAAGGAAGATCGATGAGCAGAGAAGAAAGCAGCTACCAATCAGGGTCCTCCGACGCCTAAACTCGAAAAGCTCAGAGACAAGACGCGAGAAACAATTCAAGTCACTAAAAACAAATGAAAAATTTAAGGAGCTCAAAACGGCCCTCAGGGAAAGCAACGAAGAAGAGGGCTTTGTCGTAAGAAACTACCTCAAACGACTCCAACTAGAGGGTCGTATACCTAATCCATATAAACTCCCATACATTTCGGAAAGCTTGACCCTACAATCATTGAATCTTCCAGATCCTAAAAAACTTCAACCTGGTTCTACAAAAGCATCTGTAATAGACCAGGCCTACGACCACGACTACATCCAGGCTATCATCGAACCAGAAGTGGAGTACCTCATTAATCAGTCATTCCTACAAGAAATAAGTGAAGAGATAAGCATCAAAGGTCCTAAAAAGGCTAGGATCAGGGGCACTAACGCTGGAGCTATGACGGCTTATTTCTTAGGTCCACCTCATGATGACCATAATACCATGAAAAGCATTGCTCTTGATATCAAAAAGCTGACAAGACTCTTCAAACTAAAGCACGTATGGAACATGAAATCCACAGACAAAGTTGCAATAGCTCATGAGAAGAGTGTCGGTAATGGATTTGCAGTTAAGGGGAGTGGAGGGTATTCTGACGACGAGGTTATCTGTACCAGGGAGTTTTATCAAAACTTGGCTGATGCAGAAGCTGATTGGGAGGCATTGATGAATGAGGTTAGAACTTCACAGCATGTGGGCAAGATGCCAAGCTTCGAAAAGAAAAGGCAACAGCTCCGCAACCAGTGGCGCCAACCGCTAGAGATCGCTACTGAGTCTATCAATTTAGAACTCAAGAGTGTCTGTGACAAGTACAAACTACTGGGGGCTATTTTTGAGAGACAAAAAGATGTTCAAAATGCTTTGAATGCACAATTCGAAGAGAGAGCCCTGAGGTATTCAAGTCTCTTGCAGGCTCTCAAGGATGACAATGTCTTTATGCATTCTGAGCTTGTCAACTTCAAGCACCCCGTCGAGCAGGGTTATTTTGAAGCCCTTGAAGCCGATTATGCAAGATCCTCAAAAAGCAAAAGAGGCATCTCTGTGTTGGAAAGGCTTGGCATGGGCAAAAAGCTAGGAGACTATCTTGCCTTGTTCAAATTTCGATTCTTCCAAATAGGCCGCAGATATCGGGAGCGGTTTAGATTCTAGGGAAGGTCTACAAAACTATAGCATTTTATCATGACGTTTCGTATCATTCGTAAAGTCCTTGTGACGTATGGTTCAAGCGGAGGTTTACACCATGTAGCCACCTAAGCTATGTCCGTTGGTGATGTACCCGTCGATGCCCCTAGCAGCTGCTTCTCTGTCGGGCTCTTGGGGTACGTCTTTGCTGTTAGCTCCGCCTTCGTGCTCAACGATGTCAAAGTCTTCGATGAGCTTAGCTAATTCCGAAGTTTCCTTATCGTTACCGTCTGTGACGGATAATCCGCTCATCATGGCAATTACATCAGTGAGCGTCTTACCTTGCTCTTTGAGCTCCCTGTGTTTGGCAAGCACTTCTTCTAGGCATGTGATGTTGTTCTCGTACCACTGGCCATCAATGGTAGCGAATGGAGGAACAACAGTGATATCTTTGCGAGAAAACACGGCCTCTTGGGAAAGTTGGTTGCGATAGAACATCAGAGCCTGGTAGTGGTCTTTGCAACAGTACTGTGATAAGTATGTGTTGGGAAGTATCATCAGTGGTTTTCGATTCCAGATCTGGTACCTTGTTGAGGTTTCCATACATGAGCCGTTGCTCCCGTGGGAGAGACGGCGAACTTTATGTTGTGGGGATTGATTGCACACTGGATACCCACATTGATGCTCGATGTTGCGCTCTTCCACAAGCTCATCGTACGAAGAGCGAGTTAAGAAGCGACTGAGAAACTTGAGGAGGGGAAGATCAATGGTATGGTCTAAAACCAATTCAGCTATCTTGAGTTGAAGCGAGGATGCCTCGCTTGGAGCGAGCATATCGCGATTAGCATAGGGTGCTAGTAAGGCTAGAAAAGCGTCGACAGTTAGAGTATCCGCGTTCATTCCGTATTGTTTTGCTTTGCATTAGTACTTTGAAGGTGACTGTTGCATACAATTTGTCTCTGGAAAGAAAACAGAAAACAAGAGTGGTTCCTCGCAGGACAACTTGTCTTGCCTTTATATACTGTGGCCTCTGCCTGTACACTGGTGAGATGATTGAGGATCTGCTGTGTCTTCCCCGGATCCAAAGCTGCGAAAGAATCAGTTGTTCTCTCACATTCGGACAAAAAATAAAAAATTTAATTTTATACGGAAACTCGGAATTACGACCTTCACAAGATAAATCGAATAGCCAATTATTTTTTGGCAGAAACGCTGACGTCGCTCACGTGATTTCATGGCATCTGCTTATCGCCAGTTTGGAATAACCTAAATCATCAACTCCTATTCATAATGGCCTCAGAGGAGGCAAATTCCGAAAAGCTTGATCCCATTCCAGCAACAGAAACAGCATCAACCCAGCGTGGCTCCACAAGTACCATCACCGGACATAGAGACTCGACATTATCTGACCTCGCTCCACAGAAGTCCAATTCGTTATATCCGTCACGATCGAGATCGTCCACAGCCAGCGGCTTCCTCAATTTCATCAAGAATGGTTCCAAGAGTACATTGGTATCAGAAAAGCAAGAGAAGAACAACTTCTTGTCTCTTTTCAGACTATTGATTCTCGAGCTCAATCTACCGAAGCCGGGCCACAGTAAACAGAAAGACATCAAGCATGAGGAGGAACAGAGGCGGGCGTATGAACAACTAACAAGCATGGTCAAAGTTCCTTTGTACCTAGAAAAATTTATCGTCTTTGGTCTTCTCGTTTGTCTCAATTCCTTTCTAACACTTTTCACGTTGGTCCCGCTAAAGATCGCTATAATATGCTATACAGCATTCACTGACTTTTTGACAAACTTGTCACAAACCGGAGGAGCAGATATTGGGATCATAACTAGAAAACTACATTTTATAAAAAGGGACTTGATCAATGTCTTTGTGATTCTCACAACTGTGGCTTTGCTAGCCTCCCCTACGGTTGAAGTATCCCGTCTATACCATGATGTCAGAGGTCAAGCTCATCTCAAATTGTACGTAATTTTTGGTGTTCTTGAGGTCATGGATAAGCTATTATCGTCAATTGGTCAGGAAATATTCACAGTACTTGTTGGAATACCCGTGACCAACACTAATATTCGTAACATGAGTAAGTTGGCTCTTTTCATGGGCATAGCACTTGTGTACTCTGCAAGCCATGCCTACGTTCTAATATACCAATCGGTATCTTTACATGTGGCTGCAAATTCATATTCGAATGCCCTCATGGCGCTTCTCCTTTCTAATCAGTTCGCTGAGCTTAAAGGTGCCGTGTTCAAAAAGTTTGATAGAGAGGGTTTATTCCAGGTAGCCATGTCTGACTTAACTGAGCGTTTCCAGCTTTCGCTAATGCTTTTCATTATCTCCATCAGAAACCTTGCCCAGTTGAACATGACACAGTTAGGGCTCGTTGTACCCGACAGTTGGAAATCATGGAACAAATGGTTTGGTGCCATATTTGGGCCATCCATGGTCGTTCTTGGCTCTGAAGTTTTTGTGGACTGGCTTAAACACTGTTTCATCATCAAATTCAATCGGATAAAACCCAGAGTCTACAAAAATTTTCTTTATGTCTCAAGCACTGATTTCATGGAGGTTTTTACGTCAAATTCAAGAAGATCAACTCTGAATGAAATATCGGATTATATCATTCTTGCGAAGAGAATTGGACTTCCTATTTCATCACTCTGTATTTGCTTCTTGAGGATGACATTACGGGATTTGAAGCAGCTTTATGTTCCATCACTCAATCTTCTGAGTATTCTTGCTTGTGGGCTTCTTGCTGTATTGACATTCATCACGTTGCTAGTCGTCAGACTAGTGCTAGGTCTTTGGCTTCTTCAGTGGGCTAGGAGAATCAAGCATAATCACGAGTCATATCAAAATGAATTGACAACCGCCGCCCTTACGAGCTCACTCATATCTGAGGAGCTGGCAGTTTCTTCCATACAAGAGGACTTCGGCCGAGAATTCACTCCAGAGGCTAATGGAGCTCTGCCATCAATTGGAGATAATTTGGCCATGCGTGAATCAAGTATCGATCCTATTGACACTACCTATTCAGGACTGGTGAAGTCACAGGAGTGGTCACCTGAAAATCCCAATGGCCACTATGGATATAGCTCCAGTGATTCACAGAGCGAAATAGAACAGTCTTTCATCCCTGGGGTTCCCAACACGGAGACTTCATCTATCAATCCCCGAACCAGAGGTTACCTTTACGACTATGGCGAGCTGGTCCCGCCAACCGGTGAAGAGAAGAGAAACGACTTGGTGAGGAAAAGGGGTAAGCTTGATTCTAATTTAGCATCTAATAGTGCCGAGGACGCACTAAGGACAGTCCATCGTTACGAGATGTCAAGCAAACGCATCTGGTAGCACCTGCAGTCATTATATACATTGTCATAAACTGGGACTATTTACAAGTTGGATCCCTTCGTCTTTGTATGCTCACTTCTTCTTGAGAAGCATCTCTTTCATCCTAGCACTGATGTAGCTCACAGTTTGTGGCCTAGGTCTCTTTAAGTTTGCTGCAAACGCCAAAGAAGCAGTGAGAAGGGCCAAAGCTCCGGCCTGGTGGCCAGCAGCCAATGGTATAGGAACCAAGTAGATAAGGGTCGAGATGCCCAAAGCCACCTGGAATGTGACCAAACCCATCATAGTGTGCATTGCCTTCTTTGCGTTTGGAGTAATGATCTTTTTACGTCTGTTGACGTAAATATGAGCAGCCAACACGGAAAAGAAAGTGGAAGTTGCAAGAATACGGTGAATAAGCTGCACGGTTGTTGGGTTCTCGAGTAAGTTTCTCCACCATAAGTCAGAGAGATCCTCTTTCCTAGCGTAAACAGGGTCCATGAGCTCCCTACGTGAAGGAACGTAGTCTTCGCCCATGTGTGGGAAAGTGTTGTAGATAAGACCGGCGTCCAAGCCAGCCACCATACCTCCTGACATTGCGGTGATGAAAGTCAAGCCCAATAAGGCAAGAGACATCTTTCTCATGGGGTTCAAAGCTGGATTGTTGAGCTTAGCGAGCTGGGTGGTGACAGCCTCAGCCTTGGTAGAGAGGTTCTGAACCCACTTGCTTTCATTGAGAACCTCGAACCCAGTCCAGAGAACACCCAAGTACATCAAGAATGCAGCACCCAAATGAGTGGTCAATCTGTACTGGGAGACTGTTGGTTTGGACCTTCTCTCGGCGAGCTGTTCCTCGTCTAATCCACTTTGGACCATCCACCAACCAATGAAGCCTTGTAACCCTAAGAGACCGGTAAGACCGACGACTCTTCGCGTGACGTGAGGACTGAATTTCTTTGTCTTCCAGAAGTAGATGGCAGGTAAAACGAAGAACATTCCGATGGCCCTACCCAAAAGACGGTGTCCCCATTCCATGCTAAAGATAAACTTGAACTCCTCCAAAGTAATGTGCGAGTTCAACTGCTTGAACTCAGGGGAGTTCTTATACTTATCAAACTCCTCCTCCCAGGCTTTCTCACCAATAGGAGGGATGGAGCCCGTGACTGGCTTCCACTCAGTGATTGAGAGACCTGACTCTGTGAGTCTGGTCAAGCCGCCCACAACGACAATACCAAAGATCAACCCAGAAGTAGCGATGAGCCAATAGCCGGTAGTTTTATTGGACACCACTGGAGGAGAGTTTTTCCCAGAAAAGGCTTTCTTCAAAGGTTCGGTGTTGATCTTGGGAACCTGGTTGGCTGCGAGTTCAGAAGAGGCAGTGGAGTAGCCTCGAAGACCCAAGGAGCGCCATATGCTGAAAGACAGTCTCTTTGGAGGAACTATAGAGAGACGCAGCCCCCGCGTGCTCTTTAAGATATTGAGCACGCTGGAATTTTTTGTGAAAAAAAAGCCCGAACGGCAGAACATGGATATGGTGGTTGAGGCAGCGATGGAGGAAAAGGCCTGATTGATATAGGTACACGTGACGCCAATGACAGTGCTGCGAATTGTAAAGATCAGGTAATGGTGCAGGCAAATCAGGCGACTAATACGAGGCGGCTAAAGGAGAGAAAAGGCTAGAGTTAACGATGAATATTCTGTATTGGGAGAGTTCCGATGTCTTTTTGTTTGCCCCATAAGTTCAAAGGTGTAGGATTTTAAATTTTTTCGGCAAGTGTGGGCACCAGGGGATTTGTGCGAGTGCCTCTATATGCGAGCTTGGGCTTTTTGCAACCATTATCTCCCTCATGGATCCACTGTCGTTCAAGCACACCGTGACAGTTTACAGTGTGCTTGTGCTTGCTTCCTCGGTTGTGGGAAGCGTAGCATACACTATTCTGATCGTGTTTCTAAGAAAACCACATAAAGCCAAAATGGATGAGGAATCTGCCTTTGCGTCACAAGAGCATACTGAAATGCTGCCAATTCCCGTACCCCAGTCTACAAACTCTATTAAATATGAGCCATGGAAGCCATTGATGAGAAAACTTCCAACGACTCCACCTTCTCCGTTTAATGACAACGAGCATATGGAAGTGACACCTGAGGCAGAGGCAATTGAGGACTCTGTGACTTATACCACTGAGCTGGGTACAGAAACACCAAACATCAACATGATAGTGCTGTCAACCCCAAACATAAGAAGTTACGTTTATCTGTCTCAGGAGCTCATAGATTTGGGAACTTTAATTGAAACACAGGCGATTGAGGTGCCTATCCAGAAGGATGAGAATGGCAGAAACAAGTCAAAAGTTAGGCTCTCTCAGCTCCTTAGATTTACCCATCTGATTCCTCGGCGTCACTTCTCGGATATTGACAGTTTGGAAAGGGCCATTGACGATATTTTGGTAGGTGCCGAGAGCTGCCCAGTCGACAAAACCATTAGTCTCTTCCGTCTTGTGACCATAGGCTCCACAGAGCAAACCTACGACAATGCCTACTTTTTCACCAGACCATTTCAACAAGCAATTGCCTGGTGTTCAGATTTATCCTTGTTCAGCCATGAGCCCGAGCTGTTGCAAATGAGTCTTGCAGAAATGCTCATATGCTGGTGCTGGAATCAATGGTGTTGCGCTCACGGAACACATACAAAGAGCAGTGAACTCTTGAGAGTTTTGGCCCAGGCAGCCTCAATGGCGCCCACTGAGACCTACCACAGTGTAGGTCACGTCGAGGTGATGGCTGTTTTGTGCCAGGTCTACAGCGGTCTTGGCTATTTTGCACCCAATGTTCAGAAACCTATGATGTTGAAGGCAGCCACGGTGATGAAGGCATGCTCTTCTACGGCCCCTTGCCATGTTCACAGAGATCTCGTACCGATTTACGCCCAGGCTGTGTGTGCTACTCTGCGCCAAAGCAGCCTTGTAGCTCTATATGAGTGTCTCAGTGTGCTAGTGGGTCCACATCGTCAATGCTGCTTAGAGTATAGAGACCTTGCACCGCCAACTTCTGACTTGCTTGCCTTGTTGAGACATGGTTTATGGACCAGGCAATTACCAGAGGTTCGAGAAAAAGCCCGGTCCTTGGCAGACAGAATAGGGGAAGAGTTTGAGCAAATGGAGGAGTGGTGCAATCGGGACGAGAGCTCGACCGAATCTGCGGATAACATAGTTGCTCCAGGAGCCTGGCTGATGTTTCGGTAAAGGTTTGATATAGAGTCTGATGTATAAAATTTTTAAGTTAGTTTCATTCGGGATCAGGTTCGATTCTCCAGACAAGCGTCAGGTGATAAGGGTAGATAAGAGACTCTTGGCGTTGTTGTTCAAAGAGGTAGGGAGAGGTACTTGTGGCTAATTAATGAGAGTCGATTTGATGAAAGTTTCCCTGGTGGAAGCAAAAATCATCCCTAAATACATGGCCTTAGGGTTATCGGATTTGTGGCCGATTGCTGGTTGCCCCTCATATTTCGCAACCAAAGGAGCCTTGGCTGCGGCTGTAAGAGGTATTCTCGAGAAAGCAAAGCTATTCTCTCCTTTCATTAAGCCTTCACTAAAGCATGCATAGCTAGATCCATAGTAGAAATGTTGCCAGATCTGGGTCCGCAGGGTCCGGGTTCGAGGCACCCCCGCCCGGCCCATTATGGTGTACCATAATAAAGGGAACCTGAGACACGGCTTTAGCCCGGAAGTGGAAGGACCCTTTTAGTAATTTGATACGCATACTTAAGACATTCTATAAGAACATTGTTCAGTTACGAAGCTTTCCGGGGTTACGCAATTGTGCTTCCCCACTGGCCGTTTCAGCCTCTATATGGTAACCGCTTTCTCATGGAACATTTGGCGTATCGCACCTCGGCCATTTTGTTGGTGTGCGGGTCCCTCTTCATGTGGTTTTGCAGCCATGTGAATTCACATAGGGCCTTCTACAACCACCCTTCGAACACCGTTCGTTTTGATTTTTCAAAATGGCTTCAATCTAGGGTTGGAAACCGTTTCCGTTCATCCGAGCATATGTACTGCTATCAACTGTAGTGGGAGCCGCTGGCAACAACTGCCCTTTGACACATGCACTCCTGGGCAGATTATGCGGAGAAGTATATAAGAGGTCTTTGCTTGTCAGCCATGACAACGCTATAAGTCGCATTTTTCGAGCTCCCACTCGATTCCTTTTCTTTACCTTTTAGCTTTGCCGGATAACTCTAGCTGCTAATCCCGTTCCTTATCTGTCTATATCACAATGTCTGGGCTTGAAATTGCTTCTGCCGCCATTGTGGGCTCCCAGTTGTTGGATGCCAAATTGCACGTTAGTGAGGACCTCAACTTGATCAAAAACGTGGTCTCTAAAGTTGTGCCATATGCTTATTCCGCCTACAGGGGTAGAGCTTCCTACTGGTACCTTTTTGAGAAGGCTGCCTTGAAATACCCTGACAATTTGGCTGTGTCGTTCCCTCGTCCTAAGAAGGATGCTCCTGCTCCTCAGAAGGACGCCGAGGGCTTCCCCATCTTTGACGACCAGTTCACCATGGAGAGCTACACCTACCGTGAGTTGTACGCCATGGTGTTGCGTTTGTCTTACATCTTGAAGAATGACTACGGCGTCACCTCCAAGGACACTATCGGTGTTGACTGCATGAACAAGCCCTTGTTCTTGTTGTTGTGGTTGGCCTTGTGGAACATTGGTGCCGTGCCTGCTTTCTTGAACTACAACACCAAGGACAAGCCATTGGTTCACTGTATCAAGATTGCCGATGTGTCTCAGGTCTTCATTGACCCTGATTGTGCTCAGCCAATCAAGGACACTGAGCCAATGATCAATGAAGAATTGCCCAATGTCAAGTTGCACTACATCAATGAGCCAGAGTTGCTCAAGGTGTTGAGCGACAGATCTAGACCTAAGCACAGAGCCGCAGACAACACCAGAAGACCAGAGGACAAAGACTCGTCTTGCTGTGCTTTGATCTACACTTCTGGTACCACCGGTTTGCCCAAGGCCGGTATCATGTCGTGGAGAAAGGCCTTCATGGCTACTGCCTTCTTCGGCTCCATCATGAAGATCAACAAGAAATCCACTGTCATGACTGCCATGCCTCTATATCACTCTACTGCCGCCATGTTGGGTGTTTGTCCTACCCTTTCTACAGGTGGTTGTGTGGTTGTGTGCCAAAAGTTCTCTGCCTCCACTTTCTGGACTCAGGCTAGATTGTCCGATGCCACTCACATCCAGTACGTTGGTGAGGTTTGTCGTTACTTGTTGAACTCCAAGCCTCATCCAGACCAAGCCAAGCATCAAGTTAAGATCGCTTATGGTAACGGTTTGAGAAGGGACATCTGGAGAGAGTTTAAGAAGAGATTCCACATTGAGGGTGTCGGTGAGTTCTACGCTTCTACCGAATCTCCTATTGCCACCACCAACATTCAATACGGTGACTTTGGTGTGGGTGCCTGCCGTAAGTACGGTTCGCTCATCTCCACCGTCCTTGGCTTCTCGCAGGTCTTGGTCAAGATGGACCCTGATGACGAGAGTGAGATCTGGAGAGACCCAAAGACCGGTATGTGTGTCAAGGCCGACGTTAACACTCCAGGTGAGTTGTTGATGAAGATCATGGACGCCAAGAACGTTGAGGGCTCTTTCCAGGGTTACTACGGTAACAACGAGGCCACCAACAAGAAGGTTATCAGAGATGTCTTCAGGAAGGGTGATGCCTGGTTCAGATCTGGTGACTTGTTGAGAATGGATGAGGACAACTTGTTGTATTTCGTCGACAGATTGGGTGACACGTTCAGATGGAGATCGGAGAACGTTTCTGCTACTGAGGTTGAGAACGAAGTGATGGGCTCTGGTGCTATCAAGCAGTCTGTCGTTGTTGGTGTTCGTGTGCCAAACTACGAGGGTAGAGCTGGTTTTGCTGTCGTTGACCCCGCTGACGGTCTCAGTGATGAGGAGGTCTTGGCCAAGATTCACGCTCACGTTGTCAAGTCCTTGCCTAAGTATGCTGTTCCTCAATTCATCAAGATCAAGTCTGGTGGAATTGCTGCTTCTCATAACCACAAGGTTCCAAAGAACCAGTTCAAGAACCAGAAGTTGCCAAAGGGTGAGAACGGTGACGATCTCATCTACTGGTTAAACGGCGACCGTTATGAAGAATTGACCGAGGACGCCTGGGCCCACATCATGAGCGGCAAGACCAAGTTATAATTTATCAAGTATTTATGAATCGCAATCAATTCTACTTCAGTTAACAAACGGATAGTATCATTAGATCTATTTTTCGGAAATGGCGACAACACCTGGCAAGGCCTTGCCCTCCAACAATTCCAAAGAGGCACCGCCACCAGTGGAAACGTGAGACAACTTGTCAGAAACACCGAACTTCTTGGCAACAGTAGCAGTGTCACCACCACCAATGATAACAGTGTTACCGTTAGAGGCAGACTTGACAGCAGCGTCCAACATGGACTTGGTACCGTCGGCGAACTTCTCAAACTCGAAGACACCTGGTGGACCGTTCCAGACAATGGTCTTGGCCTTAGCAATGGCATCAGCAAAGAGCTCTCTGGACTTTGGACCAGCATCCAAACCCATCCAGCCATCTGGGATACCCTCCTCCTGGGTAGCAACACCAGTCTCAGCGTCCTTGTCAAACTTGTCACCGGTGACGAAGTCCACAGGCAAAACAATCTCAACATTGTTCTTCTTGGCCTTAGCGACCAAGTTTTCAACGTTCTCAGCGCCAGCCTCGTCGAAAAGAGAGTTACCAATTGGCATCTTGTCCAAGACCTTCTTGAAGGTGAAGGCCATACCACCACCGACGATCAAGATGTTGACCTTGTCCAACAAGTTGTCGATCAATTGAATCTTGTCGGAGACCTTAGCACCACCCAAGATGGCCAAGAAAGGTCTGGTTGGGTTTTCCAAGGCCTTAGCGAAGTACTCCAACTCCTTAGCCATCAAGAAACCAGAAGCCTTTTGAGGCAAGTCAACACCAACCATGGAAGAGTGGGCTCTGTGGGCGGTACCGAAAGCGTCGTTGACGTAAACGTCGGCCAAGGCAGTCAAGCCCTTTCTGAACTTCTCGACGTCCTCAGCAGAAGCCTTCTCCTTCTTACCGTCGACCTTCTTGGAGCCCTCCTCCTCAATGTGGAAACGCAAGTTCTCCAACAAGAAGATCTGGCCATCAGAGCCGGCATTGACGGCGTCCTCGACCTTTGGACCAACACAGTCGTCCAAGAAGGTCACCTTGTTCTCTGGCAAAAGAGACTGCAATTCCTTAGCAACAGGGGACAAGGAGTACTTCTCGACACGCTCACCGTTTGGTCTACCCAAGTGAGAGGCCAAGATGACAGCCTTTGGCTTCTGCTCCAACACATACTTGATGGTTGGCAAGGCAGCAACGATTCTTTGGTTGTTGGTGATGGTGGAGCCGTCCAATGGCACGTTGAAGTCGACTCTGATGAAGACACGCTTGTTAGCGAGGTCCAAATCTTTCACAGACAATTTCTTTGAGAGAGACATGATGTAGCGAAGCAAAGTAATAGAGAAAAAGCTCCCGGGGATCGTGGTGGTCGCGACCTTATATATGCCCTCCATCAGTAGACCCCACGGTCGGTACTCACCCGTCACCTGAGGCAGCGTCAGCATACTCCGCGGGTAACTTTCAGGGTGTCAATTGCTCTGGGTTATGGTTTTTACGTCTATTTTCATCAAATTGAACTTGTAGTATAATTTGTCAATTGAAATGTCCCGGTGCGGGCTAAAGGAAGCCCGGAACTGTCGCACCACAAGATCACCATGTGCGGTCCCGGGTCCAGAAACAACACAGGCACTGGAGGCAGTGACAATTAAGCGAGAGTCTATTTCGACTCAATCAAGATAGATCTACCTCTTGAGACATCTCTGGGTTTGAAAATCATCGAACCTTCTGGAACCTTCGGTGCTTCCTGCATTGGTAGTTAAGTACCTTCAGCAATCTCTTCTTTCATCCAACATGGAGAAAATATTGCAATGGTCCATAGCGTCGCAAAGCGGCGATAAGGAGGCGATGGAAAAAATCGGAGCTCCCACTTCAGAGGAACTCTCTAAGCTTTTTGGTGCTGGTGGGCCTGACGAGCCCACTCTCATGAAGCAGTCCATCGCAGTGGTGGAACACCCTGAGGCCACACTTGAAGCCAAGGAAACCGCCTTGGACAATTTCGAAATGCTTGTGGAGAATCTTGATAATGCAAACAATATCGAGAACCTCAAACTTTGGCCAAGTATCATTGCACAGCTCAACGGATCAGAGTCTCTCAGTATTCTCGCTGCCTCTATCATTGGAGTCGCTACCCAGAACAATCCTGATTCACAGAAGGCTTTTCTTGAAAAAGAGGATGGTTTGGCCTCGCTTATCAAGCTCGTAAACGATGAAGGAACTCCAAGAGAGCTTCTTCTCAAATCGCTCTTTGCGATGTCTTGCTTGGTGAGAAACTACGCCGATGCCACCAATCTGTTCGCTGAATTGAACGGTTGGGAAGCTCTCCATTTGCAATCGTCTCATAGTGATCATAAGCTTTTGTTGCGCAAATTATCATTGATTTCTGCGCTCTTGTCCACTGGGTTGGACGACACCAAGCTCGAGCACTTCAAGAAGATCAGCTTCGTGGATAATCTTATTTCCGCTTTCGACACTGAAAACGTCGGCTGCATTGACAAAGTTCTCAGCATCATCACTCAGCTCCATACTCTCAAGTACCAGTTCACTAGCGAGGAAATCTCCAGACTTGCTCACAAATTGGATAGCGTTGATCATTTGAAGGACAGACTCACAGAGGACGACTTCAATACCGCAAGGCAAGTAGCCTCTTCATAAATTACTACGCCCCATACTAACAATCAGTGCTTTCATAACCACAGAGTGTCTTCGCCGAAATGTATTATAAACCTTAATAAACTCAACTTCTATGTGATAACCTGCGATGGATCCGTAGCTGTAAACACTCGCTTCATTGCTGCATTGGCAGAAGGAGGGACGATATTTTTGCCCTTGACAGTTCCAAGCGAGTCATTAGTGAGAAATCGCTTGTATATCGCCACGGGCGAAGTGTAAAATTCATAAAGCTTCTCAGCTCTTGGTTGCGTCATGAGATTGAACTTCTTGAGTATCTCGATAAATGTGCTTCGTTGGTCGGTACCCAGTCTGACAGTACCTATGTTCGCAAGGCTTGCGTTTCTTTGAAATTTGTCGTAAAGCGCAGATCCAATGGTGTAAGTGAATGAGTGGAGCCAGTCGATAGCTTCATGTTGATTTCTGACACTAAACATATTGAGACCGAAATCAACACCAGCCTGCTGAATGCAAAGTTGGGCTTCAGAGGCCTTGAGAACGACCTCTTCCTGCTTTCGTTTTTTGGACACCGGCTCGTTCATTTTTTCGAGCATTTGATCTCTATAGGCCCTATCTTCTATACCTTGAAGCTTTCGAAGATACTCTTTGAGACCAGTAACCATCACCATGACATAGTAATCAATATTCGGCTCTTCAGCCCTTGCACTTCTCACAGCTAAATCGTGATCGACTCTCAAACTGCCTTTTTGTATCAGTTCTATCAAGACATCCGCCTCATAGAATAGTACGATAACCTTTTCTGAGAGTTCTCTTGGTTCACAGGGCTCAAATATATCTTTCTGTATGTTGAGTATTGCCTTCACTTTCCGCTTCCATGAAATGCTGGGGATGTTTGTCGTTTTCTTCCTACACTGAGTGCCAGTGAAGACTTCGTCAAAGTAAGTCCCACTAAGCTTACTTTCGACGGAGGACGCAAGCTCAATAATCATTTCGGAGAGGATTTCCTCCTTCTTCCTTGTTGCCTTGTTGGCCTCCTTCCAATCCTTCTTAGAAAACTTCTCATCCTTTTGATTGGTCTTTTGTGATTTTGTTTGGCTAGCTGGTTCGGTAAACACCTGACTTGTTTTTGGTGAGCTTGTTATTGGGTCAGATAATTCGTCTTCGATAAATTCTGGTATAAGCTTCTTCGTGGTTATCTTTGATGGCTGCTTCGGTAGATTGATGGCGGGTTCGGTAACCTTTACGTCATCTACCCTTTTCTCGAGTTGTTGACTGAAGCTTGATGGTGGTATAATCTTTTTGACCCTCCTCTTGGGAGCAGGCATACTCAGAAGGTCTATGCTTTCCTCATCTGACGAGCTAATCCAATTCTCGATATCCAAGACGCTCCCGCTTTTGGTGGCTTGGGGGACAACTTCCACTATATTATGTTCTTCTTGATGAGGCTCGCAAGGCGAGCTTGGCGGTAGGGGTCGTCTTTGAGTTGCAGAGTTTGTCGTGCAAACGATGGGATCTGAATCATCTGTAAGCCTATTGTTAGTATTGATCAGGAGGATTCGATATTGGTACATACAAAATCACGTCTTTGCTTCTATTCGACTCATACTGAAACGACGTATCCTCGCTATTTACTTCAATCACCTCCATTGGCAGTGATATATAGTCATTGAAGTCTCTGTTGGAGTAGATCGCGATATGTAAACATCGATCGCATCCCCCACAAAGTAATGCACTTCCAACAATTTCAAGATTTCAAGTTTGGGGTGAATTTTTTTCAAAGAGATCTGATCAGGAGTTAGCTAATTTAGGCAATGAAACATTATCTTACTTAAATTAACATTTTGCAATTTTACATTCTTGTGTCTTATTTTGACAGTAGCTGCGAAATCTCACTCTATAACTCAAATATGAGGCCAAATTAACTATCACCTCTATTTGATTTGCTCAAAAAATATGTCGAACGTGATGATTATATAACTTTTGTCGTTCACAAACAGTTCAACTCTTTTATTCATATGCTAACATTATTTATTGAATTTCAGGCTTTACAATCCAAGATACTGTCTTCTCTAGGTAATAGCTGATTCAAACCTGTGCACCAGACTCTCTCGGATATCTGGCAGAATAGATTCTCCACAAAACATATACAATTTCTACAGCAAATTAGACATGGGCAATCGTCGTCGTGCTGTGAGCATGGCCTTCAATGGCTCCATGTCAGAAGATGATGAAAGAAAAACAAAAAAGTCCATTGCGGACATCAAAACATTATACAAAGACATCCGTTACGACTGGTCTCAGTTGACCACTGGAGATACGACACCAATTGAATTAGCCATTGCGTTCCTTGATGATACCTCCGTTGGCTTAGCCCATAGAAAGGCAGAATTTGATGATCTTTGTGAATCCACAAGTGATACTCTTCGAAGAGCGGTAGTGGAGAATCACGAAATCTTCAACAACTCGGTTGGTCTGTTCCACATGCTCATGTCAATTGCCAAAGAGTCACAGGATGACTCTGCCCTGATAAAGAGCCTCATTGAATCGAGTACCCGTGATATGAACGACAGAATGGGTGTGCTCAAGGAGCTTGATAGCAGTTCTGAGAAGTATTCTGAAATGCTTGAAATACTTGACGCCATCGAGAGCTTGCATCAAATACCGGATACAGTGGATAAGCTTGCCGCCGATAAGGAACTACACAAAGTTTATGACACTATTGCCGAGGGCTATAAAATAGCGGCCAAGTACAATCTCTGGCAACTTCCCGCCTTGGCCGGCATCCAAAGCTACTTGGATAACCAGTCTAACAGTCTATATGATATGATTGTTGACGAGCTCCGGAATGAGATTTATCTCAAAAATTCAAGTGTCTTCAACCTGGGGAAGGAATTGTGGATCGATCATCTCTCGTCGAACAATCCTCAAATTGCATCTTTCAAAACATTGATAAAGCAGCTGAATAACTTGGAGCTGTACATCTATAATTCGGCGAATTTGGATATTGGGGAAATTGCATCTTGTTTTGCAGAACCGGCTGCTACTTTCATCGAGCATCAGCTTCCCAAAATTCATGCCCACTACTCCAAGTTTCAAACTTCGAAAGCAGACTACTCGTTGATACTTGAATATGCTTCTAGTGTGAACTCAGAATCATTCTATTACCTTTACATGTTACTCACTACTGCTTCAAAGCTCAACAGATTGAATTCTGTGTTAGAGATTTTGGTGTCATCTGTTCAGGTTGAGCTTCATGACTTGATCAATCGGACCACACAGGAGTGTAAGCAAAGAAATCTTCCACAACTTGCCCGACTTGCCAAGGCTGTCAAATTTGAGTTCGGTTCTGGATCAGAGAAAATCAGCGGTCAAACCTTTAACGATGCCGCTGTCCCGATTCTCCAAGATTTCTTCAGTACAATCATCACAAAAGCAACAGTGGTGCTACTGAAACATAAAGTGATATGTGAAGTGGTGAAATTGATAGAGAGCAGTCATGCGGTGGGATCAACAGGTCGTGACTCTAGTGTTGGACCTCCATCACCCACTTATGATTTCAACACAATTTGGAACTTACTCAAGAAAGAGATCGAAGCACTTATTGTGAGTTACATTTACGACGACAACACCGAGGATGGCGCCAAACATGCCCAAGATCTCAATCAGTCTGCAAACAAATTGCATCACATTTTGGCGAACAAACAATTGTTCAAGTTCGACAACGTGTCTTCTGGATCCATCAGCAAAACAACTGAGGATATGACTATGGTTCTCAACGAAATGTTCCCTGGGTTTAGCCCGAGCTCGAAAAAAGGATCGATTCAGGATTCCGAGGTTGAAGTGTCGCCGTACATCACCAATGAGCAGTTCAATAGTCTTGCAGAGGACTTAGTGCCCAAAAACATCTTTAACATGAGAATTATATTAGAGTTTTTCCTCGTGTTCATATCAGCTTCTCAAGAAATGCTCACCGACTTTGGAAAGGGCAAGGGCTTAAACTTAACGGCATATCAGTTCTTTTACGATTTCATGAAAAACTCTTTCCACAGAAAGCTTCACAACGACCTCAATCTCAACTTCGAGAGATGTATGGTGGGTGAACTAGACCAAGTGTTGGCCAGTGAGGGTAATTTGAACGTTAAATTTACACAAGAGACAATCAACTTGAATGATGACGAATCCGAAAATCAAGCCTTGGCGAGCTTCCATCGCTCTAATTCAGCAGCTAACAGGGTTTATGCCAACGCTAACAACTTTCGTCGTTTATTCAACCATACATGTCACTCATTGAATACTTCCTTCACCTACAGGCGAGACATAAGTGACCTTGCACTCAACTTGCTCAAAAAATTTGCAAAGTCTTATAACGAGTACTTTAAAGAGCTCTTATCAACAGGTGTCGGCCACGATATTACGGAAATGGGCATTGGAATAGGCGAGCGTTCGAAGCATATTCTGCAAATCAACAAATGGCTCAAAACTCCTGCCCTTTTGGAAATGAGCGGGGGAATTCTCCAGCATCATGACGACCTTGAGGGCTGCGCACCATTGATAAACAAGGAAATCGATTTGATGCTCTTCAAATCCAATCATTCTCCAAACATTTTTGATATCACCAAAGACGATTTATTCGACGATGAATGGTTTGACCAAGTTTGTTACTTACTTCTTACAGCATCATGGATTCTTCTGTGGTTGCCTAGCATGAGAAAGGAGTCGAACTACACAATTTACGAAACTGGAATTCCAAAAGCGAAGGTGTCCGAGGTAGACAAATTGAGATACGACTGGTCGATCTTAGAGAACGGACGCTCGACATTTGCGATCGCTGAAAAGACTCAGAATGTGTACTTGACTCTCAACCTGGCAAAAATTGGAGAGTTTGACGACGTCATTCAAACTTTTGAGAGTATCAGGGATCAAACGTTGATCGCCTTAAGGTACGATCTACGCCTCAAAGCATTGTACTACATCGGCAAGTCATACCGTGAGAACTTCGTTCTCGGCACTGAACCAGCCGACTCGGATCAGTTCATCGGTCAATACAACCGAGAGGTGTATTCAATTGGTACAAAGATTTCGGAGAGACTTAGCTCTGCCGAGACCGACTGTGTCTTTGTTGGTTTGCCCAACTTTTTAACTCGATCATTCTTACAAGGCAGTGAGATGATACAAGTGGCGAACAAGAACGGTATCAAGAAAATTCTTTTGAACATTATCACCATCCAGCAGATGCTTCGGAGTGTGATGAAGGAGGTGGACCATGTGGACTTCAGTAGGGCATCGAGGTATTTCGAGCTCTTCACTGCCTCAGAGCATGTCCTCCTCCAAAAGGTGTCGGAGAGCAAGGACGCATACACGCGTGAAGAGGTGCTCAATTTGCTTCGCTTGATCTACAGTGAGAAGCTTCAATCAGGCAATGCCAGTTCATTTAACAAAAGTAAGTTCGGAGAGCTTTCCAAGAAAATCTCGGACATATTTGTATAGTATGGGAGGAATTATCATATCATTCAAAACAAATTACTATAGACAAAGATCATTAATGGTGACCGGCGAAATTATTGGCGCCGGGCAGGAGGTTAAGCTTGTTGCTCAACTTTTCAAAGAAGAAGCGACCGAAGGTGTTACCCAAGATGACGGAAAAGAAGTAGACAAGACTGAAGGTCATGGCCACCAACATCAAGGCATAGCCAAACATCTCGGGAATGAAGCACAAAATGATTCTGATAAAGTCTCTCATCAAGTAGGTGAAGAACGAGTGGCTTGCAGGTCTTGTGGTTTGTTCCACAGACTCCAGGCCCTTACCAGAGTTAGCCTCCTCATCATCACAAGCACACTCGTCAATGATGGTTGTTTGACGGTTGTAATTAGGGTTGTGCCAAACCTTCAGCTCCAAGTAGTTCTTGAGGAACTCACAGCCTTTTCCAACAAAGGCTACCACGAAGAAGAGGAGGAAAATACCAAACGCCTCACCGCCGTTGTTAGCCACAAGGGACTTGAACAAGACAGGGTATCCCTCGTACTTGGTAGTCAACCACATGTTCATACCCATCATACTGTGGTCCATGCTCCCGTGGTCCATACTGCCATGGTCCATGCTGCCATGATCCATAGTAGACGAGCTCATGGACATACTGTCCGTAGCGCTGTGCATGGCGTGGTCCATCGACATGGATCCCATAGACATTGATCCCATATCCATCTTGAAAGGCTTAGTGTTTGATTGATTTATTCAGGGAGCCGACTCATTTTATATATTGTCAGAGCATGGATTTGAGCACATTCATTGAGCACTTTAGTGAGCCCGATCGGGAAGGCGTTCTTGCTCGCACTGCACCGTCTAGGCGAGCATATTGCAGCTCTCTATGGAGAACTGTCAATGGTACGATAGCGGATGCAGTTAAACGTCAAAGTGAAACTCGGTTTTGATATATCGGTGAAATTCGTTATCTGTTGTCATCGGTATATAATTTGCAAGAGACCTTGTAGATATGGTTCAGATGAGGATGCATTTGCCGAGATTCGGCTTTCAATATTTTCTGCCGATTATCCAAGGAGGCGCTAATCAGTGCTGTCTATAAATTTGCTCAGTAGCTGTAGGTTTCTGCTTTGTACGTCGTGTTGGTGTGCCATGCCTGCAAAACCGTGAGAACCAATAAGGTATTGACCGCCCAACGGTAATGGAGATGTACGATCACGAACAAAAGCGGACTATTTAACTTCTCGTTTCTTATTTCACAAGGCGTTATCCTTGCGGGATTTTTCAACTCCTTCCCGAAGAAATGTCCAACGGGCGATCTGTAATAAAGCCCTCCTCTGGGCCTCATCACGTGCCCCTACACTCACTTTGGTAGATCGGGCCCTAGATCCAACCACATGCTTGTGCCTCCAGACAATTTTGGCTTAATAGAGCCAGGTGTATACCGATGCCTGAAGCTTGAAGCAGACCACACACCATTCTTGGCCACGCTACAACTCAATTCGATTGTTCTTCTCGACGCAGCAAAGCCCCCGAGGAATTTGAAGGCCTTCTTGGAGGAGAATGGCGTCAAATTGTTTAAGCTAGGGGGTCTCAAAATCACAAGTCACAGTGCTTACGGCAAGGATAGCGACAAGGCCGAGAAGTCGACGGATTCTCAGCTGTCGGTCGGAAAGGGTGAGATCGAGGTGATACCCTTAGACAGCAGCAGCGGAACCAGCAACGAGAACAATCTGTGGATGCTCATTGAGCCTGGACTAATAGAGGGCGCTTTTGAGATAATCCTTAACAAAAACAGACACAACGTGTTGGTTGTGGATCTGTCGCTGACATTAGTTGGTATCCTCCGACGTATTCAGAAATGGAACTTCAATTCCATCGTCAATGAATATCGTATCTACACGGGGAATTCAAGCAAGAATAATTACAACGCTGAGAACTTTTTGGAGCTAATAGAGGTGGAGTTAATTCCGTTCGAGGTCGATCAGTGGTTGCGAAACAAAAGGGACAAAAGTCTGGAGGTCTCGGAGTCGAAAGGGTCCATCGCGTCCATCGGCAGTAATCGCCGCGTCAGAAATTCCGTGGATGAAGGCGATGCAACAAATGACGATGGGGACGTATCGGCCGATGATTACGAAGACGACATGGACGACGATCTTCTTCTGGCTTCGCCTCAAATTCCTGCTAATTTGCTCAAACTAGTGGAACAGCGGAAAAACGAAGAGCTGGGATCCGTTGCAGCGTCTCCGGGAACACCACCTGAGCACAGGATCTCTCACCTCCTGCTCGAAAAGCCGTTGCCCGGAAGTAGTGGAAGCAGAAATAACAGTTTTAGCGGAGACAATATTAACCTAGCTGCACACCGCCGAAAACTGTCTATCGATACCAGAATCACCCGGCCAAGCAACTTGAGGTTTCGCAAACCCAGTTTTGAAGCTAAATCACCAGGACGCAGGTCGTCCTTTGAAAGCAGTCTTCGCCATTATAGACTTGAGCGGGAAAGATCCGGTGGCCCTGAGGACTTAGCCAAAACTAAGGAACTTTACGGATTCCAATACTACAAACCACGGGTTGTTGCAAAGTCATCATTTGTTGAACCTATCAAACTTCATCTACCACCTGAGCATAAGCTTCCAGAGTGGTTTACAAGAGGAAGAGATTTTTGGGAAAATCAGTACAGACAATTAAATTCGTGATAGGAAATCATAAATAATCAACATGAATCTTGCATAGACCTAGCCCGTTTTGTAGCTACATAGTTTGTTGAAGTGACGGCTCTTGACGCCGACAAATATATATTATCCTTAGCCTCATATCCCGCGAAGCGGGTATGCAAATAGTGGTATGAAAGGAAGAAGAATTGAAAAGATAATGATCGTAACAGCATGAGACGGTTGAAATCAGATGTAACACTAGTCCAGGCTTTCTTCCTTGAGGAAATCTGCCATATTGGCCTGGTCATCCTCACCGTTCTCGCCAGACTGGAAGTCGTCTTCATCGAATTCGGCTTCCTGCTGGAGTTTCGAGCAGCGCTTACTTTTGTCTGTGTTTAGAACGTGCTCATTGAGCCAGTCATTTCCAGTGAAATGTTGTCCACAGGCATTACAGTGTCCACGAACCATGAGCTTCTCTTTCAAGTTTGGCGCTAGACGGGTCTTTGGATCCTCGAAGGTGAAGTGAACATTGAGCAAGTGTTTCTTGTAGTCGTAAGGCCTGTTGAATTTTCCGGATTTATGGGAGCATACACTCCTTGGGAAGACACATTGGAAGCGTCCGATCTCATTATGGATTCTAGAATGCCTCGTGAAATCCCTGCTTATATGCTTATCACAAATAGGACAAATGACGACTCTGCTCGACTTCTTTTTCTTCTTGATGTCAGATTTTGCCGAAGTCATAGCACTCAGCGCAGATTGCGACCGTTCAAGAACAGGACGGTCTGGGAATAAACTTTGAGCTTGGGTAACTGGAGCTTTGTTGACTGGTCTGTATTGCTCTTGATAATTCACTGGCATACCATGATTGTATGCATGGGCACCGTGCATGCCGCTCTGTTGAGAGTGGTCGAGGTGATAGTCATGGCCGTGAGAATGCTGATGCTGGTTGTGAGGTTGTGGATGAGGATGCTGGTGATGCTGATGAGAGTGAAGCTGTTGTTGATGATGAGCTGGGTATTCGTGATGATCAAAGTGGTGCTGGTTGTGATCGACATTATGTTGCAGGGCATGTAGAGACATATTGTGGCCAAAAGTGTGGTCAACGTAGTTGTCGTCAAAATGTGGAATGCCATGGTTATAATCCTCGAAACTCTCGGGCACTGGCACAAAGCCTTCGAGAGGAATTTGAGCAAGGTCATCAAAGTCGGTGCTATTGTCGTCACTTTTCGTCACACTTGCACGGTCAACATCCTTCGGAAGCGAAAGGTAGCCCGCAGGCATTCCCCCATCTGACAAGGTAAAGCTTCCATCATTTTCACCCAACTGGATGTCAAAGGAGCCGAAGTAGCCCAAGTCGCTAGTGTTTGGCGGGTTCATTAGCGGTGTAACGTTCTCTTGACCGCTATCCCATTCCACACCGTTTTTATGGAATAGGACGTCGGGGTCGGAGATTTTCATTTGCTGGTAGGTCAAGTCGACCCGGGAGTCAGAGCCAACGGAACCAGCTTGAATGTTCTGATCCTTCACACGAAGCATCACATTCGGAGCTTGTAAGTTATCTAGCGCAATGTGAAAGCCCGGGTTCTTCTTCTTGTTCTTCACAAGCCCTTCTCTGTTGGAGGTCTCGGAAGAATTGTGCAAGACCGGCGGCAGGTCGCTGACAGCCCTCGAATCCTCGGCATTATAATTTATTGAGTTTGATAGTCTGCTCTTGTGGCGAGCTTTCTTGTCAGAGAAAGTTCTCTGTCTACTGCTCATATGACCAAAGTTCTTCGGAGTGGTGCCCGGTTGTGGTTTCCATTGATTAACCCGAAGCTGACTTCGAGCCAGCGAGCCAGCGTCGGCGTGCTCGTGGTTGGAAGACAAGGTGTAATCCTGAGAGACCTCATCGTGGGGCACCACAAACGTGAAATAGTCGTCGCCGGAAGACGGAGCAGCAGGAGCCGAGATGGGCCCTTGCTGGAGATGCAGCAAATTCACCTGGCTATAATGGAGATAGTCGTTGTATTCCAGATCCATGGTCGGGAATGGGGGTTTCGATGAACGGGCCAGCTTGACTTGAGACATGAGAAAGTCGGCAGGTATATAGGAGCAGCTCCGGCGATAGATAGTGCTGTGAAAATGCGCACTTCCTACTTGAGGCCAAGGTGGAGCTGTTGGCGATAAATATAAAGCCGGAATTAGACCAACAGACACTAATCGGGGGGTGCTGCCTCGTAAGCGATAGGGAGGACGAGTAGGTGGCGGTTAGGATAAGCGGATGCTTGCAGGATACTTTCCCTTCTTCCTCGGCGGCTATAACAGTTTGACCTGTATCGACCAAAAGAAGATGAGTTGCTTCCTCGAAATTCGACCCTTCAGGAAAACCCAGTGATACAGGCGCACTAGGTCACGTGGCTTATTCAGCAATCTTCGTCTAAAGAGGCAGGCTAGACGAATTCAATGACAGACGCCGAGAATAAGACGCCCGTGACCTGCGAAAATCTTCTAAATGAGATAGTCTTTTCATCTGGCGCGTGCTGCCATCGCTAGCGGATAAACTTACCCACTTGGGCGGGGCGTCTAGTTTCGGCCCGCATGCATACAGCTGGGCTGAGGTACACCGTAACGGTGGGAGCTTCCAGGGTTACTGCATTTCTTTCCCCACTTTTCCCCCTATTTCAATGTAAAATTCATTTTGCGTTGTTCCGGTTGCCTCAATCGAAAAGATCCTGCTATGTTGAACCCTGGCCTCGGTGTGTATCTCGGGGCGGCTTAAGCCTCGTCACTCGGAACATCCCGGCGTCCTCGGAGAAATAGTGCGCAGCTGGGGCCAGGCCACAAATAGAAATTTCCCTCATAAGCGCCGAACAGCAAAAAACGAGAGGGGAGCAAAAGGGTGCAGCAAAACACGAGCTGACAAGCACACGGTGCTAATCTACGAACCAGGCCGCCTCTTCCACATTCCTCGGTTAGCTTGTTTAGAGCGCTGGCGTCGGCGCAGTCTAATGTAGAACCAGCATAGACGAGCGCGGCCTTGACAGGTGCAAGGCTGGGGCACATACGTTTCTTGAGATCTTGCATTCTCGAGGGCATGAAAGTTTTCAAGAAGAGGAACAACTTTTCTCAAAACAAAACAGCAATAGGGGTATTTGATAGCGTGTCCCCCTGCGGCAAAAAGCAGTAGGTTAACCTCGCAGCCGTTTTGGCTATCCCAATCCAGAGCCGCCACGCTGCCGCGATGCATTTAATTTTGTTTATCTCCCAATATCAGTGCCCGTAATTTGCAGCGGCCAGAATCAGAACACTCCTTTGGTTTTGTGGCCACGCATGATATTTGTCAAATACGCTGGGCTGCTTACTGTAGGCAGAGGGCCCTGTCATGTACTGCGCACTGCGGCTCGCACTCAATCCCTGACTAGATTGCCACAATCACTAACAACTCTCTTCATCATGTCAGCAGTTATTTTTGGTGCCACAGGCCTCTGTGGCAATGAGATTCTCCAACAGTCGGTTGCTCTGGCCAAGTTCAAGGAATTGACCTCGGTAACCCGCCGTGAGTTTGATTTCTCTTCGGACAAGCTCAAGAAGATTGTGGAGAAGGATTCATCAAAGTACCCTGAACTTGCAGCGGCATCGAACGCCCAAGTTTTGTTTTCGTCTTTGGCAACGACAAGAGCAGCGGCTGGGTCCGCTGAGAAGTTCGTGGAGATTGATCACGACATCAACTTGAACATCGCCAAAGCAGCCAAGGAGAGCGGCATCAAGACGTTTGTGCTCATATCCTCGGTAGGCGCCAGCGCTACATCCCCCTTCTTGTACATGAAGACTAAGGGTCGTTTGGAAGACGATGTGATTGCTCTCAAATTCCCGCAAACAATCATATTGCGTCCTGGACCTTTGTTAGGCGAGCGTGGGAAGTCCAAGGGCTGGCTCAATGACTTGTCTGCGGGCACGTTCAAGTTCTTTCACAACACTTTCATTGGCAACAATGTGATTTACCCAATCTTTGGCCACGAAGTTGGCAAGGCGGCTGTGCACTTGGCGGAGCAGTCCTTGGATGAAACTTCTGGAGAGCCCCAGGTGAAGATTGTTGGTGGCAAAGAGCTTATTAGTCTCGCCAAACTGCTCGAGTAACTCAATTTCGTAACTTTATGCTCATGATTATATACTATACAACTTAACTACTGTTCTGCCTGAGTAAAGGACACTTCTGGCTCTCGTTTTTGGTGAGAATATGTTGACTCAACCAATCACCCGATAAGAAGCGCCTTCCACAAGGACAGGTACCCCACTGGGTAAGTTTCTCTCGAAGATTATGCTCTCTTTTGGCAGACACGTCGTCGTACCTAAAATGTTTGTTGAGGAGATGTTTTTTGAAATCGTACCTTCTATTGAACAGGCCCGATTTATGCTGGCAACTGCCTTTTGGAAAGACACACTTAAACCTTTTCTCCGTCTGATGGGTCCACATGTGTCTGATCATGTCTCTGGAGATTTTCTTTCCGCAAATGCTACACTTAGTGGGGTCCACAAAAGTGGTTTCCACCAAGGGCACAGAGACATTGCGGTCCGAGTTGACCATGGTGGTCATGTCCGGATATGACAGCAGTCCCATCATGTTGGACTCCAAGAGGGAGGCAGGCACGAATCCTGATTCGCCAATGGGGAGTCCAACAGGTGATTCAGAGAAAGAACTATCCAGCAGATCGTCAGACTCTCTAGAGGAGAGACGAGATGGTTGACTAATGGGCACTGGCTGGGCCAAGTGTCGTAGACTGCCCGCTGTATTGTGCACAAGCATGTCATCGGAGCTTGACCGTTTCTGTGATCTGCCCAAGTCGTCAACAAGGCTGGGTCTTTCAGCAGGGCGGTTGAAGTTTCTCTCATAGGTGGATCTCTCAAAGCTGCTTCTATCACCGTAGCTGCTGCTTTCGCCGTAGCTAGGCCTCTCTCCATAGTTCATTGGCATCGGAGGCATGAGGTCATGCGGTTGTTGGTATTGTTGAAAGTAGGAAAGCTGCTGGGGGTTCTGAGGGTAAGAGGAGGACCGATTCATCAGAGACATTTCCATGGGTAGCTGGCTGGGGTAGAAAGGCTGGCCGGGGTTTGTCTGTTCAGTGAACTCCACCTGAGTAGACATGTATGGGTTATGGTAGTCAGCCTCATCGACCCTGAAGGGTTCCGACGGCTGAGGCTCACTTGTGGTCATCCGTGAAGGATGATTAGTAGAGGCGTCTTGTTGATCCAGATTGTGTGGGAATAGATGGGACAAAGAAGCATAGGACAGGTTCCTGTCGCCTTTGGCTCTGTAGTAACTCAAAATGTCAAGTATGGTGGGCAAGACTGTCGGGGCGGGAGAATGAAGGAGGCTGCAAATGTAAGGGAATAGGGTCACTTAAGGAATTAGATCTCGAAAGCTTGAAATGGTTGTGTTCATTTTCCAGAAGCACCTCCGAAGAAGGGACCCCAGGGCCCTTTTATACATGCAAGGCGCCAACCGAACCGCATAGATCTCGGGGTCCACTAACTGAATCGAATCACCTTCGCCGGCACTTTGCCTCACAAGCCCAACAGGAATCGTTAACCTTGTGCAGGTCCGGCATACGCGGTCCGTCACCGTAGACGCACAGAAATGCACCGTTCCTTGTTTCCCATCTCTTTTTGGTGCTTCAGGGCGGGGCAAGCCACGAGTAAGAGCCAGGCGGACAAGTGCGTGACTTTGACAGCTAATCAGACACTAAGCTGTTTCAGGGTCTATTTACGCTGTGGCTAAGCGAGAAGAGACGGTGGTGGTCCCCGAGAGAATGATTTGGAAGAGTCCGATGTACTGTGTGATTCTCATTGTTCTATATGGAGGAGACAGTGACCAAGAGAAAGCTAAAAGCTAAAAGGGCCACGCATCGTAAGTGTATTGTCGAAGTGGGCCACTTTTCAACCAAAAAGCAAAATGGGTATCATCATCTATTTCCCAAGGCGGGTTCGATGAACATACGGTGGGCGTAGAATTGATGCGGGAGCAAGGATGCAGCGAGAAGTAAAGTTTCGTAACGCCCGAGGTCGTATTATGTACTGCGTTAGTCAAAACCGGAAAAACACCGCAGGGCTGGAAATTCTGCCCCGCAGGCTAATAGAACAAATACAGATGAAGAAACGTACGATCAGATTGCCGAATTAGTATTGCTGCTTCGCCTGGGGCGTCCACGATAGTGATGCCTCTCTCACGTCGGCTATCTGAGCGGACCGGGATACGAAAAGAATGTACTCAGTGCTAAACTTGCGGGGCAAGACTAGCGGCCTCGAAGTGCCTGATTTGAAAGGCTAACAAAAAAAATAGACTTTTTTTTCTTTCTTTCTTTCCCTTTGTCACAACACGCCAGCCCGGACTGTTCCGACTTACGGTGTTCCATTTTTTTTATAGCTTGTCATGGTGCATACAAATGGGCAAGCCGGTAAATTATCCATTTCCATGCATGACGCACAGAACGGTTGACCGCAGGAGTGCGTCTACAGCAACATGCGAGCAACGCCTCATTCACTTACGGGAAACCTAGAGCGACGCCCAAACGACCAACTTCCAGATCGATTTTGCAACCAGATGGGCGGTATCACCAAATTAAGGCACCGAAGTTGCCGGAGGTTGCATATGATATCCACACATGTAGGAACCCGCCCTCCATGGTGCCATAGCGCCTTCAAACGCACCCCCCGTGTATATTGTAGCCTCACGTAAGAGGGTCCAGGGCCAGACTGTGAGTAGCGCCCTATAGTGGCAAATACCCTATTCACGTGAATACACCTTGACTTATGATGAAACCACTGGAGAATGTTACGTAAGAGCCTGGGCATTTTCGACAGCAAGGGTCCCCTGACTACATGCGAGTGTTGGAAAATGATCGGTTGTTTGCATCGGACAATGACAGATTAACAAAGCTCCACGACAGATTCCCCATTTTTGAGTACACAACAAAGTTCTTTGTCAAAAAGGAGAGATGACCTTTGATGAGCTGGCTCTGGTATAACGCAGCCTTGTAATCGATGGGAAAAGTTAAACCTTGAGAAAGAGTTTTGGCCCAATTGGAAATCGAGGCGTTTGTAGACCCGAAGTGGACTGAAACATGAAAGTCTAAAAGTTTAGCGAAACAATAAAAAGCCGTGTCCCTGAGGCGAAGATAAGCAGGTTTCTGAAAGAGGAAAGTGAAACCATAGACCAGACCAAATTTTTTATACGTTGCACTGCCCAAAAATAGACTTTGAAGTGACTCTTCTACTTGCAGAGGCGAAATTACGCATCATCTACGACATGGAACAGCGTTTCCGTCACCGGAAGATCCTCCTCGCTTGACGCAAAAACTCCGAAAATTACGAAAAAAAAACTCCGTAGATGCAAGGCTTAGAATGAAATGGTCTGATATTTGGGCCAACACAAATTCACTTAGTTGTGTACGCTTAGATTATTGTTCGGGCCTCGTAGCTGTAGCTCTCTAGCAGACAAACGTTTGGCGCGGTTGCAATTCTTAGGGCTTCAACCACAACGCACGTGACCGACAAAAAATTTTCCTGCCGTTACCCGGCTCGCGACGATGGGACCGGTGCGACACTGAAAAAAAAAAAACGCTTCATACTCAATCAACCATCAACCACAAACTACAATGGGTGCCTACAAATACTTGGAAGAGTTGCAGAGAAAGAAGCAGTCTGACGTCGCCAGATTCTTGTTGAGAGTCAGATGTTGGGAGTACAGACAGAAGAACGTCATCCACAGAGCTTCTAGACCTTCCAGACCAGACAAGGCCAGAAGATTGGGCTACAAGGCCAAGCAGGGTTTCGTCATCTTCCGTATCAGAGTCAGAAGAGGTGGCAGAAAGAGACCTGTTCCAAAGGGTGCTACTTACGGTAAGCCAACCAACCAGGGTGTTACTCAGCTCAAGTACCAGAAGTCTTTGAGAGTCACCGCTGAGGAGAGAGTCGGCAGAAGAGCTGCCAACTTGAGAGTCTTGAACTCTTACTGGGTTAACCAGGACTCCACCTACAAGTACTACGAGGTTATCTTGGTGGACCCATCTCACAACGCCATCAGAAGAGACCCAAGAATCAACTGGATCGTCAACCCAGTCCACAAGCACAGAGAGGCCAGAGGTCTTACTGCTGCTGGTAAGAAGTCCAGAGGTATTGCCAAGGGTCACTTGTTCAACAACACCAAGGCCGGCCGTCGTCACACTTGGAAGAAGCACAACACTTTGTCCTTGTGGAGATACAGATCTTAAGCGTGCTAGCTTATGGTTTGTTGAACTACTTCGTAATGTGGCTCATAGGATAGTAATATTATGAGAAGCATTGTGAATTCTGAGACTGTAGAATCAGTAGAACCTAGACGCATGTTTCTATCGTGAACGATGGTACATCACCTGTCTAGCTGAGCGACCAAAGAAATGCCAAAATAATAGTCATCATCAAAGTCTAACGAACCTGATAGATCGTCATTTAATTGCCTACTGTACTACACCTTTAAGCCGCGTCCCAATTTGTGAGATCCCTCCGTTTCCCCGTGGGAGCCATTGTTCCATGATGTCCCGCTCGGCAAAACGAAAAGTGGATCAGCGGATCACAAGCCCTTAAAATTTTTCAAATCTACTCTTCATAATGGCCGCTTCACTCGGCATAACCCAACCATGTTCGACAATGGCTCCCTATAGCCCGAGTCATTGTCTGACTCTCACCGTAAGTTATTAACTATGGCGCGGGCGAGCACACCCGTACCTCTATTAATGAAGGAACGAGGTGGAACCAATTGAAAAAATTAGAATCCTAATCTCCTTCTTTGATTTTGGCCTTATCGAGTTCAAATTAGATTGGTTTCTTCCGTGTCTCTCCCCATTCATTGACCGGACTTACAACTACGTGTTAGGTATCTTCCCCTGCAAAGCACCCTCACCCAATCGAAATTTGCGACAACCTACATCGCTCAGGTTGTTCAGATAGATAAGTTCATTCTCGCTTTTTTATCACTCCTCAAGACTATATCATGGCACACTCTAAAACTGCCATCTTGTCTGTTTACGACAAAACCGGTTTGTTGGACTTGGCTAAGGGCCTTGCCGCTGCCAATGTCAGAATCTTAGCCTCTGGTGGTACCGCCAAGTTGGTTCGTGAGGCTGGTTTCCCAGTTGAAGACGTTTCTTCCATCACCCACGCTCCAGAGATGTTGGGCGGTAGAGTCAAGACTTTGCACCCTGCTGTGCACGGTGGTATTTTGGCCAGAAACCTTGAGAATGATGAGGCCGATTTGGCTGCTCAGGGTATTGAGAAGGTTGACTACGTTGTTTGCAACTTGTACCCTTTCAAGGAGACTGTTTCCAAGGCTGCTGTTACTGTTGACGAGGCCGTCGAGGAGGTTGACATTGGTGGTGTTACTTTGTTGAGAGCTGCTGCCAAGAACCATGCCAGAGTTACTATCTTGTCTGACCCTCACGACTACGCCGTCTTCTTGGAAGAGTTGAAGGCTGGTGAGATCTCCTCTGACACCAGGAACAGATTGGCCCTCAAGGCATTCGAGCACACCGCCGACTACGATGTTGCTATCTCTGATTTCTTCAGAAAGCAGTACTCTGAGAACATTTCTCAATTGCCATTGAGATACGGTGCCAACCCTCACCAGAAACCAGCCCAGGCTTTCGTTTCTCAGGGTGAATTGCCATTCAAGGTTTTGGGTGGCTCTCCAGGTTACATCAACTTGTTGGACGCTTTGAACTCCTGGCCCTTGGTTAAGGAGTTGTCTGCTTCTTTGAACTTGCCGGCTGCTGCTTCTTTCAAGCACGTCTCCCCAGCCGGTGCTGCTGTTGGTTTGCCTTTGAGCGACGTTGAGAAGAAGATCTACTTTGTTGAGGACATCGAGAACTTGTCCCCATTGGCTAACGCTTACGCCAGAGCTAGAGGTGCCGACAGAATGTCTTCTTTCGGTGACTGGATTGCTTTGTCCAACATTGTTGACGTCCCTACTGCTCAGATCATCTCCAAGGAGGTCTCTGACGGTGTGATTGCCCCAGGCTTCTCTGACGAGGCCTTGGAGATCTTGAGAAAGAAGAAGAACGGTAAGTACTGTATTTTGCAGATTGACCCTAACTTCACCCCAGATGCTATCGAGTCCAGACAGGTCTACGGTATCACCTTGCAGCAGAAGAGAAATGATGCCATCATCAAGGGCTCTTCTTTCAAGGAGATTGTCTCTAAGAACAAGGAGTTGACCGAGCAAGGTACTGTTGACTTGACTGTCGCTACTATTGCTTTGAAGTACACTCAGTCTAACTCCGTGTGTTACGCTAAGAACGGTATGGTCATTGGTTTGGGTGCTGGTCAGCAGTCTAGAATCCACTGTACCAGATTGGCTGGCGAGAAGGCCGACAACTGGTGGTTGAGACAACACCCAAGAGTGTTGGGCTTCAAGTGGGCTAAGGGTGTCAAGAGACCAGAGAAGTCCAATGCCATCGACTTGTACGTCTCCAACCAGATTCCTAAGACTGAGCCAGAGAAGAGCGAATACGAGTCTAAGTTCGCCGAGCTTCCAGCTCCTTTGACCGAGGAGGAGAGAGCCGAATGGTTGGGCAAGTTGAACGAGGTTGCCTTGTCTTCTGACGCTTTCTTCCCATTCCCAGACAACGTCTACAGAGCTGTGAGATCTGGTGTCAAGTACATTGCCGCTCCATCCGGCTCCGTTATGGACAAGGCCGTCTTTGCTGCCGCCGACTCTTACGACATTGTCTACGTCGAGAACCCTATCCGTTTGTTCCACCACTAATTTTTAAGTAGCATATATTATTATAAGTTTCAGAGATTGCCCGTAGAATTCGCAGCCATTCGCAGCCATACGCAAACAACACAGGTTAGAAGAAATCCTACCATGCTGTTGGAGCATGGCAAAATTTTTTATGAGGAAGCATCAGTAAACTGAATCGAAATTCTAAAATTGTAATTTTTATCACATTCATGTTCTACTATCTTCTTTTACCCTCTCTGGTTGTAGGGCTACCGTGTCTCTTACTTTTCTGCAGTCTTGGCTCACCTCGAACAACTACGTCAAAAAAAGAGAAAAAAGTTAGCCACCGTTCACCCAAACTCCAGCATGGATTCAGAGTACAGCTACGACGAAGGGTCTGAAACATGGCCATACTTCGTATTGGCTTTGTTAGTGTTTGCCTTGTTGCCTGTTACGGCGGTCTATTTATGGGGAGCCGCAGGATTTGGTGCTCCAACCAAGAAACGTATCAGAGGATCTATTGAACACAACCACAAGACCTTGAAATTGCATCACGCCGACGCAATTGACAAGTTCCACTCCCGCGTGAAGTCTGATAGAATTTTCAATAAGAAATTGTTGTTTGTGGTTATCGGCTGGGGCCTTGTGGCCCTCATCTGGAGATCTTTTGCTAAGGAAGTGAGCTTGCAAGGCTTCTTCGACCCCCACACTATCTTAGACTTGCCCTACAGTGCTACGGATAAGGAGATTAAGTCCAAGTACAAGAAGTTGTCTTTGATCTATCACCCCGATAAGCTTGTGAAGTACGCAGAGGATGTTAGGAAGGAAATGGAGGGCCAGTTTCTCCGTATGAACCAGGCGTACAGAGCCTTGACTGATGAAGTCACCATGGAAAACATCAAGAAGTACGGCCACCCCGACGGCCAACAGCAGATCACCCACGGTATCGCTATTCCCAAGTTCTTGGTGGAGGGCAAATACTCCCCTATCATGATTATCTTCTACTTTTTGTTAATTGGTGTTTTCTTGCCACTCATTGTGGGCACCTGGTGGAATAATGTCAAGACTCACACAAAGGGTGGCTTGCACGTTGATACCGCTGCTCTCTTCGTACGCAGATTGGCCGACAAGAACCCAGGAAGAGTGTTCACTGCATTCGACATTTTGGAATGGATTCTTCAGTCCCACGAGATCACAAGAAGCTACTCCAATTTGACATTTGAGCAGCTCAAGTCCATCGTTGTCAATCACATTAACCGTGAGCCCCATGTTTCTGGTGACCTTCTTTTGGAAGCTGAAAAGTTGAATCTCATTGCTCTGCTCCCAACTCTTATTGAGGGCTTCATTGAAATTGCAATTGCTTTCAGACATCACGATGTGATCACCGCTGCTTACGACTTGCTCAGAGCAATTTACCAGGCCTCCTCACCAGTAGGAAAACACAGAGAATTGTTGCAGCTCCCATTCGTCGACAAGGAAACCATTGAGTCACAGCCAATCAAAAAGATTGGTAAGTTACTCACTTTGCCAAAGGAAGAGGCTGGTAAGGTTCTTGGTATTACCGATAATGACAAGCTCGACATAGCGCTTGACGTTGCCGCTCACGTTCCTTTCATCAGAGTGCTTGATGCATCCTTCAGGGTTCCTGGCGAAGATATCGTTCCACCCAACTCGACAACTCATTTAGTGATTAACTTTTTGATCAAGTCCCAAAGACTAAAATCATGCCCTGAGATTCCCGAGGAACGCTTTCTCGAGGTTGAAGATATCGAGGACTTAAAAAACCCCTTGAGATCCAACGATGCTCAGCCTGAATTACCTCACGCATACGCTCCTTATTTCCCTAAACTCGTTGCAAATCAATGGGATGGCTACATTGTTGGCCAGAGGGACAACAAGTTCGTTGAAGGCACCACTGCTGCTCCTTTGCAGAGAGTTGACTTGAGCAACTTGGAACTTACTCAGGAGCAGTGGATTGAAGGCAAAGAGGACACTGTTACTCTCAGCTCTTTCAAGATCAAGTTGGCGGTGCCAGCTCCTCCATCCAAGGGTACCTTCCATTTCAGATTGCTCTTGAAGAATAATGCATACTTCGGCAACGATGTCGATATTCCATTGGAAATGAAGGTTCTGGACCCACCTATTAATGTCGAGGCCGTCAAGAAGGCCGCAAGAGCTTTCGGTGGAGGCGATGACGATGATGAAGACGAGGACTCCGACAGTGATATCTCTGACCCTGAAGAGGACTCGTTAGCCGGAGCATTGGCTGCTCTCAGGGGCGAGGCTGTCAAAAAGGTTGCCAATCAAGAGGAAGAGGAGGAGGAGGATGATGACAACGAGAGTGTTTTCACCGACATCAACACCGACACTGAGGATGAGGGTGAGAAGTAGAATGTATCATAGGAATATTTACAAAGTCTTATTGACTATATGAATTCTAAACGGACAAGGTGAGTATCACTGCATCAGGCTCGTTCAAGCCTTGTTGTTTGTAGTAGTCCTTGACAACGTCAGACGAGCGTTTGAAACCTTTCTTTTCGTACCATTCAATGGCACTCTTGTTCACAACATGCACATGCAAGAAGATTTCGTGAATAAATTTTTCCTTGGCCTGCTCGATTATCCATTCAAGCAATTTCGAGCCTATGCCCAATTGCCTGTATGCCTCAAGAACCGAGAAGGATTCGATATAAATTGCGTTGGGAATGCTGTTCGATGGTAACTGGCTAGTGTTGGCAGATTCAAAATTTGGGATATTGTGTGAAGAATGCATCAACTTTCCTCTGATCTGACCCACTGGGAGTTCACTGTAGAAAGCCAATTTGACTATTTGATCATTGTTGAAAGAATCGTTGTACCAGGTCTCTGGGTAACTTGTGGGAAGCGTCACCTGAAGAAGTTTTTTGAAAGTCCCGATATTGTTCACGGTCAAGTCGTCTAGCGTTATTATGCTCCTGCCCATGTTGAAGACCTAGTAGTTTTTGAATTTGTGCGCTGCTCTGTGCACATTGATGCTGTCAAACGAAACCGTACTCCGAACATGAAATTCACCACGCAATTAAAAATAGAAAAGAAACTGATGAAAAAGATCTTGATTACGGGTAAACTCGCTTGAGTTTGCCCGAGTCACTAATTTGCATCCAATTGTTTTGATGTATAGGGTGAAGACACGACATTTGTCGAGCGTAGCTAGTATTCTAAAGAATCAATGGTTGGAAGAACCAAAGAGAAGCAAAGTCTGGGCCGAATTGTAATATTTGTGATTAGTTCTGCTAAACGTTTTCGTAAACGAACTAGTCGTTCCCGCGATGGGTGCAAATTTGTGGCAAAAATTCGAAGCATAGAATTCAAGGTACTTTCGAAATACGTATAGATCAAAGTCTTATTTCAATCAAAACCACCACCGCCTGAATAATGTCTATGACTTCGTTATAACTGTTGTTGTCGGAATTGAAGGCAAAATCATATGAATCTGTCATGTGACGTAGCCCCACCATTACGATTTGAATATGCGACCCACAACTGGCTACAACTTCAGTACCCGAGGCCTTTTGAACACCAATAAGCTCAATTGTTCTCGTCTATATAAAACCAAAACGCCAACTGAAGGTTAAATCAATTGTCTATGATCGCCTTTATTATCATCGTCCTCCTCCTTGCCTACTTCGCAAAGTCCATTATTTCCGACTTCATGTCAGCCCCAGCCCAAATTAACGCCGAGCCTCCAACTCAAACGGCTTTTACCCCAAGCACTCTTGCCAAGTTCAATGGTAAAGACGACCCTAAAGTTTACCTCGCTGTTAGAGGTAAGGTGTTTGACGTGACTTCTGGTAAGGGATTCTATGGACCAGGCGGACCATACGAGAATTTTGCTGGAAGAGATGCTTCCAGAGGATTGGCCTACAATTCGTTCGACCCATCTGTGTTGACTCCCCTTGACCAGCCTCTTGACTTGTTGCAAGACTTGAGCGCAGACGAGAAGGAGTCTTTGGATAACTGGGAGACCCACTTTGAGGGCAAATACACTCTAGTTGGAACCTTGAGTAACGAAAAAAACTAATGGGTTTCGATCCGGAGAAGAGGTAGTACTACTGAGTGCTACTGAATGCTACTGGAGAGCCACGGATCCTCATTGAGAGTCTGTATCAGCCCAGTGCCACGATGAATAGGTTAAGCAACGTTTAGTTAGGAATCTGAATTACCGTAGTTAAGTTTGGCCCCTCCCAGTATCTTTGTATATCACAGTTTGATACCTTCTTGGTGACCACTAAAGTATGTACTGGTGCGAAAGTGGTAGCGAAGAGAAAAAATCAAGTTGAAAACGAGAAGCGATAAACCAGCCCAAACCACCTGCGTGCTGAATTGAATATTATAGCAAAATACACCACACACCATGTCCTTTAGAGGCGGAAAAGGAAACAGAGGTGGTTTCGGTCAGAACAACACGTTTGCCAACAATGGCAACAGACAGAATAACGAGGTGGAAGTTGAGATATTTGGTTGGAACGGAGCCTCTCCGGCCGAATGTATAGCCTTCATTCTGAGAAAGTGTAAGGTGACAGTGACGAACTATTCAGTCAATACTTCTACTGGAGGGCTCCGTGGTTTCGTTCGTTCGTCATACGATGCTGATATGTTAACCAACTGGTCTGGGGTAAGATTCGCTGGTGACAGTTTGAAGATTACCAAGGTCAACAATCAAGCAGGCGGCTTTGGTCAGTCCATGAGTGGTCCAAGTCAGGGAGGCGGCGACAACGCTATTGAAACCCTCACGATGTTCCTCAAGCTGAGGTATAATGCCGATATCAAGCTCTTGAACTTGAGCTCTGTCCAACTGGACCCAACACTCTCCGCCAAGGGCTACTTCGGTAGTATATCCACGACTTCGAAGTTCTTCCCAGCATTGATGAAGATTGCCGGCGACTTGAAGTTGGAAGTCACTAGCGCCGACCTTTCTAACAACAACTTGACTGACCTCTCGACGATCTCAACATTGGCTGTAACATTCCCTAACTTGCAAAATTTGGCATTGCTGAATAACAGACTAGCTCGTGTCAAGATTTTTGAGTCGTGGAAGAAAAAGCTTAGCTCTTTGAGGGAGCTTATTCTTGCTGGAAATCCCCTCCTTAATACCACCAATCCCAGCGAGATAACTACCATCAAATCTGAACTTCTCAAGGTATTTCCACGTCTTGTCGTTTTGGACGGAGAGGTTCTTAGAAATGAAGAAATTCTTCGGAAGAACCTTACTTTACCATTTGAACGCCCTCAAGCAATGTTCTTCCAAGATTCTGAGGCCCAAGCCCTCTCAACGAACTTCATCGCAAACTTCTACAAGTTATGGGACAGTGATCGTCAGCAGCTCATGGTTCTTTATCAAAACGAATCGCAATTTTCATACCAAGTTGACTCATCCTCCCCTCGGGCATTCGATCCAAAGGACACTCCGGATTATGGCTATTATATTCCTCTGTCAAGAAATCTCACTAGACTTTCGTCTGTCAAAGCGAGAATGAGTAAGCTTGCTCATGGACAGGAGCAGATCTACAAGCTCTTTACCCAGTTACCCAAAACCCAGCATGATCTCATGACGAAACCCGATGACTTCAGCATGGAGACTTACCGCCTACCTCAGATGGGCGCAATTTGCATTACTTTACATGGAAGCTTTCAGGAGACTGCTCCACCCGACAATTTGGAACAGGTCAACAACAATCAGCATCACAACAGAAATAAGTACCAGTCCAAGAAGTCCAAAATTCCTTTAGGAAGGAAGGGCTTCGACAGAACCTTAATTGTGATACCTGGGCCTGACAATAGTATGATTGTGGCTAGTGACCTATTGTGCATAAGAGCGGAGGTTGATTCCAAGGCCTTTAGGCCTGATCCAAGCGCACCTGTTCCAACACAGACTACTCCATCGCCAGCACCTGGTGTTGGAGCCTCAGTATCTCCACCAGGACCCACCATCAACCCAAGTGGTACTCCAACTCCTGCTCCTGGTGTTCCTACTGCTGCCGATCTTCCTGCCGAAGTCAAGGCCAATTTCAACGCTGTTCAACAAGAGCTTCTTGTGAAGATCCTCTTGGAGACCAAACTCAATATCCAATACGGAGTCATGCTTTGCCAACAGAGTAACTGGGACTACCAACAATGCATCACCAACTTTAAGTCGTCTGCGTCATCGCTTCCACCAGACGCTTTCGTACGCTAAATAGATTAAATAGTAAAAAGTCACATCAATCATCTTGCAATATGCGCGTAGGTGCGTATCACCATGTAGCTACACATAACTGCAAGATGCGCATCATCACCACTCCACCACCATGGATAAGAAATACAATATAGCCATGGTATGTGACTACTTCTACCCACAGCCTGGTGGTGTGGAATTTCACGTTTATCATCTATCCCAAAAACTTATAGATTTGGGCCATTCGGTTTGCATTATAACTCATGACTACGGGTCTCGAACTGGCATACGCATGTTAACCAATGGTCTACGTGTCTACTATTTACCGTTCTTGCAAGTGTATCGAAGCACTACATTTCCAACTGTCTTTCTGGCTCTTCCGGCACTACGAAACATCTTTGTGAGGGAGGAAATCGATATTGTTCATGGACATGGATCATTCTCCACGCTAGGCTGTGAGGCTATTTTCCATGGTCGTACCATGGGATTGAGGACTGTATTCACAGATCATTCCTTGTTTGGTTTTGCTGACTTCAATTCCGTCGTCGGCAACAAGGTTCTCAAGTTTACACTTAGTGATACCAGCCATGTCATATGCGTGTCTCATACTTGCAAAGAGAACACGACACTTCGAGCTTCCCTCGACCCGGTGGACGTTTCTGTCATTCCAAATGCGGTCATCTCAGCTGATTTTGCACCCGATTACACTCGAGTTAGAGATAAATCACGAATCACGATTGTAGTGATCTCGAGACTTTTTCCAAATAAGGGTGCAGACCTCCTCACAGCAATTGTGCCACGAATCTGTGCAGCAAAGCCAAATGTCGATTTTCTCATCGCGGGCGATGGGCCAAAGTTCCTAGACTTGGAGCAAATGCGAGAGAAGTACTTTCTTCAGGAAAGAGTGTCTCTCATTGGCGCTGTGAAGCATGAACAGGTCAGAGATGTCATGGTCAAAGGTGACATATATCTACATCCATCTTTGACTGAAGCTTTTGGAACAGTTATAGTTGAGGCTGCATCCTGTGGCTTATACGTGGTAACTACAAAAGTGGGCGGCATCCCCGAGGTTCTTCCGCACCATATGACGAGTTTTGCAGACCCGGAAGAGGATTCTCTAGTTGCAGCTCTGATAAAGGCCATTGACTTGGTGCTGCTGGGAGCAATTGACACATCACAGTTCCACGACGAGGTGGCAAAGATGTACAGTTGGGTCAACATCGCTAAGCGTACCCAAAACGTCTATCATTCACTAGAAGATAAGCCATTGAATCAGCCGTTGCTTGAAAGACTAAAAAAATACTACTTCTGTGGTGCAATCGCTGGAAAGCTCTATGTTTTGTGTGCTATTGTCGACATTTTTATTCTAATTGTCATGGAGTACTTCTACCCAGCCGAGCACATAGATCGAGCGACAAAATGGCCCAAGCAAAAACGTCCGAAGAATTTGGAGCCAAATGACGATTGCTCAGTATTGTTTTAAATATGTGAACCGGCTTTTCAGCTTTTGACGAACTTTCCCGAGGTTCAGCATGCGAACAGCATACGCCCGCCTCCTCCAAGCATTATCAATATAACGTGGGACACGCGGTTGCTGTGGTGAATTGAAGATTGGTTGCAGTAGCCACAGAATATCATCACCTTCATTTATAGACATAGGAGAAGGGCCTTCTCTGATCATTCTCCTCAACAACGAAATCTCCTCAAAAAGCATCGATTCCTCAGTGTATTTCTTTTGAGCAGCGAGATCCTTGTAGTATTTAGTTTGCTGACCAACGATATTGTGTACCTCCAAATCGAGGTACTCGCGAGCTTGCTTCTCTAACATATGATTCTCTTCGATTAAGTTGTTGTATCTCACTTCAAGCTCCTTATATGCGTCCTTCAAACCTGCAATAGTTCTTGAACTGTCCTTCAGCGCAGCTGCCAACTTTTCACCCGTGACAGACAAGTTCTGTTCAAGAATGGAAATGTTGAGCTCCAATTCCTTAACTTTATTCATTCTGGAGTCCGCAATAGGCGAGCCTCGCTCACTCAGTCCCTCGAATTTGGCAGCGCTGGTCTTACAGAAAATATCCTCCTGCTTCTCGGGCAAAAATGAGACTGATTTCCCGTGCAATTGGGCTTCGAGCTGTTTGAGTTTAGCTTCTGCCTCCAAAATTATCGAATCATACTTTTGGAGAAATTCATTCAAGGTTTTTGTAATTTGCTCGTTCTGATCAATCATAGCACCGTCTCTGATCTCCATCACTTGCAAGCAGACTGGCCAAAGTGAAGAATTGACCATAAAGAAGTGCTCGCTGTAGACGAAAACAGGCTTGTCGAGCTCCTTGTGTTCATTGTTGGTGAAGTTTAGGAGAAGAAGATCGACAGTTTCCAGTATTGATTTCACACTTTTATAGACCTTCGCAAGATGCTCGATTCTTTTACCGGTCGAGACAGTCTCAAGAAATCGTATGAGTTGCAAGGTGAAATTTGCCTCCGATTGAACGAAGATCGAAGCTCGGTATTGGGACGCAAAGGTATTCATCGATTGTCCGTCAAAAATTCGAATGTTGCTCAAACTGCTGAGGACGTTGGAACTGTCGATGCATTCTGTATCGGACTCAGTATACTTTGACTTGATATATTCAACTTCTTCTCTTGCATTGGCGACATATGCTTTCAATTGACTGAGTTCTTCATCATCCAAAACGTTGTATCTTAAAATGATTTCAACATACAGTAAATGTCCTTTAGCCCTGTTGAGACCCAATATAATCTTCTGAACCCCAAATGAAGCGCCATCCATGAAATCAAGTAGGGCTTGAGTTTCTGCAGAAGTATCCATCACTTCAAGAAGGAGTTGAACCTGTTGTCGTAGGGAAGCAGGGATTATTTCACCGACAATTTTACCCCTAGAGGACTTCGCATATGCTAGGAGCGTCTTGATGTGATCATTCTCTTTGAGATCATTCTCTTTGAAATACGAAGAGTCTTTTGTAAACGTCTGGAGTTCCTCAGAATGATGCTCCCGACTTACATATTTGTTTAGCTTCCTCTTTAGATTTTCGTTGTTTTCAGCTAAACCATCAATCGTTTTTTGCAACGTTTCCATTGATTTAGTTAAACCAGAAACTTCACTTTGTAGCTTGGATTCAGACTCCTTGCTAGCCGATAACAAAGCAACATCAATTTCATGTAACTCATTGATTTCTTGAATAGTGGTTGTGAGTTCATTGACTTTCTCAGATAACATATCGTTCTGAGTAGTTAAATGCTCAATGAGATCTTCCAGAGACGAGATTGACTCTAATTGCAGTTGTAACGTTTTGATCGTCTCTTCTGATTGCCGAAGTGCTTCTTTTGTTGATGTGTATGAGGACTTCAAGGAAGCAAACTCACTTTCAAGTATATTGAGAGCCCTCCCCCTTTCATCCAAATCTACAACATCCTTCGAAGACGTGAGCTTGAGGCTCGCAAGCTCTTCACCGAGTCGTTTGTTTTGACTTATGAGCCTGGCCACTTCGTTAGTATCTAGGTCTGAAGGCGCCTGCGCCAAAGCCTCTTCCTCCAATTGCCGAGTTAAGTTCAATTCCTCGGAAACAAATTCATACTCTTCTTTGAGCTTCGAATAAGAGCTCTGGACCTCTTTCAAAGAGTTCTCAAGAGACTCTTTCTGCGCATTGATGTATTCCAAATCCACGGCCGCTGACTCCACTGTTGACTCTAAATTTTCAATTTTTGCATCTTTTGAAGCAATTGAGGTTTCCAATTGTTCAACTGTCCCTCTTTGAGTCTCAAGCTCGGTGAGAGTCCTCTTCAACTTCTGTTGTAAACGATCTATTAGTGCCTCCACATTTCTCATACCACCGGGATTTGAACCATCAGATGTCTTCGCCAAAGCAGGTCTCACGAAGACACCACATTGACCTTCTTTCGAGCATGTGAAGTACCTCACATCATTGACTGATCCATCATTTCTACCTGCTGGGGCATCTAACTCCACACCAACCCATTCACCATCAGCAAATCGCGTCAAACCAAAGAATCGAACAGTACCAGGCTGGTCTTTAACCATGACCCGCTGGCCTACTCGAATTTCCAGTGACATGGCTGGCAGACCTCAGTCTAGTTCAGGTAGCACGGTTTATAGGGTCTTCTAGCATGCGCACAAAAATCGCGTACAAGGTAAACACAAGTTCAATCTACATCAATGTCTTCAGGAACGAGCGGGACTGGTCAAAAGATAGGCATGAGTAACTTGAAGGCCGAATTGCTCAATGAGCAAAAGCAAGAAATCAGAGAGGCGTTCTCGCTCTTCGATATGAACAACGACGGGTTACTAGATTACCACGAATTGAAAGTCGCTCTTCGGGCACTTGGCTTTGATTTGCCCAAAAGAGAGGTCTTGGATATCATTCGTGAATACGATACCGAAGACAGAAATTTGATCTCGTACGAAAACTTTTTTCATGCTGGTACGTATCGCTCAATTTGATGATGCTACTTGATTGTACTAACACGCAGTGGGTGAACGAATTGTCAACAGGGACCCCATGGAGGAGATAAAAAGAGCTTTCAAGCTCTTTGATGAAGATAATACGGGGAAAATTAGCTTTAGAAATTTGAAGAAGGTGGCCCGTGAACTAGGTGAGAATCTTACGGATGAAGAGCTTAGAGCGATGATCGACGAATTCGACCTTGATGAAGATGGAGAGAGTATGTATTGCCCGTGAAGTTTTTACCTTTCTTTTACTAACCAACAGTCAATGAACAAGAGTTCATCAGCATTTGCACGGAGTAGGCAAGCAGTGCACCAAAATGAATATGTATAATACAAGGACACGAGAATGGTAGATTGCGTAGACTCTCAAAATTCTATCAGACCGCTATTATTCGGAAATATATGTCTTCTTTGTAGTATCAAATGGTCCACCGGTTGGCTTCTCACGTGAACCTATATTACCTCTGTGCGAGAAAATCAATAATTTTTTTCTCAGTCCAGAGAACGAACTCCAGCCGATATGAGTAGATTCGTCAAAAGGTTGGACAAATTGCCGCCTGTGGCAAGAGACAAGCTCTGGCGGGATAAAACCAAGCACACCATGTTGCCCACGATGGACCCACCAAGATATGTTTCCAAAAAGGACAAGAACTTGACTATGGAACAAATCGGTATCACCAAGGGAGATTACATCTACATAAACGAGGGCGAATTCAAGGGAAAAATTACCAAAGTTTTGGAATATCACAGCCGAACTAACGAGTTTGCTGCAAACGATATCTCCAAGCCATTAATTGTTGCCCCTCAGTATTGGGCTGAGAACCAGAAGAGCCATCTCATTGACTTCCCTAGATCCATACCTCGTGAGCACGTCAAATTAGCTGCCAGAGAGAAGGATGAGAATGGTAACATTACTCATGTTGTTGCAAACGAGGTCATTTACAAAGGTCAATACTACGACGACAGATACAAGAGATGGTTACCTAGAAGGTTCGTGAAGCACCATGAAAACCTTGAAATTCCATGGCCCACTCCAGACAAGAACCACACGGCTTCTGAAGTTACAACGAAAGAAGAGGTGGCTCACTTGAAGACATACGAAACGCAGACCATTGCTAAATCGCTCCTTCCACCTGGTGTCTTGAATGAGATCAGAAACCCATACTCCAAACATAAAAAGCAGGAACTCACAGATATTGAGGCGAGAAGACTCAACGAACCAGCTATGCCTTTGACCACAGAGCAAAAGATCTACTTGGCCAAGAAGGCCAAGGAGCCAAAGAAGAAGCTCGAGCCTTTGTCCGAAGAGGTGAAGGACTACATTGGTCAAAGAATGGCCCAGCATATTTCCAAGATCGAGAGTCCACATCTTTTGGCTCATTTGGATGCTTTGTCGAAGGTGGAGATTCCCGACTTCAAGAGGACGTTGGAGAAGATCGAGGAGGACCAGCAGTCGAACACCCAGTAAATACATGTACATACGAAAACCAAGTTACGGATTAGAAAATGATGCATTGCTTGACGTCGTGTAATCTATTATAGTTACAATTTCTCGTAATCTAAGTTGCCTTCTAGCTTCTTGACATCAGCGACCTTTCTGGTAGCCTTCATCAAATCATTTTGTATGATGTAGTCTCTCTCATCTCTGATCGCGAAGAAGCCAGCTTCCGTGACAACATTACGTATATCAGCACCGTTGAAGCCATCAGTCATTTTGACGGCAGCCTCAAAGTCAAATTCGCCTTGCTTGGCGACCTTCGTTGTGTGAATTTTGAAAATCTCCAATCTACCCGCCTCATTTGGCAAGCCGATTTCGATCTTTCTGTCTAAACGACCAGCTCTCAACAAAGCAGGATCCAAGGTGTCAGGTCTGTTGGTAGCCATGATGACCTTGGTCTGACCCAATGTGTCAAATCCATCCATTTGGTTCAACAACTCCATCAACGTTCTCTGAATTTCACGGTCTGCGGAAGTACCCTCACTGAATCTTCTACCTCCGATGGCATCAATCTCATCCATAAATATAATGCATGGCTCGTGCTCCTTTGCATAGGAGAACATCTCTCTGATCAATCTTGCAGACTCACCAATGTACTTGTCAACGATGGCAGATGCTGGAGAAAAGATAAAGTTGGCACCAATGGTTGCGGCCACTGCTTTGGCCAACAATGTCTTACCAGTACCAGGAGGGCCGTACAAAAGAACACCCTTTGGAGGCTTGATGCCCACACGTGTGAACAACTCTGGGTTCTTCAAAGGCAACTCAATGACCTCACGCAATTCACGAATTTGCTCAGTAAGACCACCAATTCCGTTGAAAGAAATCTCACCAGGCTCAAAAGTAGTCATGTTGTAAACCAATGGATCAACCTCCCTGGGCAAAATACGCATAATGGTTAAAGTGGTCATGTCCAAGGAAACACGAACACCATTTTTCAAGTTCTCCTTCTTTATAGTATTACGACAGCCAACGATGTAACGTGGTCCACTAGAAGCTTTCACAATGAAGGTCTCGTCAGTCAACTGTTTCAACACCTCACCGACGATCTGACCCACCGATTGCAATGCTTTGATATCGTTTTCCGTTTTGTCGTAGGTCTTTTCCATATCTCGCATGCTTAGTCTCATCTCCTTGAGACGAGCATCCCACTTTCTGTGTTCTGTCAACTTTTCTTTGAAGTTCTGAAGAGCCTTTTGCCTCTCTTGTTCTGCTGGAGTAGGTTGAGGCTGCTGCTCCTCCTGGGCATTGCTGGATTCGCCATTGGTTCCTTGTTGTTGATCCTGGTTCTCTTCGCCTTGCAAACCAGCCAAAAGTGGATCTTGATCTTCACTCATCTTGTGCTGTGTTGATATTTCTCAGAATATTCAGTTGCCACTCTCGCTCAAAATGGTGGCCGTAGTTGAGGTTTAGGGTACATACTGAGTTTGTACGGAGCCGCGCATCACGTGATTAGTTTGGGCTCTACAACGTATTTTTCTCAAGACATCAGACTCATCTTGATATCGTCAGATCTTGCATTAGAAAATAAAGATATTCCTTTGACAATATGGAGTTCCACGCTGTGATTCTCTGTGGGCAGGGAAAAGCATTGAACCCTTTCTCGAAGGTCAGAGCCACAGGTACTGTGAAAGCCCTCTTGCCTATTGCCAATAAGCCTATGATAGAATATGTGCTTGACTGGTGTGCAAAGGCTTTTTTTCCAAAGATCACGATTGTATGCGACGAACTGTCGAAAGAAGATCTCGTGGCTGCTTTGAAGGTATACAAGTCAAAAGCTGGCCTGCAGTCGGAGAACAACGAAGATTCAAGACTGTCAAATCAATTCTTAGATCTGATTCAAGTCGTCGAGCTGGCAACGGCCACATCGGGCGAGGTCCTTAAATTTTTAGCGAAAAGCAGCATCATCGATCCCTTGGAGCATTTTGTCCTTTTGCCTTGTGATTTCATTACTAACTTGCCTCCCCAAGTACTTATAGAAGCCTACAGATCGAGACTGGAGACTGACATCGGATTACTTTGTTATTATAAGAACCAGTTGGAAATTGAAGATAAAAAGAATAAGATCTTCCCCAAAAACTATACCATATTTGCTGAATTACCCTCTGGTCAATCGCAGCTTTTGGATTACTATTCCGCGGAGGATGTTGACTTTCATAAGGCTTTGAAGATCAGAACACAGCTCACATGGAAATACTCAAAGTCCATTGTCAGTACGAAATTGCTAAACAGCTCAATCTTTTTTGGTTCTGCAAATGAAATTTTCGGTTTGTTCGAAAAGTACCAAGAAAAGTTCACCAAAATTTACTTCTCAAACAGACCGCTTATCAAAGTTATTCGTGATCTTGCCAGACTTTCATGGCAGAGTACATCATGCGAAAACACCATCGGATTCATGCTCGTACCAACACAAGCACAATTCACCAGGTCAAACAACTTACCAGTGCTTTTGGAATCAAACAGGTACTACTTGAAACTACAAGCCCAGGCAAACGCTGCCAGGAGTAGTGCTCCTAAGGACAAAACTGCCGCAAACGTTGGTGCTGACGCATTGATCGGTGAGAATAACGAATTGGGAGAGAAAACTAATGTCAAGAGAACTGTTGTTGGTAATAATTGCAAGATTGGCAAGAGAGTCAAGCTTACCGGATCCATTATCCTAGATAATGCTGTGATTGAAGATGATGTCGCTTTGGAGAATTGTATCATTGGTCACGATGTTATCATCCGCTCGAAGTCAAAGTTGGTCAACTGTAACGTGGAATCCACGCACGAGGTCACCAAGGGCACGCAGGCAAAGGGTGATACCCTCTTGTGTTTGAGTTTGGAAGGTCTAGAAGTAGAGGACGGCGAGAGTGCCATCGAGTCATCCCTGGAAGAGTCTTCCTCCGGCAGCGATTATGACGATTATGAAGAGGACATCGAGTACGGCGATAACTCTGACGGATTATTTGCATACTAGTATTCACATATTGTGGTAACTACATAGACATTCTGTAGATATAACGGATAGTGTCCCACTATCACTATGCATGAGTTGGTATATACGTGCTCCCCCTAAACTATTCATTATCACTCGAAGAGTCCATCCGTCTCCTCTTCACAACATCATGAAGAGACTGCAATGCTCTTCTTTTTCTCGTCTCGATGTCTTCCCCCAGATCACTAGCCTCGCTATCATTGTCTGACGATTGGCTAGCATCGTAATTAGCGGTAACTGCTTGCTTTCTATAGTTTTTTCTTTCATGCTTTCTGGATTCTCTTGATCTTGGTCGCCTATAGTTCACAGATAACGGCGCAAATGTGGGCCTGAATCTTAATGACAGCGCTAGTTCTGATGGAAGGGAAAACTCGTACTCTTTAGGTAAATGGAAGTCGGTATCCTGAGGGGTTTCTTGAGATGCAGTGGGCTTATCATTATTGTTAAACTTTTTCGTGATTTCAGCTCGTTTTGTGAGAGCCCAATTCTCGATGTCTTCTCCATTGGTTATACCCTCTAGTAGATCGTCCAAGCATTCAAGGTATCCCTTATGCATCAGTACCTCATTTGAGTTACTTCCCAAACGATATAGAGATGCCACTGATTTGGCTGCATTGGCAAACTCTGTTTTCAGTTGTTCGGCATTTCCTGTGCTGTTGTATAAAGCAGCAACTGATTTGGCTGCGTTTTTGAATTCTGAGGTCAACTCTTTATTAAGTTCTAGAAGCGAGACCTGCTCCACATTTCTTGTTGCGGGTAAGTTGCTGGATAGATTTGACAAATCCATGTGTTCTTTGTTGGGAATAAATAAGGATATAGAAAGTTTTATTGTGTCGATGATTTGTCGCAAGAAGTAAGGGACCCATGTCGCACTCAGGCAGACAGGGACTTTTTGCAGCCACCATCACGCCTTAACTGTAAAACACCCTATATTGATCCGTTCTTCAATAAATTTTCTACCCAGAGAGCTCTAGGCTTTCGTGGGAAACTACGGAGTCGGGTTACTTCAGCAATGGGCTTCATTTCGCGTAGGTTGTTGGGTTTTCGAACAGGTCACGTAGGGAAGTCGTCGAAAGTATAGACACCAACTAGGAAAGAGAGACCAACAAAATTATTTCATCGCTTCTTCGACCTGGGATAATAAATCTTCACAAGAATACGAAGCTTCAGAGCCGGGCCGCCATTGTCATGTGACCCAAATCGCAACTGCGCGGAGTAGATGCTTCGTGTTTTTGGGATCGCAGATAACTATTCCAAGAGCTTCAACATGGTAAAGTCGACCTTGATTTACCGCTATGATGGTATGTGTTAATTCCCTCCTTTGATATCTTTTGATACTAACAACAGCTCTTCCGTTATGTGGATCCGTCGACGATAATCTCGATCCTAACTTGAACGAACAAAAGAAGAAGTGCAAGATCATCATCAGCAGAATCACCCCCAATTCAGAGCCTCAGGCAACCATCGAGAGTGGCAACTACAACATTCACTATTTAATCCAAAACAGCATAGTCTACATCACTGTTTGTGACAGATCATATCCAAGGAAGCTTGCTTTTCTGTACTTACACGAGATAAGCAATGAGTTCGAGCATTCTCACGGTCAGGAGGCATTGAGCACAGCAGCAAGGCCGTTTGGGTTTAGCTCATTTGACAACTTCTTGAGCAAGACCAAGAAGATTTACCAGGACCAGAGGGCACAGTCTAATCTCGATCAGCTTAATAACGACTTGGCCGACGTCAAGAAGGTCATGACGAAAAACATCGAGGATTTGTTATACAGAGGTGACTCCTTAGATAAAATGAGTGACTTATCGCTGTCCTTGAGAAACGACTCCATCAAGTATAGAAAGAAAGCGCAGAAGATCAATTTCGACGCTATGATCAGGCAGTATGTGCCAGTTGTCGGTGTTGCCTTAATCTTTGTCTTTTTCATTTGGTACACCCTACTTCGCCGATAGAGAGCAGTGCATACTCAAGTCTTTATATATCTCAGCCGCCTAGAGCCCTACCATTATGGCAGAACAACATAATTAGTATGCAATGTACAGCAATTTTATAGGATGTGTCATTTTTTGGTTTTGCTTAGAGAAACAGTAATCCTTATTAAATACTACTAAAGGTGGTACGCAACAAGGCTGCATGCTTTAGTACATAGAAACATCTGTCGCGCTTGATAAGAACCATCATGAGTGACAATGCTGAAGAACGCCAAACAGTGCACAATGCGCCTGTGTTACTGAGGCAGTCGTCAATTGCTCTTCTTCCACAAGTCTCGCAGATCCCTGGTGCCCTGGTGGCCAATCCTACGACTGCTGTGACTTTGGAAAACATGGATCAGCCGGAGATAACCATCGAAGACAACGAAGGACCTCCATCTTCAAGCCCAGGGTTGAGGCCTATCCGGCTGAGTGTGCCATCAATTGCTGATGGAGAAACCCTCGATCATCTGCAAAGTGAAACCGAGGAGGTTGCTTCGAGTGACAATGAGGAGAGTGAAACCAACCACTTAACGGAGCTATTGCAGAACCTCATGGCCCACGATAGTGGTAAATCCCGCAACCTAGGAACATCGTCGCTTCAGCCGTCAAACATCGTTTGTGACGAAGAAGGTGACATAGATGAGGACTTCATCAAATCAAGATTCAACCCAGACAAGCTGGACTCGTCTGAGGTCTTTCACCACAAATTGAAACAATTCTTTGTCTTGTCCTCAGCAGGCAAGCCCATTTACTCGCTCAATGGCTCTGACGATACTGTTATGGGATATATGGGACTCATTACCACGATAGTTTCAGCATATCAGGAAAATATGAAGACTGAGTTCAGTCATATATCCCAAAACGGCTTTCAACTTGTTGTACAAAACAAGAGCCCACTTATACTCGTATTGATATCGAAGGTGGCCTATGAGACTGGTTTTTCTAGCGATCATTCGAAGTCTACCCTAGAAAGACAATTACAGTCAATCCATACTTACCTAGTTTCGGTTTTATCAGCTCCAGTTATATCACGAAGTTACGAAAGAAGGATGAATTATGACCTTCGAAAAATCTTGTCCAACCAGGATATTGCCTTTCTCGATTCAATGAACATGAAGATGACGTACGGCTTTTCTGTTCATGATAATGACCAATTCTACCTTGACAGTAGCTTTTATATCAGTCATATGTTGGGATCGGCACTTAGATGTGTGAGGACTACTCATACCACGAGATCGAAGGTCAGCTCCATATTGCTTTCCGCTAAAAAGTTGACCGTCAAGGAGACTGCCTCTGACACCACATCCATCATCAGCAAAGCATCAATGTCAGAGACGAAGAGGCATCTAGCAGCAGATCTCCTTTTTGGATTTGTGAGTGTAAAAGAAAAACTTCTAACGCACATTCGACCATCACAGCATGAACTTCTGAATGAGGACATTAATATGCTTTTGGCCATCATATCCTTTCATTACGGGTCCGCAAATCACCAAGATTCCGCTGACTTGTGGATCCCGTTGTGCATGCCAAACTTTAATAACTCGGGGTTCTTGTACGTCTATGTGAGGAGATTCAATCTTATCGGTTACGACGAACCTTTGTCTTTGATACTTTTGGCAGCAAATAAGAACAGCTTCTTCGATTTGAAGCAGGTGGGTCTGTACATCATACAAAGGATTATGGACAACAAGCATCTTAAAAGCGCTTTGCGGTCCGAGCTCATCTCAATGGGCGATACTACGAAAGTTATAAAGGAATTAGATTGTCACTATATCAAGCACTTCATTTACAGACGCAAGGATGAGAACCAATACCTTATGGATGACATCAATTTCTCGACTACTGGAGAGGACAAATTTGACAATGTGGCCAGCTTTCTTCAGATTCTTTATTTCTATACCACGTTACACAACACCAAGAGCACAACTATAAAGCAAGGAGATGGAACCGCCAAAAAGCTCACGTATACGAGGTGGCAAAGGAAAGATGGATGGATTACGGGATTTTTATTGTCAAACAAGGTCTACGATTTTTATTGTCTTTGCGGTGGCTCGGTTCAAGCCCATGACATTATAGAGCAGAGTCTTCGAATCATCAAATGGGTCGAAAAGTACAAAAAAAGGCATTTCATTGGGAAAGGAATCACGTTTTAGGGTATATACATAATGGATTGCGTGATTACTTCATGATGGCTTTTTCAGCCGTCTTGAACACATCTTGGAGCTTGTCACAGTACTGCCTGTGAATCTTTTCAAAATCATTCCAAGCTTTGGTCTCATCGTCCGATTTCTTTACTTTTTTGGACAATCTTTTCTTGATATCACCTCTGATTGATGCCAAAGTGTGTGCGTTTTTGCTGTGTCCGCCTGGACCGTTACGAAGCTTCTCAAAAGACTCTTTTAGTTGCTTAACAGTCTCTTTCTTGGAGTCGGTAGTCACTGGAGGTAAAGGCACTTTGATCAGCTGCTTATTCTGAGGGTCTGCGATTGGAGTCATGTTCAAGTTAGCAGCCAAAATAGCGCTCACGATATTTTTGGTGTTGGAAGGATCGAACACAGTGATCATAAAATTACGACCCTTGACCGCTGTCTGAGCAGTGGATGTGAACGGAAGATCACCGTCGGCGGTTTTGACGGTAAGATTGTCGAAAATCAGGGGATTGCTTTTTCCAAGCTTGGCTTCGTTGGCAACTTTACCAAACCTATCAACGACAGCTTGCATTTTGGTTTCCAATTCCTTGAAATCGATGTCTGAAGCACTGACGGCGGCATCACTCTCTTCCACTTCGACTGTTTTCTTGCCGAGTCTCTTTTTGAGACTCAATGGAGATGCATGAAATTGTCTTGCTGGAAGTCTTGGAGCAAATCTAGCTCTTGCGAGATAACTGGGCCGCAAAAGAGTTCTAAGCATGGTACAGGGTCTGAAGTTTCAAATTTCGCAGTCTGACGACTGATGCTATTTAGTACAGGTTGGCTGCGAAAACCTAGTAGGTGCTCTATGAAGTCTATTTATTGATTTTCTGAACTATCAGATGATTTCTTGAGGGCATTGATTGTTTCAATACAGCCGTTCGCCTCAATACCGATTTCACCTCCTTCTTTACTGGCGTTTGCGAGGTTTTTCAAGATGCTATTGAGGAAAACATCCTTCATAATTTTCTGTCTTGTATGAATATCTTCTGTGGACATGGTCTCAGCTTCTCGTAGCGAATATTCACCTTCTTTAGTATTCTCGGATGCCGCTTTAGATGTTGACGACGGGAGCTCGTCGACGAAGAATTTGAAGGAGGAAAATGCCTGTGGAATCTGGGGGATCATGAAATTAGGTGTCGTGTGATGAGGTACGTTAACTTGGGACCAGTCAATGGAGAGCACCGACTTTTTGGCAGCATCCTCGTCGAGAGCTGCATTGAGAAACTTGCGTAGGATTCGAATGTGTTGTGCCCTGGACTTTTTCCCTCCACCTAATGAGCCATTACTGTTCACTGCAAGCGAGACTGCTTTACGATCGCCCGTCAATGGCCAAGACAATAAAGCGTAGTAACTTTTCAAAACTTTGACAAAATATCCCTTGACAAGAGGCTCGGGTGCTAGGTCAACAAGTATTTCGAGCAAGGACGTTGAAGATGCTCTGATATCTGGTTGGATGTGAGTCATGGCCGAGTTCAAAAAAAGCACAATGGACCGCATGTGGAGCTCTAGTAATCCACTTTGTTTATTTGCGCATGCTTTCAATAGAGAAACGAGGGCCAGTCTGACACCAGGACTCAGGTCTGTGATGAGCGGTATGGTGGCAGTGATAATCTGCTTGTATAGCGACGGATTTGAAGGAAGATGGTTTTCGATAAATCCAAGCACCTCTTTTCTTGTTTGAGAACTATGATGTTTTGTCAACGAAATTTGGTGAGACAAATCGACTGGTCCAGATGAGCTCTTCTTTGAGACAGACTGATTCGGCAAAGAGATGGACTTTGCTGTGAATGAGGTATCTGTGAAATTGTCTGGCTTCTTCGCCGTTTTACCGACTTTGAGCTTTGCCTTCTGGAAATCCTTCTTCTTCTCTTGTCTCTTCCTTTTTGAGCCCATATTGGTGTTGGAGATTTTTACTATGCGATGTGCGCGATGCCCGAATATGTGGAGTCAACAGATCGAGAACCGCACAGGCCTCACCACCATTACCATGGATCTAGATAAGGTTTTGATACTGCTTTCACTACGGGAGGAACAAGGCAACATGTATCAGGAGGACGTTGATATGAACGACGCCATGGACGTGGATTCCATGGATATCGATAGCATTCACGAGGTTGAAGATAACGAACCAACAACGCCTGAGCCAATCAAATCATCTACAGTTGAAGAAACAAAACAGGAACTGCATTCACCATTAGATAACTCTTTTACTGATGAGGGAGAGGTGCTGGAGCGACTGCTCGTCAAGCTTCTCAGTCCAACGAATCTAGGCGCTAGATACGCCATCAATCAGCATAACAAACACATCCAGAAAAATACACAGATCGAACAGCATTCGCAGTCTCCAAGTCCCGAAAATCTGTTTTACCAGACTCCACGCCATCAATCTTCGTTTACTAGTGGTACTGACGTGTTCCAGCGACTCCATCAACAAGAACCAGGACCGCAGCGCCATTTTGTGCCATTCCCTGTGCAAGTACATCATCATCACTACTATTACAACGGGCTGAGCGACTCAATAAGCCCTGAGCCTCGCATACGACCACAGAGCCATAAAGTCTTGCAAGAAGCTCAAGACGAGAATATCGAAGAGGGCAAGGACACCCATTTGCCGCTACCATGGGACAAAAGCTCAACACCAGCAGAAGAACGTGCCTACATGCTTTCGCTGTATCTCCAACTAGCAGTGAACCTGGTGGTGCTGGCGTATGCTTTACACTTAGTGTGGAGTGTAGTTGCAGCCATTAAAAAAGACGTTACGCACAAGTTATCGCGGCACGCAAACAACCTCTTAGTCGAGATCGCCCTGTGCGAGCGCAGCTACCGCGAGAATCACTGCTCCCCAGACGAGATTGTGCCTGCGCTAGAGCAAATGTGCGCCTATTGGGAGCAATGCATGCGCCAGGATCCAACTCGAGGGGGCAATGTTAGCTCCCTTGGCGCACAGACTATTGGTATGGTACTTACATCATTAGTGGAGCCATTAAGCTTTAAAGCCCTAGTTGTGTTTGCTGGCGCGGTATTGCTTGTTTATGTATACAACTTTGGTTTTGGCTATGTGCGCGCTCGGACGTACTGGGGGTGAGCCGAGGATGTTTACGAGCGCCGCGCGGGAAGTACAATTTTTCCGAACTCTATTGCCGCCAGGCAACCTCGCCGGAGCCGATAGCATGGTTCCAATGCATCATGGAAAAATGACGGGAAGATCAATTGCTACCTTTAGCTGCCATTAGTAAGCTGTCATTTGTAAGCTTCTTACACCAGGGTCTCGTGGCATGACCTACAGTTAGCCGTCTCTATACATGCTCAATGTTATTCTAGAGGGGCTTGCTGCAGGCAAGGCTTGAGTCTGCTCGGCAAGTCGGTCTCTGTATACCGACAATATCCTAAGTCCGAGTAATCTTATCTAAAGGCATAGTTGGCACAAAGATGCTGCGGCTTCGACTCGGCACATTGTGTCTCTGGTCCGCTTTCATGTGGCGTTTTACCTCGCGGCTGGCAGGGTCGCAAGCCAAAATATTGCATACGATGCGGTAAAGAATAGCCGCCCTCCATCGCCAGCGATAGCCTTCTCACTAGGCTTATTGTGGATTATTGCAGGAATCCATTCTTCTTTTTTGTGCTCCGTGTGCCTCTGCGTCTCTTCACCCCGGCACTATATATTTGCGCTTCCGCCCTTGAATTAATAGCACACACAATTTGTCACAACAAACCATGGCATTCTTTGGCACTTCCAAGTCTGAAGAGGAGGCCTTGAGAGCGGCTGCCCAGCTGAGCGGTCTACAAAGAGGAGAATCATCCTCTTCATTGCACCGCCTGGCATCGTCAGCTTACGAAACTGCTTCGGAATTCACAAACGACGATATTCTGTATGAACCACAGACCCCTGATGACAATTTCGATCGCTATTCTCAGGCCATTGTTAACGACCGTCACAATCACGAGGACAGACCCTCCACTGCACAAGGAACTGCCGTTGATGAGGAGGAAGATGACCACGTCAAGCCGTTCCAGATCCCCACCAACGAAGTTCCTGATTATCTGAACATGACTGAGAACGAGCTTAACCGAATTGCAACCACGTCAGACACACTTTCCAACTTAGAAAGAGAATCCTCGCATCAGTCCATGACTAAACTTGTGGACCCTAAAAGTTTAGATTGGGATGGCCCTGACGACAAGGCCAACCCCCACAATTGGCCAACTTGGAAGAAGTGGTTCATAACCTTGACAGTTGCAGTCGACTGTCTTTGCGTGTCATTGGGCTCTTCCCTTTATGTTGCTGCCGTGCCGGAATTGCAAGTCAGGATGAACATCAGTCAGACTCTTGGTATCGCTGGTTTGACATTTTACTTGCTAGGCTTGGCGTTTGGCCCTGTTATCGCTTCTCCCATCTCGGAGGTTATTGGTCGTCGTTACATCTACATCTCCTCCTTGGCCATTTCCATGCTCTTCACTATGGGTGTTGGTTTGGCTCCAAACATCAGAACCATCCTTGTCTTGAGATTCTTCGCTGGCTACTTCGGCTCTCCACCAATGGCAATTGCTGGTGGAACCATGTCTGACTTGTGGGGAAACTCACCTGCTCAGATGTCGATTGCAATGGCATTCTTCTGTGTGGCAGCCTTTTTGGGTCCTGTTGTGGGTCCAATTGTTGGTGGTTTTGCTGCTGAGCACAAGGGTTGGAAGTGGACACAGTGGGTGTCCTTGATGTTTTCTGGTGCCGTTCTTCCCCTTATAACACTCTGCCCAGAAACTCAGAAGTTTAGTATTCTCAAGAAGAGAGCCATCAAGAGAGGTGTGAACTTGGAAAAGCCCAAGATTACCATGGAGTTCGTTAAATTCGCCTTGAAAGTCTTCCTTTTCACTCCGGCCGAGATGTTGGTAGTTGAGCCAATTGTGTGCTTAACCTCGATTTACATTGCTTTCGTTTTTGCTGTTTTGTTTGGTTTCTTCGAAGCATTTCCAATTATTTTTAGAGGAGTCTACGGTATGGGTACGGGTGTGTCTGGTTTACCATTTATTGGCGTTGGTGTTGGCTTGATTGGTGGTGTTGCTGGCTACGTCGTTTTGGATCATCTTAAATTCTTCCCAAAAAATCCGGACGGAACGAGAGGCAAGTTTGACGAAGAAGGTAAGCCTGTTTGGGACGCTCCCGAAACGAGATTGCTAGTTGCCGAGGTTGGTTCTGTGTTCTTGCCGATCGCATTGTTTTGGTTGGCATGGACTGCAAGATCGGACATTCACTGGATTGCTCCTGCTCTCGCAGGTGTTCCCTTCGGTTTTGGCTTGATCTGGGTATTCTTTGGTATCGTGCTTTATTACTCGATGGCCTTCCCTCCACAGTACGTGGCGTCAGCATTAGCCGCCAACAACTTGTTGCGTTACGTTTTGGCCTCGGTTTTTCCATTATTCATCTTCCAGATGTACGAGAAGTTACATGTTGACTGGGCTACTTCGCTTTTTGCGTTTATTGCACTCGCGATGATCCCTATCCCGTTTGCTTTCCACAAATGGGGCCCCACTATCAGACAAAAGTCGAAATACGGCTATGCAGCTCACTTCAGGAGACTCGCGGAGGAGAAAAAGGCCAATGGAGAGGAGGTTGCAAAGGAGGACACCTCAAAGGAACCGGAGAAGATCGAGCCCTCTTCTGGAAGCGATGACAATCAGGACATAGGATCTTCGCCTTACGATCAACACAACAGATCTGAAAATGACGCTGAAAAGCGTGTTGCGGAAGCGGTATAAATGCCGTGTCGCAGTAATTTAATTGCATATATACCCCATATAACATCTAATTTATCATTTATTCGAAATGCTGCTATTTTGTTTGTTGTTGATGACCCAAATCTCTGAATGAATCAGCAAGAATACTTCTCAACTTGAAGAGATTTATGATTCTAAGCTTTTCGTCTTTAAGGTGGGCGTTATCGCTAGCTTGTCCGCATGGGATCTGTGCGGCGGGTGCATTGAAAGTCTTCTCCAAGAAACGAATCGACGGAATCGATCCACCTTCTCTAATGAACAATGGGTCCGGATATGTGGGTCCCCAATTTTTCTTTATGTTCTGGTAAAGTATCTTGAACACTAAATTATTCGGGTTGCCCAACCACGGTTCAGCCTCGTGGAAAATGTCAATTTTGAGTTCATTTTCCGTTTTCAAAGCATCAAAACATTTTTGCATGTAGGAAGAGAACTTTTCCTTTATTTTGTGTAGATCTTGATTAGGAACAACTCTGATCGACACTGAGGCTTGGGCTCTCTTCGATATGACGGTATTGTTCTTCGGCCCAGAGACATCAAGTCTATGAATTGTCAAGGATGGATTTCTCCACTTCGCAAGAAGTGTGTCAAGATCGGCATTGGATAGATTCTGCGATCTCGATACGTCCTTAATCTTTTGGTAAAGCTGCAACTCCGTCTCATCGATTGGTAAAACATCATCGTAAAACCCAGGAATCTGTATCTTATTCAGATTTGGACAGGTGAGTTGTCCCAAAATTTGAATTAAGTCCATGGTTGGTTCCTTTGACACTCCTCCATCCACTCCCGAATGTCTATCAGGTTTCTCGGATGTCACACTTAGAGATGCATTCAACACACCTCTCAATCCATAATTGAGGCATGGGACCTCGTCTTCAAGCCAATACGAGTTTGACAAAAGAATGTAGTCAACAACGCCTATGGAGTCCTTGTTCTTATTGATGACTTCCTGAAACCCAATCGAGCCACACTCCTCTTCACCTTCGATGACAAACACCACGTCAATTGGAAGCTCGCCTTTCTTGTGTAGATCCAGTACAGCGTAAAATGCAGCTAACGTAGGTCCTTTGTTGTCGGACACACCCCTGGCGTAAAGGTTACCATCCTTTGCAACAAGTTGAAATGGATCGGTGGACCAGCACTCTTTGTCGGCGGTCGCTTCCACGACATCGTAATGCCCATACCATAAAAGAGTCTTCCGCTCTGTGTGGAGACTAGATTTGTCGTTCCTCAGGAACCGACCCATGACGACGGGATTGCAATTAGGAACGGGTAACAATTTGGCCTCAGATGCCCCGAGCAAACGCAAAAGCTTGTTCAAAAACTGGGCACATCGTCTGGAATCTTCAAGATAGGTGCTTGGGTATTTCGAAATGGTCTTGTACGATATAATCTTTCTCAAAGATTCGAGCAAGTGCTCGTTAGATGTTTCAATACCACTTGTAAAATTGAGAAGACCACTTGATTCGCTTGATGAGACGGTCGACTTTTCTCCTACATCAGTGATGTTCCAAAGACATAGGGAGCCACCACCGCCCGAAAGAAGATATGTCGAGTTCCTGAATTTGAAAGCCTGAACAGTAAAGACAGACCCCTCCTCTAAATTTGATAATTCCTCGTGAGGCAAATTGTTAAAGTTCACTGCGCTCCTCACAGGATGTGACTTGGATTCATCATCTCCATCAGGCCCATCGCTATGAATGTCATTTTTGAGCGGGAACTTGCAAAGACCTCCCATGTTTGTGGCTTTGTAGATGCAACCGTTGTGGATACACAACGAGAGAACTTCATCTGTCCTGGCACTTGTTGAGATGAACTTAAAGGAACGTGTGAGCTGAGATGTTGTCAAGTCCCAGGCGTTGATCGTTGAATCACTTAACCCGACACAAATTGTCGAGTCAATAACATGCATTGACAAAATAGCCTCGTCGTTTTCGAGCTTGCTGATAAGTGAAAGTTTGATTGAGCCTTCTCTCCCAGATGTAATCCCCCAAAGCTTTATAACACCATCACCACCACAACTGGCTAAGAAACTGTTGTACAGTGAGGTGTAGAGGTCACAGAAGGCTGCAGCGTTAAGTTCCGTCAAGGAATCCAAGCAGTAGACATAGCCATTGTGTGCGAAACGAATGATATCAGAATTTTGAATCTCCACGAGACATGGACCAAACTCCGAACTGGAGCTCTTCTTGAGCATTTGGTGAGCAGACTGGATTTTATTCATTGACCCACCAGGACCCTTCGAATCAAAGAACTTGTCGTACCTGAAATGAGGGAGACGCTCGATGGATGTTGTGTGAGTGGAACTTGGGTCACGGTCCAATGCTAGGCGGCACCACAGAATCGAAGCATTCTGGGAACCAATGAACAATGCAGAAAGTTTCTCGGACCAGTAGATGGAGAAAATGTCACCTATATCCATGGAGGAATAGATGATGTGAGTGCATGAAATTGTGTAGTTCGAAGCATCTGGATCATCGAAAGGTGAAAGATCCCACACTTTCACCAATGAGTCTGAGCCTGCGCTGAACAAAAATCGTTCATCCGGGCTGATAGTGAGGCAAAGAACTGAGGTGGCAAAGTGATTTCTGCCACAGTTTATGACGTGTTTGATGCTGTAGCTCTTCAAGTCGAACACCAAGATATTAGAATCTTGTGTTCCACAGAAGATTAACTCCTTGCTGGGTGCCGGTATGACACAAAGAATAGAATGCGTATGAGTCCATTTGTGGATAAGGGGAAGGGTTCCCTCGGAAGGATCCTCTTCGTTCAGGCTATCTGGAAGAGCAAAGCTGCAGTCCTGGGGGTTCGTGCAAGTTTCCTTGTGTTCCAGTCGAGCCTGCCGCGGCAGCTGGTGCCTCTTGGGTGTGGTGATCAGCGGGGTAGAATTCGCTGTGGAGTTTATAGGTAGCGGCGTTCGCATGGGAATCAGGACATATTCGCCCTCATGGATGTTGCCGTTGTTAAAACAGCCCATGTGGTTATTTGTAGAACAGTCTCAGTAGTGTGGGTGAAGGCTGCAGAGCAGCCACATATCTGGAGATCGTGGATGAGTCACGTGCACGTCGATGCAGCGACGAAGCGAAGATGCGAGTAAGCGTCTGTGCATAATTCGATGTTGAAGAGCTTGAATGCCAGTTGACAGCGCCGTACATGGTTGTGAGACATAAAAAACGATCGCGAGTCAAGAGTTTAGAAGTCATTATTTTGAAGTTTTACTTTTGGAAATGTGACGGTTGTTGGCTATTTTCTTAGTCCTAATAGTTCATAATATGAGCGTGAGTGAGCGAAAGTTGCAAATGTGGAGTACTTTTTCTACGCAGACCACAAAAAGTTTAATTCGACAATTGTCAAAAATTACAATCTTATGTATAAATTGTGATTTTGTTCATAATCGCTTCATTTTACAACCGATACTGATTGTTCTGCCGACCCACAAGGACAAGGCTATCGAATTTGAGGTGGATCGGTTGCAGACCACTTAGAGTCATACACCTGAGATCAGTCACCAAGTAGTACTCCAACGATACCTCGGAGGTGCAAAAGGCAGGCTCCACCTCAGGAATGACGCCGTAGAGCCAATCCGAGGGAAGTTCCGCTACGTACTTGATCTCACCAGACGATGTGTTACCATTCCCAATACGTTTCCCTTGTAAAAGCAAACTTCTTCCATCGGTAATACTGGTCAAGTCCTTCACTGTCTTAGAGACACAAAACTCCTTGTTGTTGGTTTGCATTGTCTCGATACTACCTTCACATATCATGCGAGTTTTCGTAGTAAATCGAAGCACTCTGAGCAACGATATCCTCAATTCTTGAACGGTCACCAAGATACTATCAGGCTTCTTTGTTATGCTGGTAATGTTCTGGAGGGCAGGGTCAATTTTCGGGACAGACATCATCAATGTATAGTTAACGAATTGAGAGAGTTGTTTCCCAGATACCAACACTCTATTAGTAGAGAGCCTTCCTATATCGACGCAATTCTCAGGATAGAAATATACGCCAAGGCCAATAGTTTGAGAGTGAGTATATATTGGAAATGGCGAGTGCCATTGGCTCTGGACGATACTCTGATTTTGACAGTCTAATGACATCTGATCATGGCTTCTATCAAACGCTGGCATAAGGAATGGAGAAATTGTGCAAGGGTATGCAAAATAAGTTAGACAAACCAGTTCACCTTCAATATTTCCATGGACACTAGAAATAATTGGAGTAAGCTTGTAAGTGATGTCAATACGCTCGCCATCTTCTCCAACATAGCGAAATGTTGGAGGCAAGAGATAACCCGAGTCCCTCTCCTTTACATGACAGGTGCTTCTTGGAAGAATATCTTGCCTTTTGCAGTAAGTTTCGGCAGCTGGGAGTCGAAAGTTGTATTCGATGGAGTAGTTTCCGGGCCTGAAAGTTTTACTTCTCCCTATGATTGCCTGGCGACGAAGAACGAAACTCTTTTCGTATTCTCTCAAGGAAGTGATTTTGTTGAATGTTTTGATTTCTTTCCGAGGCATAATCAGCTTGTCGTCTGATGGGGCCGTGACAGTACAGATACCTTCAAAGACGAGATACAAGTGGCGTAACAAAAGCTTTTCCCTAACTTCTAGCTCCATTAAGAGAGGTACGACATCATTCTGGCGATAGACCTTGTTCTTGTCAAGAGACAAGCTAAGCTGAACTGACATTGGTGGGAATTGAGGGAACCATTCGGGGTGAGCTAGAGCTAGATATTTAAGTCGAGAAGATTAAACCACTTGAAAGAAGGAAACTACAGTGACACGAAAGAGGAAAGTTGAAATGTCAAGGTCAGCGAATGTGATGTGGTTCGGATAGGTAGTTCGAGTGGGCCTACGACCTGACTTTACAGGATCTTCGAACCAAAGAAGTCAGCATTGCCTTTTATCTCAAAAGACAAGCACAGTGCAACGAAAACACACATAAATAAATGAAAGGCGTTCTTCACCTTATTTGCACTCGTATTTTTTTGGTTGGTCTGCCTTGGCTTTAGCGGCTAAATATGGTTCATCTGCGTCTGCACAACCACGCGGCAAACGAGGGCAATGGCCGAATGCCGGTGAATCTTGCGATGAAGAGTTGAATTTTTTTTTTGTGCTCTATTCAGGCTTATCTCAGCGCCAGCACCCACGTGGGGTGCGGTTCTTAATAGATCAGGCAGGATGTAATTAAAAAAGAAAATTAGGTCGGGGCAGCACCACACAATGCCTATTGCAGCAACCCGTCACACGAGCTCTTTCCTGCTTCTGACAGGATTTTCCTTGGCTAACCATTTTCCTTTTTTCCCTTGCATCTCCCGACAGATTTTCTCGTGTGACCCCCTGCCTTTCCAAGACTTCCAAGACTTTTCTTTCTAAGCTTAGTGCCTTAAGCCCTGGAACCAAGAAAATTAGATGAAGTTTTCCCACTCGCTTAAGTTTAACGCTGTTCCAGAATGGCAGAACCACTATCTTAATTATTCTGGCCTCAAGAAGGTGATCTACGTCGCCCAGCAAAACCAGTTGGAGAATGGCCAGCCTCAAGATGGTTCCTTGGCAGTGAACAATGCTACCATCACTGAATTGGTGAGAATCGCCCGGAGAAACCAGGCCATTGCTGACCGTCGAGAGGCTTTAGCTCAGGCTTCGGAGGAGGATGAAAAGTCTGCTGCGGCCAAATTTATGGACAAGTTCAAACAAAGAAAAACTGGCTCGTCTGCGAAAACACCAAGCCCAGAGGCATCGCAGAGCGAATTAGAAAGGGGTGAAGTCACCGTGGAAAAAGACGATGTCAATGACATCCAGGTGACTTATTCGTTCGACAACGATGAATCCACCTACCGCGGCTCCATCGACTTGGATGCGATGACAGCTGCAGCCGAGACAATTTCATCGGAGTCCTCAGACCCTCTTCCGGTCTTTGCCAAGCATTTGGTCGACGAGGTAACCAAGATCGACAAGTTCTTCAAGCCTAAAGAGGTTGAGGTCTACAAACAGTACGACAACCTCATAAAGGACTTAGAGGCCAACAGACAGCATGTTGAGGCTTACCTCTTCACTGCTGCTTATGGTAACGATGGTTACGATGAGAATGAACATCGTAACATTCACATCAAGTCCACTTTGGAGAGAACCTTGAGTAATGCATCCGTATTTGACACTGTCAACCACTTGGACTATGAGGATCTCGAGAAGGCTGATTATATGGAAGAAGAAGATGACGATGATGAGGATGACGAAGACCATGAGCATGATCGCCAGTCCAACTCTGCTTTGCTTGGTCATCACGATTTTGATATCAGAAAACAAAAGCAAATCACTTTGAAACAGAGATCCATTCATATGTTCATCACTTTGAGCGAGTTGAAATCGTTCATTGAGTTGAATAGAATAGGTTTTACCAAAATTTGCAAAAAGTTCGACAAGACCTGCAACTACTCAGTGAAGGAGGACTTTGTTGCCAACTTTTTGCCCCACAACTCGAGAACATTCTTCCCAGAGACCTCTGAGATTCTTGAATACAGAATTGATCATGTCGTCCGTGTTTATGCTTTCCTTTCTGGTAAAGCAGTCAGTCAGGCTACCACTGAGGACTTGGAACCAATCAAGGACGAGCTTAGAACCTACTTAAGGGACCACATTGTTTGGGAAAGGAACACTGTTTGGAAAGACTTGTTGTCGATCGAAAAGAAGCAATTTAATTTGAACCTTGATGAGAGCGCCGCAAGAAACAATAAGATGGGAGACGAGGCTAACTCCCAGTCTTTGCTCCTGATGAGGTGGAGAAAAATTAATTTACCCTTTGAGTGGAAAGTTTCCAGGTACGATTACGTCAAGGTCCCTGAATTTCTCTTTTCGAGTCAAATCATCAAACTTGCTATCATTATCCCTGTATTCATCGTCTTGTTGGCCGTCAAGACTATGAACGATAAAGAGGAGGCTCGTTGTTTGGCTGTCTTGGCTGCTTGTGCTATGTTATGGGCTTCTGAAGCCTTACCATTATGGGTGACTTCCCTTTTAGTACCTTTGCTTGTTGTGACATGTAAAGTATTGAAAGATGACGACGGTAATGCCATGGATGCCGCAGACGCTTCGAAGAAAATTTTGGCAGCAATGTGGTCCTCAACCCTTATGATTTTGCTTGGTGGTTTCACTTTGGCTGCGGCTTTATCCAAGTATAACATTGCGAAGATCGTTTCCTCGTATATGTTGGCTTTAGCGGGCACTAAGCCAAGAAATATCCTCCTCGCTATTATGAGTGTCTCATTGTTCTTGTCCATGTGGATCTCCAACGTCGCCGCACCAGTTTTAGCATATTCGTTGATTCAGCCTGTCTTGAGGACTCTTCCCACAACCTCCCCACTTTCCCAGGCGTTAGTCTTGGGTATTGCGTTAGCATCGAACCTTGGCGGTATGGCGTCTCCAATTGCCTCGCCTCAGAATGTGATCGCCATTGAGTACATGAACCCAAACCCTGGTTGGGGTAAGTGGTTCGCCATCGCTCTTCCTGTCTCCATCTTGTCAATGGGTGGAATTTGGATGGAGTTGATCATGACTTTCAAGATTTCCCAAAATAAGGTTAAGGCATACAAGCCTATCAAAGAAAAGTTCACCACCAAGCAATGGTACATTACCATTGTTTGTCTTGCGACTATTCTTCTTTGGTGCGTCTTAAGTGAGATTGAGGACACTTTTGGCTCTTCTGGTATCATTGCTGTCGTTCCAATTGTCTTATTTTTTGGTACAGGTCTTTTGAAAGTTGATGATGTCAATAACTTCCCCTGGACCATCATCTTGTTGGCCATGGGAGGTCTTGCATTGGGCTCTGCTGTTACAAGTTCAGGCCTTTTAGCTACTGTTGCTAAAGCTTTGCAGAAGAAGGTTGCTGACTTCGATGCCTTCGTTGTCTTGGCAATTTTTGGTATCTTGATTTTAGTCGTGGCCACCTTTGTTTCGCATACAGTGGCCACTATCATTATCGTACCATTAGTCAAGGAGGTTGGTGACTCAATGTCCACGCCTCATCCTTCGCTTTTGATTATGGGTACGGCTTTGATGGCTTCTGCAGCTATGGGATTGCCCACTTCTGGTTTCCCTAACGTCACTGCCATTAGTATGACTGATGAGGTTGGTCAACGTTACATCTCAGTCAACACATTCATTACTAGAGGTGTTCCCGCATCTCTTATAGCATATGTCATTACGATTTCTGTCGGTTACGGCATTATGACATGCTTGAACTTTTAAGAATAACGATGGGTATCGGACTTTTCAAAACATAAAAAAAAAATTGCATTTCTAGGTTTAACGAAATTATCGAATTGAGCATAAATACAGTAGTTTGATGGTAGGCGTAGCACCGCAAGTGGTATCAGGCGTTGAAGAACTGAAGGTCGTTTGTTGGTCGTTGAGTGGAGGGCGCTTACGACTTGATCTAGCCGTACAAGCTGCGTCTGATATTTTCAAGAGTACCCTGGTCCTCTAACTGCTGGAACAATTTCGCAACTGGTGGAGAGTATCTCTCGTGCGTCAAGAGATCTTGCGTGCTGTCTGCGAGAACATGTGTTTTCTTGGCATGCTCAAAGTAATCATTGAGGGGAATGCTGTCGAAGACGCCATAGTCGTAGAGATTATTCAAAATACGCCCCACCATGTCCATAACAGGCCTCTGGACGGCGGTCAAAACAATGGGGGTAACAAGGCCACTGTTCTTCACAGCCGCAAGGATAGAGCCAAGGGATTGGTCAATGAGACCACCCAGAGTAGCCGAGTTAATAATATTGCTGACAAAAGCGTTGAGTGAGCCCAGATATTCGCTGTCGGCACGCTTTGAGAAAATTTCGGAACGCTTGGAGTAGAATGTGGTGTTTTCCTGCAACTCTGGCGCCTTACTCTCGAAATTTCTTGAGGTACTGAAGATCATGTCGAAAGTAAGGTCACTGCCACGGCCAACCTTGTTGAGAATGGCAGCGATGAAAGGACGCTGAGTCAAGAGGTCACCAACATGGTAGGTCAAATTCTCTCTGTTTTGGTCGTTGAGAAGCAAGTCATCAGCGACAGAAGTTATGAGGCCGGAGGCCATAACCTCGGCCAAGATGCTGTTCATGTCCAAGGTGATGTTGAGGCCTGAGAGGGCTGAGTTGCCGGTCATCATGTTGGCTAAGAGCGAGTAGACGGCTCTAGACAAGTTATCTATCTGCTGCTTGGAGCTGGCGACTTCGAGCAAAATGCTCTGCACAACCTGGTTGTCCTTGACTTGCGTAAGAACTCCGGTCAAGACATCCTCCAAGGTGTCACGCTTCTCAAGGTTGCCATCACTGTGTTGTTGAAGGATGTCCATGAACTCATGAGCGTAGTCGTACAACTCGGAGAAAGCTGGACTCAAGTTCTCAAGCTCAGAGTCGTCTCTTGTGACTATCTCCGGCTCAACGTCGAAATCGGCTAGCGGCTTCAACGCCGTAACGGCGGATGCCATCAAGGGCAAGGCTGCAACGTATTGAAACAACCTCATGTTCGCTGGTTAGGGATATGATATTATGGCACCAACGAAAGCAAGGGGGTCAAGTCTCACAGAAAGGGTCTTGGAAAAGAATGGATTAAGGGTGTTTGCGGGCTTGGACCAAGAAGAAGTTGTAGCGACTAAACTTGGAAAAGGACTTGATGAGCAGAAAGGTGGTATATATCTGTTACACAGAGGAAAACGCTTGAAATTGTCTGTTTTTACCTTATTTGGCCATCTTGCATTTCTTTGATTCGGGAGGAGATGTTTACATTGTGCGCACGGCTAGGCAGGACTGCCCACGGGAACGATGCCACTTTGTGGGCGCACTGTGCACATTATACTATAGCCGAGGCGTGGCGCTTATGGGGCTGCAGATACTTCAGACAATAGAGCTGGCAATAATAGAGCTGTGCTTGGTATCATTTAATTCGTTCAAAGTTAAGCTTCGTAAAATGATACGATCCCATGCTAGAAAATATTCCCAAACGCCCAAGGCCCTTTGGCGTGTACGAAAGGCATGCATCACAATTAAGCAGACTCATTACCGCATTAGGCAAGTGGTGTGGAGCTATACTGCAGAAAAAATCAAATATCAATTCCTCTTTAGGAAAGAATGAGGATTCCCTACAGTGCTCGATTAACAAATGCAGTAATTTTGCAACCAAGTCACAACACTGTCGTTCGTTCGTCCTCCTGTGTAACATGGAATTTCCCAAACAGGTTGGCTCTCTACTTCCGACTTGCTTTGCCTTGTTTTTATATAGGGTTACCGGGCCCCACAGCAGATATTACCTGGAAATCTAACGTCGTCTTCTTCACCACCTTATAGCATCTACTCATAACCAGATGAAGTTTACGTTCGTCTCCACCCTCCTTTGCATCTTCCTGGCGGTGACGCTAGCGACCCCGATCGCTCAGCCTGTTGGTGAGGAGTTTGACTTGACTTTCCTCGAAGACACCATCGAAGCAAGATTCGACCCTTATGACTATGAGGCTTTGTCGAACTTCATTCAAAAGAGAGACACTAGTGGCTTTGAGCAGACCATCGAAGGTCTTTTGAACGTTGTTAATGACTCCGGCGTGATCTGGGCTGTGTTGGACCAAGTGGCCTACTACCCAGACCGCATTGAATTTATTGCAAACCTCACAGGCCGTCTCATTGGCGGTGCTAACCTCTCCAGCATTGGTGACATGCTTGGAGGCGGTCTTTTGGACTTGTCCGACCTCAATGTTTCTGCTATCGTGGGTGCTGTTGCAGACTCTGGTGTTGTTCAGAGCTTGTTGGACGGCATCTTGCTCGACGAGGACTACAGACCAAACCTTGTGAACCTTGTCTCGAGATTGTTGAAGTCTCAAAAGAACACATTCTTGTGGTTGGTTCAGGACCTCTTTGGCAGAAACTCCAACAGTAAGAGAGCTGAGACCAGCGGTCTTGAGACTTTCATTGGCAACATCATCTCCACTGCTTTGTCCTCCACTCTTGTGGCTGACGTTGCAAAGGATGTGCTTACTGCCTTGAACAACACTCAGTTCCTCACAACCACCGTCAAACACTTCCTTGCTGACGAGGGCTACCAGAACATGACTGCTCAGCTCGTCATTGATGTGATGAACACTGGCGCTATCAGCCTCAACGGTGCTTCTCTTAACGTCACCTCTCTTTCTGAGAGAGTCTTGAGCAGACCAGAGTTGATCAGCGGTGCCGTCGGTATGTTGCTTTCCGGTAACATTCAGCTCGGCGGTTTGGGCAAGTATGCTGACGCTGTGATGGAGATTGTCCGTGGTGTCGAGGATGATGGTACTTTTGCTGAGTTGAACAACTACGTCTTCTCCGAGTCCCACACCGTCTCCACTCCAGTTCTCTTCACCGGTACCGTTGTTGTTCCAAGAACTGCTAGCTTCAGTCTTGGTGGAATTGGCGGCTTCTCAAATGCCAGTGCCACAACGACTAACAGCCCTAACTCCAGAACAACTAACTCTCCATCAAGAACCACTTCGCACGCTAACAACGACACTTCGTTCTCGTACCAGACTGACGACAACCTCAATGAGCTGGAGTCTGCCGCTGAGGTGGCCTCCATTCTTTCGTTGCTTTCTGCTTCTCCAGCTAGTGAGACTGGCTCTGCTACGAACTCACCCACTAGCAAGACCAGCGAGAGCTCTGGTTCTCCAAAGAGATCCGCCACCTCTTCGGTCGACAGCTTGAGCAGGTGGATGGAGACTTACGGTGCTGAGACCACTACCACCACCTCCAGCAGATCTTCCGCACCAGCCACAACCTCCTCCTCAAGAAGCTATAGATCCATGGTTACTGTCACTGTGGAGGAGGGTTCAGATGGAACCACTACTGCCGACCTGAGCTCAGGCGGCGGCCTCGATGCTATTTTGGGCTTCTTCACTCAGACTGGCTCAAACAACCAGCGCAGAGAGGTTACCCAGGGCTCGAGCGCTTCTTCTAAGAGCGTGTCCATGGTGTTGGTGTACTTGCAAGTGTTCTTGTTTGGCGGCGTTCTTATGCTCTAAGTCTTGTGGATCAAGACTACTTCAAAACTTCTTTCGTTACCCTTCGTACTTCGGTTTATATTATTAATTATACCTACCATTTATTCTGACCCAGATGTTCATGTAGTTGGTGTGACAATTTGTGCGGGGGTAGACCGGTGATTATCGCATGGGTCCAACCACTACCTTATCAGTATGCGCGGTAATCTTAAGGAACCTACTACTTCCTATATTATGCACAGTGCTAATGGCACTAAGAGTCAGCTACCGATATCAGGAGCTGATGCTCTTGAAGAAGTGGAGAATGGGCCATTGACTCCAAGGAGAGCCTCCATACTGTATGAGACGGAATCAGTCGGCTCCAATGAAATCAACCATGAGCCGATTCCGTTTCAAGGACACCATCACAATGATGCAGACGAGGTTCTTTCACAAAGCATGCCTAACATGGGTGGAGCACGCTGGTTGACGCCACGTATGGTCAGGCGTAATTCAGAAAACACATTGACGAAGCGGCCTTCCAAGAGTTACCTTCTGTCACCAAAAAAGTGGTTCTCAAGTACAAAGCGGAAGAAGAAAAAGAGCAAGGTAATTGAGGGCCCCTACAGCATAGAATACTCGGTTTTCAGACCTATGAACTATTTGCCACCGATAAAGTCAGAGGCTGATTTCAATGAACACTTGGTGAACATCTTGCGACAAGAGAACGTAGCAGATGCGAGCCAACCTCCAGAAAACTATATCAGTGCTGCCGATTTCGAGGCGTTGGTCTCAGCAATGACTCATGACGTTGAATATGACACAGACTTGCGCCCCATGAGGATAAGTCAAGGCTCACTGGGGAGCTATTTCGTGCTCGGCAAACGCGAGAGAGCTGGAAACAACGACTCAGAATACACAATTGAGATCTACAAGAGAGGGATCTTCAAGCCAAAAGATGAGGAGCCTTATGGGCCACTATCTCCAAAGTGGTCGAAATGGCTACATCGCACGTTTTTCCCCTGCTTCTTCGGTCGGGCCTGTTTGATTCCAAACTTGGGCTACGTCAGTGAAGCAGCTGCGTGTGTACTCGACAGGCAACTTCTCTCGTTCATTGTACCCCACACAGACATTATATTCTTGAAATCACAGGCTTTCTATTATACATTTTGGGAAAGAATTCGGTCCAAACCGCCCAAGTTCAAAATTGGCTCGTTTCAGATGTTTTTGAATGGGTACATCGAAGCCCAACAATTTTTCAGCTTATATCCTTTGCCTACAGATATCGATAAATTACCAGTGAGTAAGGTCCTTGAAGTTGAGACTGATCAACCTGTCGATCAATTACCATTGCAGTTCCGCTGGACGAAAGAGGTCATCCAGCAGTTCCAGGAACAACTTGAGAAGTTGGTAATTCTTGACTACATTATGAGAAATACCGATAGAGGAGCCGACAATTGGATGATCAAGCTAGAGTGGAGAGAGCTCTCAAGCAGCAGATCTCTGAAGAAAGTATATCCATATTTGAGGATAGGCGCCATCGACTCAGGGCTTGCTTTCCCGTGGAAGCATCCCGATGGCTGGAGATCGTTTCCTTTTGGATGGTTGTTTTTACCATATGCCATCATTGGCCAACCCTTTTCAAACAAAACTAGGCAGCACTACTTAGCCCTTTTGACATCATCGCATTGGTGGGAGCAGACTATCATTAAGCTTAGAAATGTCTTTGAGCAAGACGCAGACTTCAAAGAGAGGATGTGGCTAAAGCAGGTTGCCGTCTTAAAGGGTCAGGCTTTCAATCTTGTCGAGGTCTTGAGAATACCACAGGCTGGGCCTCTCGAACTCACAAGAAGAGAGCGAGTACTCATTTGGGACGATGAGATGCATGTACCCACCCATGTGAACAACAGAATTTTGAGCAACGCTTTAGAATCAAGCATTTACGATGTGACTTCGGCAGAACTTCAATCGAATGGCAAAAATGACGAAACTACTCCACTCCTTGAACAACCTAAAAGAAACAAGTCGGACGCAGGAAGTCTTAAAAGTGCTTTTAGCGAAAGTGAACCTATGCGGATGTCTGGTTTTGACTATAATATGACCTATGAAGGGGATGAGCGCTACGATCGCGAAGACTCCGAAGAGACTAACACCAAGATCGTCGTCATTGAAAGATTGGAAAAGGTAGATGCAAAACCACCAGTGTTTACCTGGTGCTAATTATACTTTCTTAGATTGCAATTCTTGAAAGGTTTTGGGATAGTCGTCACTGTTGATGCCTTTGTAGTCTGCTTCATTGATTTGAACGACACCAATCTCCTCTTTAATTCTCAATTGAATCATCTTCAACAAACCGTATAGAGTCGAAAGAACTGGCGTAGAAACACCATTCTTTGAAGCCGTCCTCAAAGGATTACCCAATATAACCTCAAGCTCGAAGAGTTGCTTCTTTCTAGAATCCACCAACATCGATGGGGAGTAGAATAGGCCATCGCCTATATGAATGAAGTAGTCACTGGTCAGATCTGGGAGTTCCACGCCCTCGCTTTTGGCGATAGCCAATACCTCATTCATGGCTGGTCTAAAGATGTTCTCGTTTGCTTCACCAATCTGACACCTATTGACATCTAATCCTGCGACAGTGCAAGTAGTATTCAACACCATGTTGTACACCAATTTCTCCCATCTTGAACTTAAGGCGCTGTCTTCTATGATAACCTCATTGACATCCTTGCTCACATTTTGATACAACAGAGCAAACTCCCTAACCTTCTCCATTGTAAGCTCATCCAGAATGTTAGGATTGTGGAAGGGACCTAACTTCAAAGTATCCTTGTGCAGATTGTCCACTGTACAATTGATGTTGGTTGAGCCAATCAAGGAGATACCAGAAAGAACAGGGTTTTTAGGGTATGCCTTAATCATGGGTTCTTCGATGCCGATGCCATTTTGTATAAGCACCACAGTATTCACGCCATCCACCACAGCAGGTTTAATGATTTGCTCGCATGGCAGAGGCCCGTCAGGGATATTCTTGGTGGTAACAACAATATAGTCGAACGGACCGTTCTCAGCAACAGCACTTTCGACGCTCTTGCTGACGTGGGTGGGCTTCCAATTCTTAAGATTACCATATGTCACTGAATTGATGGTGAAGCCCTCAGTAGAAGCCTTATCGAAAGCAGAGCGAACGACGAGTGTAACGTTACATTTCTCGTTCAATGTGAGCGAGAGTGCAGCAATTGTACCAACTCCACCTGAACCAACAACAAGGACACTTGGTTTCGACATTTGTGAAAAAAGGTTGTGGCTCACTGCGTTATCTTATAGTAGGCTCGAGATGAGTTGGCTGCAGGAGGTGGGGTACTCCGCCGCTATTCCGCTAAACGTCCGCGAGCGAAACAGGCAATAGCCGTTAGGTTTCGATCTGATCGAAAACACCGTCGCCGGCGTAGTTGTAAAATTCCCTAGCTTGAATTATGCGAAGTTCAAAGAAACGCATCGAATCAGCATCGTTCATTTTACCTTCTAAATCTTCTGTAAGAGGTATCTTCTTGTAGCTGCAGTATTCCTCCAAGCCTAATTTATGAGTGAGCTTGAGCACCTCTGCCATGATGGTAAGAACTTGGTTAACTGCTAGACCGATGTTATCTGGGTTGTTGTGGAACTTGTCTAAAAGAAGTGCAGTGAAAAGATCGCCGACTCCAGTGAAGTAAGACTTGATCATGGGGATTCTATAGTACTCGATCGAAGCTTGGCTTTTGGAGGATACGGCGCAGTAGATGGAGTTTGGGTCACATTTGTTTCCGAACGAAAAACCGTCTGCCAAGCTTGTGATCACGATATGCTTTATGTTGCAGCCTTCATGAAGCTGCTCTGCAGCCTGCCTGAGTTCAACCTCATTGGAAATTTTAGATCCGCTGAGAAGCTCCAACTCAAACTGGTTGGGTGTGATGACATCCACATTACCCTCCTGCAAGAGTCTTCTGTAGGCCTCAACACATGCATCATCCACATAGAGATGTCCTTGGTCACCCATGACAGGGTCACAGACGTAGGTGGAGTTTGGGTTATTCGTCTTGAACAGGACGATATTTGCAGCCAAGATGTCAATAAGCTCGGCAGATGGTATATAGCCCAGGATTATCGCATCATACTTGCATTTGATATCCACTAGACCGTGAAATAAAGCAGACATATCGCTTGAACTGACTGCTGAACCTCTCACAAACCCATACCCGGTGTGGTTGGAAAAGTTGACAGTGTTGATATTGTCAACATCCCAGCCGAGGTATTGCAAGGGAAAAGTTGCAGCTCTACCACCAACATAGCCGTGGACAACGTGGGACTGAACGGAAAGAACGGACTTCATGGCTTGGGTGGAGATCAGACCTCGAGAGAAGAAGATGGAGATGGAGTCAGCTGGGGTTTTGCACGTGATTTGACTCCAGTGGTTTTGAGAATCAGAGAGACCTGGGGTAGAGGTGAGACGGCGAAAATTGATGGAAAAAAAAAAAAAATCTGTAAATGTGGGCTGTTTCAGGAAAAGGTCCACGGGCCGAAGGGCTAACCGAGCTTCGCTATAAAGCATGCATCTTGGGCGCGGGCATCTCCAGCGTGCGGCAACTTTTATCCCCGTTGTTTCAGAATTGAACAGAATGAAAAAAATTCCCGTTATTTGAACAAAGTGGAAAGTGGAGTGTTTTTCGTAATTAACGATTGCACCCGGCAGCCAGTAAAATAAAATAAACCAGTCGGAGCACAAATGGATGATGGACCGTAAGGGCTCCTATGCGATGCCCAGAAAAGCGGCTAGTCCAAGATGGAAAAGATAATTTCACCATTGAGACGTCGACCGGCGTTGCTCATGCGTCTTTGACACTAATTACAAACTGTCACAATTGGCTGAAACCTAGAGTCCACTCACCGGCGCCGCCGCAGGCCGACAAGAAATTTTTCACTCCAGTCTAACCGACAATGAGGCCAATCACCATCACAACCACTCCACCGAACGGGCGCCGCACAATGGCCACCTTGGCAAGGATAGTCCAAATCGAGATCCCCCAGTATTGTTAAATTCTAACCTGGACATTGTGCTCTGTGTCTAGCTAAAGACTGGCACCATAACACAACGACGCCGCGTTAGGGTTAGGAGAATAGGAGAAGACTCAAACTACCGCTAGGCATGGACGAGCCGTGGGGTGCCGAAACAATCTAGGACAGTAATTGGATGTAGACGCAGGGTAGAGAAAAGTTACAAAGGCGGAACGGAACTGCCAAATAAAAGAAAAAAAAAAAATCATGGGCAGTCCCTTCTTGAACAATTGCAGTTGCAATAAACGGCCTGTTGCATAGGGTGATGGATCGGCGCAAGAAGGGCGTGGAATGATAAGGCGGTTAAGCCGTGGCGCGGTGAGCAAAAAAATAACTTGTGCCAGAACAGGGGCCTATTAATCCGAAACAAACCGATTCCAAACGTTCCAAATATGAACGTCATGACTTTTTTTTGCAGCAATGCCTTGCTTAAAAATGTTTAACCTCCTGTAGCCACTGAACTGCCTCCTGTTTTCATTCGCGGCTCACTTGCATTCTGAGCCTCTTTGGAAGTTTTCGAGACCGCAATCCTGGTTCCCCCTCCCACGGTGACGAAACGAGAATTCTGCTTGGCGCCACCCCCTTGCACAACCCGTTTCGATAGCAGGTTCTACCAATTTTTTACCTACCCTATCAAAACTACCGCAATCAAATTCATCTCTAAACACTATTTAACTTTTATTTTTCTTGCCCAGTAGCTTCGCTTCGCCTCTGCAGTGTGGCAGGGTCTGGATTCGGAGCCTGCACCTCCGCCTCTATTTTAATTTCCTCAGTCGTCGACCCACCGCACATGCAGTGCCCGATTCGGCCTTTGAGGAGTGCTATATATACCTTGCCTCCCGCCCGCATGGAACACTTTTTCTGATCAGGTCAAACCCTCTTTTCAATTCCTCAGCATCTGCTACTTCTTTACCACTTTTCTACCTACGTTTGTCGAATACCATGACTGTCGCCGTGGATCCTAACTTCAAGTCGTCCTTGCCCCCACGCAAGAGAGCCAGAACCCAAGAGGAGAAGGAACAACGCCGGGTGGAGCGGATCCTCAGAAATAGAAGAGCCGCCCATGCCTCCAGAGAGAAGAAGCGGAAGCACGTCGAGTACTTGGAGTCGTACGTCTTACTGTTGGAATCGAATCTCGCCACTTTGTCGGATAACTACGCCTCTGTGGCAAACCTCGTTTCACAAGACAAGATTGATGGTCTCAACTTGCCCGCTCTTCAAGACTTGACGTCGTTGAAGAACCAAATTCACGCCAACATGTCGCTGGTCACTCCTGCCTCAAAGCCTTCCAAGATGGGCTCTGTTCTGTTCGGTGACGACGACCGCGATTGCGACGACATGGATCATCACGGTGATTTCTCCGTCGAGGATACACCCGACATCCAGGTGAAAAAAGAAGAATCGGATGGTCCCGCCGAAGCGGCCCCAGAGGATTCCAAGAGCTCTCTCCTTAAAGTTGAGGAGTCGCCTCTGAACCTCTTGACCGCCTCCCCAGCAGGATACTTCAACTACCTCCTGCCGGTTTCCATTAACTCCCCCGTGAACTCCCCTATTGATTTACAATTGAAGATGAGTGAATCAGTGGATCTTGCCGAGTCTTACTCGGGTTCAACCACCTCCGGCTCCATGCCTAGCACACCGGACATGTCCATGCAACACAACGAAGTGTCAATGATGGATTCAGCTACCTCAGCTTTCGATACTATGGCGCAAAATCCAGCAGCGATTTTGTCTCCACGGTTAATCATGGCTTGAGTGGCCAGCAAAAACCCCTGATTGTTCTCTGCTTGTCGCACCATCTCCAGCTACCGCTGGCTCCTGCAGCAGATCATGGAAAGACGTATATTAAATAACACTTGATGGCCTGGTGGTCATTTATTGTTATTTAATATGCGTGAGAATTTTCCTGATCTCTTGCAGTGTAGGGTCGATTTATAGCATAGAAGTAACAGCCTGGGCGTGCTTGCATGCGCCCTCATTCTCACGCATAACCAATTGGTCCGCAGCACCAGTCGATTCTGTTGTACATGGATCCTCATTGACAATCGGTAGTAAAATGGACGAGTTCGATCTCTTAGGTGGAAAAGACATTTCCTTTGATGTCAAGCTTGAGGCTCAAGATCCTACTTCTCTTGATATTGACGAGTTTTTGTATTTATAAGAGCACTGAATATCAGGGGTCGCTCACATGTGACATAGATATTTCAGGGCGGTTTAGGATGGATTATATTAATTGGGAAAAACTATAGGGGATACACAACGAGAAACGAAAAATCGAGAAAAAGAAAAAAAAAAGGAAAAAAATTTAAAAAGCCGAATTGAGATTCGGACAAGATTTATGCTGACATTCAAGACCAAAAAAAAAAAAAAAATAAAGCCAGGTATTAAAAAAAAAAAAAAAGAAAAAAAATAGAAAAACAAAAAAACCCAAAAAAATAAGCTGTTTTGGGGTTTTTGTTTTCTAATCTTTTTGATTTATTATCTGGCGTTGTCCTTGATATGTTCGGTTATCTTGCATTTAGGTGGTTCATGATGGCCCTTAGCTAATGTTATTGATAATAGGCGCTCCTCACTAGAGTTGACGCGACTATGTCTGACGTACGCTACAACGGTGCCAGAAGGTTCACACAAATATATGATCTCATTTTGATTACCATTGTAGATTTAGCTCATCAAGTACTTGATCGCTTCCTGTGAGAATATGATCTAATTCTCTGGATGCTTTCACCCGCCCGTAGTATATCTGGCAGTCGCTGTTAGAGCAATATCGCACGTATTCCACGCTACTTACGTTGGAAAAGTTGCGTTTGTTACATGCGACGCAAATGCTCTCATAGTCTATGACCTGAGACTCTTTCTGTTTGACCATCGAAATAACATCAGTTATAAGACCAAGCTCAAGACCAAGGCAGTTTTGGCAGAGGTACCTCGAGGGAGAATCTCTCAAATTGCCTTCGCATAAGTAGCATTGCTCAGATTGTACAAATTCGCTTATCTTAGTGATGTCTCTCTTCTTAATAGCAAGTTGTCTTGTCGACTTTGGCATCTCTCTATACCATTCTTGGATGTTAACACCAATCAAGTTGAAGATCCTTTCCAACGGTGGGATCAACACTCTCGTAATGTAATATTCGAAATCAAGCTCTAGCGGATTATCTGTACTATAGGATGAAACATATTCGTCGGGAGTAACGCATCGATCCTTGATTCTTTCCTTTCTGGAGTCACGTATAACAAGGTACGGTATACGCTCACGATATTGTGGCTCGTTTCTGGGGTCTTTCGAAGCATTCTTCTTTGCAATGATAGCTCCAGGCGGTAGATACTTCTCGTTCTTGTAAGAACCGTATCGCACCTCTTTGGCAAAACAGAAGTCTTTGACGTTCACTTTGTTGAAAAAAATCTTTTGAAATTGTTCAACAGTATATTGTTTCACCTTCGATAGATCTTTTGTCTCAAAAAGGATTCTCAAGGTCTTGCCAACCATTTTCAGTTGCGCTGGTATACCATCTCTTCGAATTGTCTCGATTCCCTTTGCTTCAAACTTAGGCAGAGTTTGATCTTCGAACTCAAAGCACAGACCCACATAACGTTTTTTAGCGAGTAAAACACATGGATGATATACCTTCTCAAATTTAAGTTTGATTGGATCTGGAAAAAAGTCAGTCACATCTCTTGCTAACTGCTTTCCCAATTCAAAAGCTTTTTCCTTGGACCTGCCAGGGAAGTAGACGAACAATGAATCAGTATCTCCGTATACAACTTTTGCATCACATCCGCTATCCTCTATCATTGCAATGGACTTGGTGAGAATCTCTCGGCCAGTTGACACGATGGCATCCGCAATATCAGAATTCGGCATTCGACCACTGAAGCTGGCCGATGTGTACCCATATGTAACATTGGCAATTAATTTCAATGCAAGTTGTTTCAGGTTGTAAAGCTTTGCGAGCTCTACATCTTCACGAAAGGCTCCCGCCACTGCCCGTACATTAATTCTCATGTTGAGGATTTCTTGTAGCATTCGAGAAAGAATTGATTTCCTGAATTTGGCAGAGACAAACATCATTCCATTGGGAGATATGTTAATACCTCCATTTTTGAGTAAGATGTCAACGATGCCGTGCGGAATGTTGAGGTGAGGAAGGTATCCCACCACATTTTTATTCTGTTGGAATCCTTCTATCGGGCCCAACAATGTTGAATAGCAATAATTATACGCGATCATTATCGATGGGTATAACGATTGGAAATCTAGGACAACCAACGGAGATTTGTAGAAGTTGGAATCAGGCTCCATGATCAAGGGGATAGAATCTAAGGCACGCATATCATGTACTTGTTCTTTGGAAGGGGAATTAAGAAGCATATTTTCTTCTTTAGCAAATCGCAACAAAATCGATTCAACCTTAAATTGAGAGCCACGATAAAAATTGGAGTTGAAATCAATTCCTATCAATCTCGACTGCTCCACATTTCGCAAAATCATTTCCTGGACGTTCATGATCTTCAATGTTAATCCAAGACGATGCACATAGTATTTGCAAAACATAAATGTATTATTGAAGTTGCCGCTAGTGAACCATTGACTGAGATCCAGATTCGTTACTCGCGGGAGGGTCTGATGAAGTAAATGGAAACACACATTTTCAAGAGTGTAACCAGTCAAACTCAACTCCGAACGTAGGACTCTCCAAATATTGAGTAAATGACGACCATTGATTTTGAGGGCAGAGGTATGCGTGTAACCCCAGCGGTCCCCGAACTTTCCGTTACTTTTGAAAGTTGATCTGCTGAGACGAGCTAGAAGATTAGTTTCATAGTTCACAAAAACTCGCTCTGCTAGATAGCCCCAGCTTGAGGCATTGATCTCATATCCCGAAAGAATGTCAGGATCAAAAACATCAAAGACGTCTAAAAATGTTTTGATCATCTCTTTTTCAGATGTGAAGATTTCAATTGCAATTTTTAAAGTTTCTGCCACCGCCGCAAATAGTTTCAGGAAGATGTAGTAGTCAAGACCTTCGAGACATACGAAGATAGCCGTGGTCCGTGGGTCTTCACGATACATGGCATTGGCGTCATCAAAATGGTAAATTATGGCTCTTACAGAGTCAATCTTTGGGTCAGCTTGCCTCTGTGAGTTGGTATTGACGTGAACCTCCATATGGAAGTTTGTCATATTGAGGAAGCCACTGGGGTTCCTCGCAACTTTATCGCTTCGGTACGAGTACTTAAAGTCATATGTTTGTGTCACAGCAGGTTCAATTTGAGATCGAAATCTCTCTTTTTTGTACTGAAGGTTACGTTCAATGCTTTGAACCCATGTTCTTATAGACTTTTTGGATGGCGCCTCTGTGCTGTACTGCCACAATTGAGGCTTGCTAACACTCACAGTCTGTTTTGGCGGCTCCTCTGTTTCTAGTAATCCACAGCTTGTCCCTCTAAACTCGTAGGGAGATAGTGAGTCATCTCCAGCATAAGGTACTATAATTTTTTTGTTGGCGAAGACAAGGGGTTTCTGATGAACATCTTCCTTCTTGAAATATGCGGGATCCCGATATTCTATGTCGAGTAATCCTGATTGATGCATGGTCTTCATGAAAGCCGACTTCCGTAGTGATGAAGGAATTGGGAGCTCGTAAATATGCTGAGGATTGCGGACAATCAAATGCAGCGTTTGCGTGATAGTAGAAAGCAGTGAGTTGGTATCACTTCCTTCAACCTGAGAAAACGGCCGTTTTCGCTGGCTAAAATGAACATTAATGGATTGTGGATCAAAAGTATGGTGTGTTTCAAGTTGACTAGAATTTGGCAGCAGCAAGTCAGGAGAAGAAAGCTCGATGTCCAACGGACGAGGATTCTGAGATGGAGAAGGGGATCCATCGACTTCAGAGCTATCCTGCTTATTCGCTGGAGGGCCTGAGGGAACTGAGTCGGAAAAGTTTGCAGTGGATGCTGATTCATCTATGGTGAACAAATCGTCGTACGAAGACCACTGAACCAAGTCATCACGATAATTGAGTAAAGGAAGATGTTGAAACCGGTCCCTTAGGGTATCACGATCCACGCTTTCAAAGCACGTAGGTACGTTGTTTGGTAATGCGGGTTTGATTAGATTGTCATAATAGTCGTTAGCGTCATTAAAGTTCGTAGCAGCGTTGAGTTTTGCGACATACGCCACAAGTTCTCGATATCGAGCAGAAGTCTCCCATTCCTGGTAGCCGTCCTGGCCAATTTTAGTGAAGACTTGCGAGTACAGCTTGTGGAGCAATTGGGAAGTATCGTTCATGTTCCGAAGGGTGCATTGATACTTGAGATCTTCGAATGTGAATTTCAAAGAGGATAAATAGATGTGTTCACTGGGCATTGTCTTGTTGAACTCGGAAAGATCGTTGTGGTTCGTCCTCTCCACAAGATTGGCCCTATTGAGGACGTCACCCGCCGAGATGTCAAGCTCGAGAAGAGACCGACCAATACGAGGGTAGCGGGTGCCATTCAAGACATTGCCCTTTGTGATTGAATGCCGAAGATGGTCTTTCAAAGGCAGGAGGTCGAACTGGGAGGGTATGACTAAAGGCAGACGGAAGTGACACTTCTCTACGTTGAGAAACCCGCAACCATACAAGTTGAAGTCAGCAAGAAATTGCGATGTATAAGGGATGTGAGCTTCATAGAGATTTGGTGCGCCGTGGGATTTTTTGAGCTTACCGTCGTAGTTCCACACATCGACCTTGTGCGACGTGATAAGCTTCACAAGTCTCGTCTTGTAAAGAGGCAGAAGAAGCAGCACCTTGAGCACCTGCTTGTAACCAAGGTGATAGCCGTACACAGGTGAACCCCGACAGTACTCCACTGCAGCCACAAAGTTCAGGGGAGGTTTGTCCTCCATCTCGCTATCTGAGTCATCGTCCTCCACGGGTTTCCTCTGGAAAGACTCGTGAATCTTGATATCAAAATGGTTCTTGAGCCCACTCAAGTAAGCCTCGTCTAGCTGCCGTGTTGGACAGTCAATGTAAAAGTAAGGATAGTAATTGTGGACATGGACTAGAACATTGTAGGCGAGGTTGGAGGCCGCCTCGACCTTGAGGGCTCCGTAGATGCGGACAAACGGAACCTTGGAAACAAGCCCATAGAGCTGATCCAACGGCGTGGCTACGTGCTGGTACGCATCGAGGTCACAAATCTGGATTTGCAAAGCATTGGCCATGCGGTTGGGGTACTAGCAGCAAGAGACATCGCGGCTTCGCGCGGCGGTAGCTTAATGTGCTTCTACAGATCACCACAACAGAGCAAAGAAAAAAAAATCACCAATGAGACGCAAACACCAAACTTAAGCAAAAATTAGGCGTCCATCGAGAAGACGTTTTATTTTTGGTTTGTTTTGGTGGTGCAGGCGGGCGACATGTTGGATGGTTCGGAGCCAGTTCTCCCGAGGCTGCCAGACGCCTGAGTTTTCCAGGTGGAGGAAAGCGGGACGTCCGTCGGGAGAAGGACAGTTCCGAAGCGGCGTATCCGATGGATGGAAGCGGCAGGAGATGTTCCGAACCGAGAAGCATGCAAAGTACGATTTTTGTCAATGCCAGAAGTGGCTGTAGTCCTCCACGAGGGTGCCGTTGGATCTACGGCATTTCTATTTTTGTGGGGCGGTCTATCTTTGGTTGCAAAATTGGTGAGTGGGCGCACCCAACAGGGCGTTCACCGGTAAAAGTAGCCTTTCCAGGCAAACAACCAATGCACCGGTAGAACTTGCAGACCTGGCGAAGTTTCTCCTTGAAATGGATGCTGATTTTGTGGATTTTCAGTGCCAACCAGGGGGGGTTTTTCCTTACGGATTAGTCATCTCAGCCTCCCGTAGCTCCATTGTTCTACCGCCAGGCTTCTTTTCGCAACCAGCCCACACCACAAGTATCCAGGTCTGCTCACTATGCACCATCTCTGTCCTTCTAAGCGGCTCCGAATGCTCCGTGGCTTTGCTCTTGCGAATGCAAAATCAAGAAAAATTCCAAAAGTGAAGCAAAAAAAAAGAATCTTGTCTCACGCCCTCCCGCCTAAAGTGGGACCCTGACGCTAGTGCAGCCCCGTGGCGCCTGTTGCTGCGAACGACCTCTAGTGCTCAGTGTCCTGCCTGCCAGTGTGTCTACCATGTCTGCCCTGGCTCCCTGCCATTGTTTCAAACAAGCTCCGAGCGACACTGGCCCATCCAGGCCCCAATGGCAATTTTTAAAAAAACTTTTCATCAATTAGATTTCTAACCTTTCTCTCTGCCATCTTGCCAAACTCCCGTATATTCAAATAAGTGGCCTGCCTTGGGGTTGCTCGTGCCCGCCTGAAGACTGTATTTGCGCTGCCACTGCTTATACGCTGTGCGCCGTCGCGCCAAACCTCCCCAATCGTCTCACCACATCGGTCCTCATATTTCTTCTTGCTGGCACACTTTCCTTTCCTAACCCCAGCATGGCCGACAACTCAGACCCGGAAGACTCGGCCGCCAGACTACTGAAGCTTTCCGTGCTGACACCCAAGCCTTACGATGGCCAGTGCTCCCCTCCAGTGGCCACTGCCCACGGGCCTTTGAGCAGCGACGTTCACGCCAGAATCCTTGCTTTCCAGCAGAAGAGGGCCTCCCAGGCTCTCAAGGAGTCCCCCAAGGAGGGCCGTCTGCCTTCAGCGTCCCAGTCTCAGATGCATTTGCCTGCTAAGCCTTTGCCCCCTTTACCTTACACCAAAACTGCCTCCGAAAACCTGGTCCCCAAGCTGTCCCTTGTACCTTCGCCGTCCATCGAGCTGCCGCCACATGACATCCCCAAGGGCCCATTGCTGCCCTCCCAGAAGCCGTCGTTCGACTTGGCGAAAAAACCATCCCTCTCCCAAAGACGCGGTATGAAGCTCAACATGAAAAACATGGGCTCCTCCACCCCTGAACCGACCCACCCTCCTCATCCTCCTCATATAAACTCCACGGGAGAGCTTGCTAGACGCCTTTCCGAAAGAAAGAAGCGGCCCGACTTCAAGCTCAATCTCAACGACCAATCCTCTTCCGCCAGCTCAGAAGCTCCGACGTCTGACGTCAGCTCCATTGAGTCGAATCAGCCAGCTCCCCAAGAACTCAAGGGCCTTTTCGCTAACTATTCCAAGTATGTCGACATCAAGCTGGGCTCTCTTAACTTTGCCGGCAAGGCGTCCTTGCATTCTGATGGTATCGATTTCTCCTCCGGCCTGTCCTTCCACATTTCACTTGATGAATTGCAGTTTCTTGAGGAACTTGGCCGTGGTAACTACGGTGTAGTTTCAAAAGTGCTTCATAAGCCTACAGGTGTTCTTATGGCCATGAAGGAGGTGCGTCTTGAATTAGAAGAAAACAAATTTACCCAAATTCTTATGGAGCTCGAAGTGCTTCATAAATGTGACTCTCCTTATATTGTTGACTTCTACGGCGCATTTTTCGTTGAGGGTGCCGTTTACATGTGCATGGAGTTTATGGATGGTGGATCTCTTGACAAGTGTTATGGCGATGGTGTCCGTGACGAGGCATGTCTCGCTTACATCACTGAGTGTGTTATCCGTGGTCTCAAAGAACTCAAGGATAAGCATAACATCATTCACAGAGACGTCAAACCAACTAATATCTTGGTGAACTCCCTTGGCAAGGTCAAACTTTGTGATTTTGGTGTCTCCGGTAACTTGGTGGCCTCTTTGGCAAAGACGAACATCGGATGTCAATCATACATGGCCCCCGAGCGTATCAAAACTATGAATCCTGATGACGCTACATACTCCGTACAATCGGATATTTGGTCGTTGGGTCTCACGATTTTGGAAATTGCCGCGGGTAGTTATCCTTATCCACCAGAAACTTTCGATAACATCTTCTCCCAGTTGAGTGCTATCGTTGATGGTGAACCTCCCAAGCTTGACAGCAACCTTTTTTCAAAAGAAGCACAGATATTTGTGAAGTCTTGTCTTAACAAGAACCCTGATCTTCGCCCGCCATACGATGTTCTTCTCGAATCTCCTTGGCTCACCAATAATAGAGGAGTTGACCCACACATGGATCGGGTCGTTCAGGAGAATTTGAAGGCACGCAAGGAAGCCAAGGCAGAGCAATCCAAGAAACCCGGTGCATCGCTGTCAAGACCAGGCGCTAACGTTGCCAATGCAGGCGCGGCTCTGATGATGGGCAGGGAGAACGTTTCTTCCTTGCTTAAAAACAAGGTCAATGCACCTGCGCTCCATAGAGGCGGATTGCCAACGCAGCGGTTCAGGCGATAAACGTGGAACTCAAGTATCTCACGGTTCGCCTCATTGCCTTGCTCATATGGCTTCCGCTATATCATCATCATTATTCTCATCATTATCATCTACATCATCATACTCGGTTCATTTCGCATCATCACTGTGTATTATAGAATATATTTTGCTCATTAAAGATCCTCGGTATATGTAGAAGAATAAGAGTTGGTAGAGAAGGCTAGAAGCGGGTCTGAGGCTCTTGAGTTCATTAATCGACCACACTCTTTCCAAGAGCTGAACTTGATTGAAACGACATATCGGGATTCTTTGGTTGCAACTTTCATTTTTTGCAACCAGTTTAAAGTAAAGGTGCACTCGCATAATAGAAACAAACGAGTGTTGACTCTTGAAACTACCAAGAAGAATCTCAAAAATTGGTATACGAGGAGCCTATTAAATTAAAGAATCAAATTGTTTACTGTGGATCTTTAAATTATAGGTTGGCGGTCGAACTCCGTGTCGCAATTTGCTCCATGCCTTAGCTGGGACACTAGAGCGGAGTCTCTGCAGTATCGCACAACCGAACCCAGGACACCGCTGTTCAAGAGGTAACAACCAAGTGTCACCGATAGTAACATGTTGCAAATCGACAAGAGCAACCTTTTGATCAAAAAGACATTGACGGAGCGGATCTTTCCCGCACCTGATGCCCAATTGAAGTCCTTGGACAGAATTATCAGTGACTTTGATTTCACCAACTATCATGTTTCCACTTTGGAAGACAGACAGCTAATTTTGCTTTCCGTCTATTTGCAATGTTGGAATGACTTGACGAGATACGGTGTATCCGAGTACTTGAAGCTGAAGTACCAGAAGTTTGGTGAGTTTTTGACCATTGTGGATGATACGGAAGCAGGCTACAACTTCAGTTTCGTTTTGGACACGGGAGCCTTGGCTTCTCAGTCTGACGAGATCAAGCAGGAATTGATTGAGGAATTGGCCTTGTTGAAGAGACACGCAATCGCCTCTGCTTTTGAGAAGGCCTTCAGTCGTTATGACCAGCTTGCCGAACAATTCAAGGACCAGGACACCTATGCCGAGGAGATCAAGGGTGAATTGAAGAACGAGGAGGTTCTTGTCATCAAGTACAGAGGAGAGGATGAATGTATTTACATCAAGCCTTCCTTTGACCGTGTGACGGTTATCTTCTCCACCATCTTCAAAGATGAGACCGACAAAATCTTTGGTAAGGTTTTCTTACAAGAGTTCGTTGATGCTCGTAAGAGATCTGTCCAAACGGCTCCTCAAGTCATGTTCACCCAGAAGGAGCCTCCTTTGGATATCAAGAATGCCGTCAGCAAACGCCAGGACGACGACAACAAGGGATACGTCACATTTGTGTTGTTCCCAAGACACTTGACCAAGGGAGAACGCAGAGATAACTGTATATCCTACATCCAGTTCTTCCGTAACTACTTCCATTACCATATCAAATGTGCTAAGGCGTACATGCACACGAGAATGAGACACAGAGTGAGAGGGTTCTTGAAGGTCTTGAACAGAGCAAAGCCGGAGAATGTCGATGACGAGGGCAAGGCTATCGACAACAGAAAGACAGCTAGCGGTCGTAAGTTTGATGTTGGAAGAGTATAAACTGATGGATAGAGTTGGTTGTAACTATGTATAAAATTTGAAACGCAATTAGAATTGAAACTGACGTTAATGTATTATGCTTAATATTTACAAGTGAGATAGATCCTTAATCCTTTGGCTTCTTGACACCGTACTTGGAACGGGAGGTTGTTCTATTGGCCACACCTGCCAAATCTAATGCACCTCTCACCAATCTGTACTTCACACCCGGAAGATCCTGGACTCTTCCGCCTCTTACTAGAACAACATGATGCTCCTGAACATTATGGCCTTCTCCAGGGATCAAAGCCGAGATGACGTTACCGGTGGAGAGTCTGACTCTGCAGCATTTTCTTTGAGCCGAGTTTGGCTTCTTTGGTTTCAAGATCATAACTCTGACGACAACGCCTTTTTTAAATGGATTTCCTTGTAAATGTGGGGCCTTTGGAACGTTTGGCTTAGTGGGGAAGCCTTGCTTACCACTTCTTATTTGGTTCAAAGTGGCATATCTCTTCTGGCACTGACTCACAACGGAAGGTATGGATGGTTTAGCAAGTTGCACATTGGAGCGTATGGTAGCAAAGTATGACGTTATAGATTGGGAGCCGATCATCGGCTTGCCCATCGCCGTAAGCCTACTTCCGAATAATGTTCTAAGCATGGCTCTAGAGATCTTTTAGGTCGTGAGAACAAACTGTATTGAAAAATTGAATGCGTACTGCAGATAATACACTAACCACAACCCATTATACGGATCCTAAATTTCGGAGGCATTATTCTAAATGATGCAATGGTAAATAAATATATATTTCGATCATTGCTTTTTCGTAACTAGACCGGATCTGTCTGCTTTGTCGAAAATGTTGCACAGCTTAAGCTAGTCGTGCACACACCACTTACAGTGAGGGTATTCTCCAGTAAGAATTCAGAGCATATAAGCACATCTTCAACAATGTTTAGAGCAGCCTTCGCCAGATCCTTGAGACTCAGTGCTATACCCCGCACCCAGTGTGCTACTGTTGCTCCTAAGCTTGCTATTCCACAATTCGCCCAGGCTTCTAGAACATATGCTGGCTTCCCTGCCTTGACGAGAGATATCGCCAGAGAGAGAATCATTGAGTTGTTGGAGGGCTATGACAAGGTTACCTCCAAAGACATTTCTGAGAAGTCTAACTTCGTGACTGATTTGGGTTTGGACTCTTTGGATGTCGTTGAGGTTGTTATGGAGGTTGAGCATGAGTTCAACATTCAGATCCCAGACCACGAGGCCGACTCTTTGAAGACCGTGGGCCAGACTGTTGACTACATTCTTTCTCAGCCTGATGCCTGTTAAATTCAGGCTCGAGGCCAAATTCACATACATACATATCGAATCATGGGGCGACCCATATGCATAGCACTTCTGATACTTGCCTGTAGATTGAAAAAGCTGTATACTTTGCGTTGTTCAGGGTTATATGAGCAGATAAAGTTTTGACTGGCTATTATCTTGCTACAAGGCCATCATATTCGGAACGACAGTATCAAAGGTATTTGGTGACCTGCATACATGTGCTGTCTAGTTAGCAGCAGTGTGTACCGGGCGTATCCAATAACTGTGCGAGAAAAACTGTTGATGATAATCATCTGTTAAACACCTTCCACACTATGATTTCGGTATGCACAAACAACACAGCATTTACACTCACGGAAATTTTACTAACAGGCTAGTACATTAGAGGTCCAGCATACAAGGTTACCAAGATCCCATTCAACTACGCCGCTGCCAAGTCTTACGGTAAGGACTTGGTTCTTTGGGGTGGTGCCGCCGGTGCCGCTGTTGCCACTTTCACTGACAACTGGCCTTTGTTCCAGCAGACTTTCTACTCAAAGATCCCATACTTTGGTGAGCACTGGATTCACAACCCAGACCCAGAGGAGGTTCCAGTTTAAACTAGACATAATGCACATACATGAACGAAAATTATTCTGATCTATGGAATGTAGTGGAGGGTTTGTCCGTCTTCAGACCGCTTAGCATAGTGCTGCGTTATGAGATATTCCACTCTTCTCTTGATATCAGTTATCAGGACTTCTCCACGAGCCTTGAGCCTCATCAATACCTGGCCCATGAGCTCGGGGTATAGAATTGAGCCCTTCTGTTTCAAAATATTACAAACAGCAGCGGTAATCTCGTCATCTCTGTCTCTTCTTTCGGCTTTTTTGAAGGCTTCTTCAACGACAGCCTCTTTCTCTCTTGCCATGGGTGGGCGAAGTTTTGCAGCCTTATCCCAGAATGCGTAATTGAACTTGTAATCGTCATTGTCTTCAATCAAGAACGGGAATTTACTCGAACTTAGGGATGCTATGACTCTTTTCAAGAGCTTTTGCTCCATTCCCGTCTCTTCCACAAACTGTGCAAACGATAGGGTATCATGTTCAGAGAATTGAAGTATGACGATTGCTTGAAGGAGATTGACTTGAAGTTCTTTCGGGCCTTTATCGAAATTGACCAGGATTGTAAGCTGATGTAATAAATAATTGCTCCAGTCAAGATTCTTGTATTCTCCCTTTGCATCACTCTGGCGAAACTTCTCAGTAAATGCCACCAAAATTTCGTCTAGCTCTGGGGGGATCTTGAGCTCGGTCGCTTGCTTTGGAATAGCAGGCCAGTTAGACTTCTTCAAAACAAGAGGGAATATTTCCGCAGACCCGTGATGATGTCTGAATTCAGTGTCAGATTGCTTCACATCTTGAATCATCGCCTTGAGATTGGTACCATCCAAATTATCACCCACCTCGTGTAGTAAATTGTCCACAAGGTCAGATTCTAACGGATAATTGAAACTCTTGCCCAAAAGCAACCTCTTCGAGAGATCTCTTTCATAAATCTTGATGAACTTACCCTTGTTCTGCAACAACTTGAAAAACACCTGAATATTTTTCTTAAATTCAACTGCATCAGCATCTTTCAGCTTGAAAAAAGCCTCACAATATTTTGAGAACATTAGGACTGAATTGGTCTGATATTCAGGCAGCGACAATATATTGGATATGGCGCTTCTGACTTCGAAATCAAAGTCACCAGGAGCATAGAGATCTGCCCGAGAGCAAGACTCCAGTAGACTGAGCCTGAGCTTGACAACTTCAGGTAATAGGTCTTTACTAGCAAATGCATCAGATTTGATGAGTTCAGTGGTCTTGGCAGCGACATAGTTCCGAAGATGGTAGGCGACTTGCTTCACATTATTACAGTTGCTGTGAACCTCCTCAATATGAAGAAGCTTTGTCAAGATACCCAATTCCAATTCTCTTCCGTCCTCCATCAATGCGGGTACGCATGAGCTCAACACCTCAGAGAGTTCGGGAATTATTGCTTTTCGCAAAACCTCCTTAGCAAAACTCGCCGCCATATCTGTAAGTCCAAGTGCCTTCATGAAGCGTATATCTTTTCTCATGTTATCAAAAATATTGCTAACGAATGTTCGAGGGTCTTCCCACCAATCCTCTCTGCACAACTCGTAGTTGGATAAAAAGATATCAGGGATGAAATAATAGCTGGTGTGCTCCTCGAATATGAGTCTTTCGTAATACTCGGCAAATTGTGTCAAAGTATCGTAGTTATACCAATCCAGATGTTCCAATCTCGAATGATTAATGATGTTGAGATGCAAGTCCTTCAATACCTGTTCTAGCAAGGAACACCTGGAGTTGGAGTCAAATAAAGCTGAAGCAAAAAGACGTAGCCCGTAATCTCTTATTGGCTTTTTCTTTGTATGTTGAAAAAGATAAACTCTATCAAGGAAGATGAAAAGCCTCAGAAGGCATTTCAACTTCTCGTCCCACGCGTTGAGTTCCCTGAGGAATGTCTGACCAGCAGAGCCCGTCTCGAGAGAATCCCAAGTTAGCTTCGATTGTAGCATCTCAAATTCTTGATTCAACTTTCGGAAGATATAGTCACTGAGACGTGCTTGTTCTGAATGCTTGTATGTCGATAATGCAATAACCTCTTTATTCACACGTGCAAACGAGAAGTTATCATCACTTCCCAGTACAACTGAATCAATGACATGTTCCAACAGTGCTCTGATTGTTTCCAACTGCTTTTGGCATTTTGTGGACTCGTGATCTTGCGTCCTCCTACTCTTGTGTCTCTTTCCCCTGGACTCTAGAATGTTGCGTTGCAGTGGAGGCATAACACCAGACCCCAAGTGGGACAGCATTCCCTGAAAATCAGTGCTGCTGTTGCTATTGCCAAAATCGAGCACTTTATCCATGAAGGGTCTGGTTTATATGAGCAGTTTTGAGAGCGCGATACTCATATCAAATTGCAGCCCCAGTTCATCCCACACTACTCAAAACACCATCACAAAAATGCCCAACCAGGCTGATCTACCCCAAAAGATAGATAACAAGTATCTCACACTGATATATAAGAAGAATGGTTCATTCGATAAACAGCGAAAACGTTTGCTTGCTAACTTCAAGACCTCGCAGACGCATTCTAACCTTCTCCTTAAGTTGAAGCTTATGGTTGAATCTAAGATAAAAGCAGACCCTTCCATACTAATGAAGAACAAGGGTAAGATGGCAGCGTTAATACAAGGAGAGATTATAAGCAATAACTCCGGCTCAAACATTCTAGATATTGTCGACAAGGATATCCAGGAGAAGATTATTGACTCACCCGAGTTCCATGATAGCCTCAAGGTTGAACTCAAGGACATACGACGTAAGGCACTTGGAATCAGTGATGAAGACTATGCGAAACAGCTAGACGAAGAGGCCAAGGCACAGAAAGAAGAAGCGGAGAGAAAGCAGCGGGAGCAGGCAGAGAAAGAACTCGCTTACAAAAACAACTTCAAGGTTAAACAGCTTGCTGCACCTCCCAGACAAGCGAGACCTCCACGGTTCAATCTACCGACTCGTGAAAGAGACAGCTACCGTGGACGCGCCAATAACGGGAGGCACACTGATAGGTATGAAAGACCAGGCTCTAGTCAGCAATGGTCCCATGATGATCGTAACGGGAGGCCATCTTCTAGCCATATGATGTATTAATACTACAATTATCTCTTGGTCTTTAAGTTTCGTATATCCTGAGATCAAAGCGAGTGATTCACTTGGTCATAACATAAATCATTCATCAGCATCGAAAATTTCATTAGCAATCAACATTAACTCTTCCACCACCTTTGTCTTATGACTCAAGTCTTGAGGCGACATCGAGTTGTCGTTAAGGAGAGCGGGCCCCCAAATAATAGCCAAAGACTTGGCTGTCATACGGTTGTTATGCTGGTGGGCAGCAACCTTGTTCAAGTGGAAGATTAAAGCCCTCAAGGTGAAGTATGCACCGTCAGGCAAGTTGTAAACCAAATGGTGCAATTTCTTGGCGATGAAGGTTTCGTCTGTTGACTTGACGGTCTCAATGAATGACTGGTAACAGGCAGAAGTCAAGAGGGGCTCTGGCAAGGAGGCGAAGTAGATTTTCATAAGCGAAGCGGTACAGTAGATGTCCGCATCCAACACATTGCTTGGATCGATGTTGTTTCCAATCAACAAGTAGTTGGCGAAGTTTGAATCGATTGACTCTTTGAGTTGTTGTACTGTTGTTTTGTTGCCACTAGTACGGTAAATACCTTCGATGTCTAGACCATAACTTTCAATGACATCAATACAACGTTTGACGACAAGAGGCACGTTGTCAATACCAGCATACTGTATCACTTCTTCGATAGAAACACCAAATGTAGGTTGGGCATACTGATTCACTTGGCTCAAAGATTTAGGACCAGTCAAGTCGCTCTGATGAGTACTGGGATCTAATGAGCTGTATGTGAATGTACTTGCGGTACTTTCAGCGGGTGTGGCAGGTGTCTTTGAATAGTCGGGGCCCAAGTTCGAGTTCAGGCTGCTATTTCTCTGGTTCTGAGATTGCAGGGATTGTGTGGGTGCCAAATTTCCACTGCTGGCCGACTTGCTGGGAGCATTATTGCCATTGTTAGCATTGAGATTGTTCGAGCTGCTGGTATTATTGAAAAATGGTTTCGCTGGTTTGGTGTGCTTTGCAAACGATGGGTGAGGTGTATACTCCACGGGCGTCAACAGCTTGTTCGTGGGATTGTTGGAGTTCTTCGAGATGTAGTTGTACAAGTCGAGCTCATTATCAATGCTTGCTGCAATTGCCTTCATGGACTGTTTATCGGCTTGTAAGGGGCTGATCAACACACCTGAGTTCATGATAAGAGTCTCACTCCAGGTAGCAAACTTTTGCAATTGCACATTCAAGGCAATATCCATCTCCAAGATCAAGTTCTTTAACTTCTTCGTGTTGGTTGGTCTGTAAATCATCAA